AGTGAGTGAAAACACACGCCGGCAAGCAGAGACTCAGACACAGGTAGCTTAACTACATAACAAGTGTTTTGTTTCACCAGAATCAGAGTCAGCAGTACTAGGAGAGCAGGGAGCAGTGCCGACTCACTGTCTAATAAACTCTAATCTCATTAGACCTTTAACAGGCTCCAGCCTGGATCAGACAGCAAGGAGGGAGGAGGCACACAGCAGAATTATGGGAACAAAAATACAGCTTGTGTCAGTGTCTTGGAGGAGAAAATTACAGGTGGCTCTTAAATCCAGTGACACGCACTGTCCAGAAGGTCATGGCTACTTGTAGACCTCCGTGGGAAATAGAGAGGAGGCGAGAGAAAAAGCATGAGTGTGTTGAGAGAGCAGGAATGAAAAAGACTGAAGTTCTCTCAAAAAGTTCCCAGTGGAAAGCAGAAAGTATGTGTTTGCCAGTGTGTGGGCAGCGTGCGGGTGTAATGATGGGGTTGTGTCGCACAGGCAGAGGTCAGCCAGCCGGCCAAGAGGAAAGGCTTCAACAACAATGTGATGTCATCAAAGAGGGCCAGCGTGACTCATCGACCTCAGACGAAGGAGGTGCACAGGAATTTTAATGACATGCCTCCACATGAGGAACCCATAAACAACATTCTTCTTCTCTGGAGGAATAAATCAAGTACAAAAGAGGATGAGACGAAAAACTCAGAACAACTTTGATTTAAAAATAACTGGGAAGACAAACTTTCTAAATGTCTGATGAGTGGAAAAGCTGCTTTTTGATTCCCGCTTGTTTAGGATTCAGTTTTCAGTTGATATGAAGATTATGAGAAATAAAAGCAGATGGAGGGGAATCAACTTAAGAGCCCTTTAAAAAGGAAGAAAACTTTCCATAAATAAAGCTCTCATTATCAAGGAAGAGACAATGACCCAATTAAATCCCCAGCAGCTCAGAAAGGAATAGTGTCTCATATCCCATCAACGAAAATACACAAAGACACACACTCCCACTCACATCCAATAGACAGTTAGGAGAGGTTATTGTCAATTAGAGCCTCTTTACTAATCATTGAATATTTAAAGCTGTGTTCAAATGAAAAGTGAAGACCATTCAGCACAACTTTGACAATGTGTTGTAAGAGTGTTTTTAGGGTTTGAATGTGAAAAAGGACTTAAAAGTGATTAAATGAAAGTGTAAAAGAAAACACTGCATGTTTCTTTTAGCATGTTTTGTATTTTTGAATTTGCATTACGGGTCCATATCATGGACAAAAAAGAGCTGTTGCTATGTAGGTTTTGTTTTTTTATTCTGAAATTGTACAACCCTAAGTCAAGTGTCAGCTCAAATTTTGCTTACTACAGCGAGGGGAACAAAAACAAACAGATTTTGCTACTTAATTGAATTAAATGAGTTGAAACCTCGCCAAAAATAGCCAAGTCACGATGCAGATTAGAGAAAAGGGACATGCGAGTGTTTTGGATTGACCATTTTTGATTCAATGCAGGACATTGGTAGAATCTGAGCAATGACAGTAGGAGTGTGGGTAAAAAAAGAATCACATACATTTCTAAAGTTTTGAGTCATTTTAAATAAATTTTCATGAGCAGCGACTTTGACATGCACCTCTTTACTGATCTGCCAGCCAATTCTGAAAACATTTAAAATAAGTTCCATTGTCTGTTTCATTTTAGTGACCTGCGCCCTTACAGTGTCGTCAACAATGAAGGCTTTGGATTTATGATGAATACTCAATAACATGGCTTAAGCCCACACATTGTCATCATATTAAAGTATTTTGCAGGTTAAGCATAAACAAATTTCATCTTTATTTTCAGTTTTCCACTGTGTATAATTGACATTTTTGCACTGAGCTGATAAACAAACCCTTACAAATAAAAAAGCTGCATTATCATCACATTTCATTGTGCTTTTAATGTGACAATAATTTGCAGCAGACTGGAGTAGATCCTGAAATAAGCAAGCACCCCTTTGTAACATATATGAAATGTATTGTGAACCAAGAATCTGTCAAAGTCAATTGTAAATCAAATCGTGATGTCTATAATCAAAACGTAAATGGATCTTGAGATATTGAAAGATTCACACCTCAAAACAGCACGGGGGTTCTCCCATGAATACACAACAGCAGAAAATGTAGTTTTGCCTTTACTCTGGAAACAGGTTAGTATCTCTAAATGTGCTCTAAGCGGTCACTAATGGGCAGGACTTTAAAACTGAACCCTAAAGCTTTATCACTAGAGAGAAGCAGTTTTGGGGGTCTCTAATAACGATGTAGTGACTCAACTATTTGGATAACTAAAGACATCCGCAGGAACCTCTCTCTAATTCCTACCACTCTCCCTCACTGGCCCCGACCCCTGACTGCTGTGACCCTGCACCCTGACCTTTGGCTTGCAGACAGCTCCAATGGCTTTACTCAGGCAACAAAAAAAAAATACCACTGGGCTATCTGTTTTCTATCTGTGTGAACAAAATACTGTGTCATATGAGTCAACAAGGCAGAGAGGAAGACAAAACATCCATGTAACAGAGCACCAGCGTGGAGGTGAGTCACCGACCTGACTGTGAAGGGCCAGACGGCCACAGCACGATCATGTACGAGCCTTTTCATTTAGCTCATCAAAGAAATGCCAGTGCAGTGTCAAACAACTGCTACAACCCCGGAGATGGTTAGAGGAGGGGGGCAGAGAGCTGACTCACTAAACATTTGTCCCTTTTGGTCCCGACGCCTTCACTTAACACTCATCAGCTTCTGTTACTGGTAGCCTTATATACACACACACACACACACACACACACACACACACACACACACACACACACACACACAATCTCTGCTGGCCACTCTACACGTGTCGGTCAGTCGTGAAGATCAAGAGGGGCCCCAGGACAAAACCCTGTTGTGCATCTGTCAGGCGGTCCCCACCTCCCTCCCCTCACCTCCCATATAAGAATTGGGAGGTGGAGCTCTGCTTGAACAGGGGGGCACGACACCGGAGGAGCTGCTTGAAACCTCCAAATTCCCCTGAAAAACCGGGTGACAGGCGACGAACAATAAAGAAGTGGGACTTGAGGGTGTCACCCAGGGGCAGTGAAGCGCTCAGTCCCCCCGCTGAGCGCTAAGAACAGATCAGACTTGGGCAATCAGTGACAGCTTTGATCTCTGCCTTTTATGTTGTAAAAACGTTACACCTGCAACAGCCGTAGTCTTTTCTTGTTCTCTGTCACCGGCAGAATGCACTCTGGTTTTGGAGAAAAGACACGGAGGGACGCCATTTGTGCTTTCTGCAAAATTGTAAGAAATCTATAGAGGAAAATAGGAAACAGCTTTTGAGTGCTTTTTAACAATTACACAGTCAGACAAAACGCTTTCATGGGGGAGGATTGTACCCTCCGTGCCTACACTGAGGGATTACAATTAACTGTCAATCCTAGAAAACACAAAAAAAAAAAGAGGTGAAAGAAAGTGGTAGTTTCAAGTGTCCACCCTCTTTATCTCCAACAAACAGGCTTCTCAGAATCAAGGGGGAAATTCCACAACGCAGAGACGGCTTTGAAACGAGCACGTATACTCTAAAGTGATACCAGTGTGGCAAATGAGGCGGGTCCCCCCGGTAGCGATTTTTACAGCAGGGTCTCTGATCTTCGTACCTGCATGGCCAGGCAGACACATTATCAGCTCTTTGACATTCCAGTAATTCTACATGAGACCTTGACATCTTTTCATCTCAAGACATCTCTCCCTCTGTGAAGACCAGCACTGCAGAAAACAGGGGGCCTATACGTTGTCACATTTTGTGCAGCCAGGTTTTCAACGTGTGAAGAAAACCATTCAATATATAATGTCATTGAGTTTCGGCTATTTTCAACGCAGGAAATGTCAGATATTCATTTTGACAGAGTTCAGTAAGACGACATAAGCTCTAAAAGAAGTTTTTGAGATTTGCTCAGTCTGTATGCTTGACTGTCCCACTTCTTTGCAATAAAGAGTGATTTGTAAGCGTTTCATTAATTTGCAATTGAAAATGGAATCACAAAATAAGTTCTCACAGTACTCATCATATTGCTCTTGTGGCTTGACTAAAGTATCATGGTAATATTGTAACTTCAGAACACTGGCTGAACCCAGAGAGATTTAATTTCACACCAAATAATGGTCCGAGCAGCTCAGAGGAAGTAAACACATTTAACTTTTAACACTGAAAAATGGCAGACATCAGAAACTGGATATTGACTTTGCAGGAGCACATCATTATGTTGGTTGAAAATTGAGCAGTTTTTTGGAAAGGTTCAACAAAATGTCAGTAAAACATTAAAGAAAGACATGCAAGGACAACTTCAGTCCTCAGCACCTGCTCAGCACATAACCACAAGGGTAAAAACATGTTCTACCTAACAAAGAGAGAAATGTAAAAGGCATTATTTTCCTATTTCTCTGTGTTTCAAAGCTCATCACTCTCTGTTTAAAAAAAAGCAGCTATAAAACAAACTCCACACATTTCACTATTTTCTTCTTCTGCTTCTCTCACCATACCATTTACAACTCCTCTCAGTAATGCAGATAAAACCACCACCGAGTCGTCCCACCCTGCTTTTCTCACGTACTTTCACTAGCCACACTACAGCAGAGGATCTCAAGTGTAAGAAAAGACTTTGGCATACAGCATTGTCAGCAACTACCAGAGAACTGAGAAGCCTTCATAGAGAGAGACCCATGCAGCTGCAGTCAGAACAGAGAGCAGACTCATTTGTTGGCTCAACTATTAACTCTGCTCTCAATCACTGCCATTATAATGCTGGGCTGCTAGTCAACTGGCTGGCTCGGAATCACCATGATAACCGTTAATCCGCAGAAAGATTAGAGAGCCAGTAATGCAACATGCTGCTTTTAATCCGCACAGATTTTCTCTGTTTTGTTTCAGCTTGACCCTAACAATGGGAAACACATATTCATGCTCACTGATCCATGCTCAGTCATGGTGAGAATACTAACCCGGACGAGGGTGCTCTTTGCCTGAGCTCGCTGGGGCTGTGCTCCAGGAGCGCCCTGGTCCCTGGACCCACCGCTGTGCGCTCTGGCCACGGCTCCAGAAGTACCATTTGTGCAGACTCCAGCTCCAGGACCAGCCCTGCGAGGTCTCTGCTTGATGCCGTCCAACAAGCGCACGAGAAGGATGTTGCTGGGGAGTTCATCCACAGCACACTCCACCAGCGTGCGACACTCCGGGCAGCGCAGCTCTCCGCGTGAGCCCAGGATGCCTTGGAGGCATCGTCTGCAGAAGGTGTGCTGACAGGGGAGAACCTTTGCAGAGGCGTCCAGGCGCTCCAAACAAACAGGACACTCGAGTAAATCCAACAACATTGACTCGTCCATTTCTCTTTTGAGTTCTGCTTCTACTTCAGCAGAAAAACATGATGCTGCTCAGGGACCAGTGCTGTCACGTCACTCCCATTCCTCGACTGTGGCCATGGCATCTGCATCAGCTTTAAACAGGGTCAAGATATGCAAATTAATCTTCAGTCAAAACAAGAAATAGGTCATGGTTTGCATCCAACAGACATCACAAAGGGCTTAAACTGCGTGCTTCTGCTTAATTTGTTGCACATAGAAAACCTTAAGGCTACCCCGTTAAAGTACATTATTCATATCTGTTGACAAACCCTCAGATTGATTCACATTTTGTCACTCAAATATTAGTGGTTTTGGTTTTGTTAGCTACACAGTTGTTTAAAGAGTAATTCAAGAGCAACAGCATGGCAGGTGGTGAAGCTCAAAGAACATCAAATTGACTATTAAGTGTTCATTATGCTTAAGGTTTCTGACTCGTTTAAATAACAGACAGAGGCACCGTCCTTTCTTAAACATAGAGCCAGGAAATTCATCAGGTAAAAACCTCGAAATAAAGCAATTTCATGTTAAAAACCAGTGTTGGTCCGCTGCTTCTTTGGGGACTGAGAGCTGAGCTGCTGTTTACTTAAGCTCACTAGCTGACTAAAACTCTTCATTCAGGTAAACTATATCGAAAAAGTGATTAAAAACTCTTAAATAGTAGTCAGCAGGAAGTACAGCAGGAAGAGCCGTCACTTGTGGAAAACTGGAAGTATAAATGTGCCAGGTAAAGCATGGGACCGATATGTTCTAATAATGGAGTTGGGTGACAGGAACAACTCGTCAAAGCTCGTTACTTTGAAGCCAAATCCAGACAGAAATGTCTCTTTTCAAGTGTCACAGTTGTTACTGTGTAGTGGCAAAAACCTTGAACATAATTGCTACACGTGGGTTGACAGTTTATTATGTTGCAATAACTCATTGCACTATTAAAACAGGCTAAACACTAGGATTAGAGAAAATCTAATTAAATAGAATATGTCATGATATACAGAAACAGCTATATGAATAACTTATGAGTAAAAAATTACATTTTTTGTCAATAACATAAGATGTACCTTTGTATTTATCACATGCCCTGTAACACCCAACATCGTTGCAATAGTTTTTTTTATTCATCTGAGGAAAGGATAACCTCGCATGTGAACTATTAATTAAAAATCGATCATGCTTTTGGGAATCCAGTGAATCGATATTTTCTTACGACCCTGGATGTCACAGTGAAACTGACGCGTTCACTGACACATTTAATGCTGCAGCAAACACAGAGCCACTGTCTTATTGTGTGTCATTAAGGGATTGACTGGCCAAGTTAATCTAATTTAGTCGACACAGATAACTACACCTGCAAACTGTGATCATGGATAAATGGACCCGGGAACTTTTGCATGATTAAACACGCCATGAAACACAGAAGAAGAAAAAACACAGAAAGACCTGCAAGTGAAAGTCTGTGATTTGTTTTTGAAAAGCGAAAACATGCATTTAATTATTACCCAGAATGTCGCAGACTGTATATTTATCTGTTGAGCAATAATGTGAGTGCACAGAAACACCAGCCTGGTGTCACCGATCAGGATCCTGGCATCACCAGAAGGCATTTCAGGATTTTCCAGGGTTTTTAAGCAGAAGCGTAACGTTACTCAGAAAATGTCAACATTACGTAACACTGAACAGCATGAAAAACATGTAGTGATACTTATAAGTCTGTTATGACTCCTACATGGGGAGACTTGTTAAAAACTGCTAAATTAACTTCGTTTACAAGCAAAAAACAATGGCTTAGTGGCGGCGGGGTCCACTTTGATGTCGCTACATTTAAGTAACTATGTAACTTTTTTAAAGGGTCTCCATACTTTAAAAAATGCTTTCTATAACTTTTTGGATTGAAGTGATTTATTGATGACACTTTAAATTCAATCTCCAACTAAATACAAGTCAGCTTACCTCTTCCAAAACACGACTCCTCCTCTTGTTGCCTCGTATCTCCCCAATTTCTGCTTTCCTGCTAGTTAGCAAGCGACCTGGAATCTACAACACTTAAATAGAGTATCCGCCTTTAAAAAATAGTTTTCTTCTAATAAAGGTTTTGTTAAGAGACGTACAACGTTGAATTAAAAAAAGCACCTCTATTAGACATTAAAATAAAACCTAACATGAAGAGGAAACAAGCGAGACAACGGAACTCCTACTGCTCCCTCCTACCGCCATGCTAGTACGCTACTTCTGTTCTGCTGCTGGAAACAAGCGGAGAGGGGGAGGGAGTGTGCCGCCTTCAAGGACCGTCGGAAAATGGGAAAATCATAAATGCTAATTGAAACAGAATCAGCTTTATTGGAGGTATGCTTACACATACAATGAATTTGACTTCGATCAACTGTTCTCTTCATGTACAAAAGTACAACATAAAATATCAACAACAAACAAACAAATAACCAAATACTTATATGTAAAAGACTAAATATTACAATAGTGCAGTAGAACTGTGCAAAAGATGCTGAAATAAACAAAATAATAAATGATGTAATTTGGTAACAGTTGGGTTATTTACATGAGGTAGATAGTTTATACAGTATAACATTAAGGAAGTGTGCATATTAATGTCACAATGCATACATGCATAAATTCAAGGATTAAAAATTAGGCCAATTAAAAACGCCATAATCAAAATTAAGAAACTTTCTTGTTAGGCTGCTAAGAAACACGTTTTTTGCTCATTAATACATTTTTCATGTTTATTTGATTTGTAAACTATTTGAAACAGACTGCTTATAATACATCTAGAGAATGTTTTTTTTTTTTTTTTCAAATAATCACTATAAAGCACTTTTAAATAAATGTATTTGTTGGCCTTTTAATTCGTACATGCACTTCATTTTGGTGCATCAACTGAAAGCCACAAAATTAAGTATTTTCTGTTCAAACTGCACACTGTGTGGAAATGTATAGTGTAAGTACTGTACATCTCATCAGTTTCACTTTTTGTATATTTTGTGCTTTTTGATATTCTGTCGTATATTTGTATATTGCTCTTTATATATTTTTTATCTTATTCTACTCAAGTTCCCTGTCAGCAGCAGCACTGTTGTTCCTATAGTCTTCTCCTATTACTTTTACTATGTGCAATATGGGTAATGTGCAGTACTATATGTTGTTGTGTTTTTTAACTGGTATGTGCTTTTCTGTTTACATGTTGATTTTTATCTGTTTCCATTGTTTTTATTTATTCATTCTAATGTGGAAGCAGATGAATGTTTGCAGCACTTCAAGTTCAAGACAAATATCCCCAAGTGGACAATAAAGGGTTACCGTATGGGGTTACTCTGTAACCTTCTGTATCATACAGTATCGTATTGTATCATATTTTACGGTACTTTTTTTGCACCAAAGCACCAAGTCAAATTCCTTGAATGTGAAAATGTACTTGGCAGTAAAAAAAACTAAAAACTATTCTTGTTCTGATTGTGATAAAAAAAAAAAATCCTCTTAACTACCTGATTATCAATTTTTATTGATACACTTAATAATCCTCCTAGTTTGAGTTATTTTCTAGAATCAATCTGTATGTTTATATATTGAGATAATGAAAAATTAATGTTATAAACTTTAAAGTGGCTATGCTATTTCAAAGTCAAATCGCTCTACCACAGCTGAAAGCAGCGAATTCCGAGGTACACCAGAAGGCAGCGTCCAGCGTTGTCAAACGGGCGTGAACTGAATCGCATAAATGAAATTTAATGATGTGTCAAAGAGCAGCATCTTTTCTCTGGCGGACTGGAAAATATGTTTTTCATTTCATAATGGGGCCACACAAAGGGACTTGATATGCCGTGAGCTGAAAGAAAATGACCCAAAATTATCTCCAAAAGATTTTTTTTTTCTGTTGTATTCAAGCAGCAGTTTCTCGGTTACAGTTTATGTGCACTCTTCTCTGCCGTGTCGTGTAGATAAAAACATTTTTTTTTAAAAGTGGTCCATATATTTACTTAGTAAGGTAGTTTTATAGTTTTCATTTGCAACATATACTGTAAGTAAATAAGTGACATCTGGTGGTCACCCCCCCATACATTTAAATGTTTTCTTTACTATAGCAATTAGTTGGGATAACATACTTACAGAGAACTTAAAAAAACGAGATGTTTTGAGTTCTGCTTGAAACCATTTATGATGAATACATTTGATCAAATAAAAAACATTTAGTTTAAAGGGATTTTAATAATAAAAACATCTGAAATTAGTATAAAAAGTACTCTGCATTGGATTTGTACTCTTTTTGTCATTTATTGACGCAAAATAAATTGATTGATGGCTTGGTTGATTAAAAATAATAGACAAAAATAAAGGAAGTAGGAAGCACGTTTATCCAAAAACACCAAACAAAATATTTGATAAAGACCTTTGACTCCTAATAACCTTCACAACAAAGCACCACACTAGTTGAAGGAGAGGCGGAGGAGTGAGACACTGGCAGACAATAAACATGTGATTTATTTTTATCTCATTCTGAGGACGCTGCATATTGAGCAAGAGGGAGAGATGAAGGGGAGGGAGAAAGAGCAATAAAGAGGGAGATTTATTTGGAGGTGGCTCTCTGCTGTCACATGTGATCCCACAGGAGTCGGCAGGAGCCCTCAGGTCATATTTCCTCACTGTGAGGAGGCAGCAAACCCCCGCCCTCCACCTCTGCACCTCAGAGTCAAAACAATGGCCCCTCTGCCCTGCTTTCATGCTTGACCCCTGCACGTCTAACCCCACACTCACGTTTTGCACACGTTCAGGGTTGTTTGGTGAAAATGCACACACACACACACACACACACACACACACACACACACACACACACACACACACACACACACACACACACACACACACACACACACACACACACACACATGATGGAGGTGACAGCTGTGTCACTGCTTATAAATGTGGATGAGGATAGCCAGAGAGGACATGACAAGACATACGTCCCAATTTCCATGTAGCGCGACAGAAATATTGCCCTTTCTTGTACAATTCATTTCTGGAAACAGATGTTCAAGATATTAAAAAAAACTGCTGAATTGCAGCAGATATCAAAGCTTGGGACCCCAAATGCACTTTTTAAAAATAATGACATTGTAACTGAAACTGAACCGAAAATCTCCAGGGCTCAATATGTAATAAAGATCACGACACTCTCATCCACTGATCTCCATTTGTATTACTTTGATAAGGCTTTCAAACTTACTAACCCAGCCTGAGGCAACCTGCTTTCAAATTAGATTAGGAGGCAAAGCTGAATGTCAATGAAGGCTGCGTGATAACGGTTGAGTGCATGTATTTCTCTGTGGGGTGATTTTACTTTCCTGTGAGAGCTGGGATCGAGCCAAACACAGGCCTTATGGAAACATCCAAACCCTGAATGAATTCACTCCAAGCTTAATGTTTGCAAACAGACTAGATACTGTATGTCTGCGTGTTTGACACTGTACCCTTTAACATCATCATCATCTGATCTGTGTTTCTGTTTTCCTCATGGCTAATAGAAGTGTTTTCATAAGGATCTGCTGCATTCTTTAATAGAGAGGAGAGTAAATGCAATGCTTTTGACTTCTTTTTGTTGGGTTAAACTGCTGCCGCCCAAGACAAAATGTATTATTGATCAATCAGAAACACATCTTTTAGTCTAAAGCTGAGAAAGATGACACTCTAATGAATAAACCCCAAAATGGAGCTATAACACGATTCCAGTTGAGCCCTGTATTATCCAAATACTTGAAAAAAAAAGCCATGAGCAATTTGTGAGAAGCCCACATGCTCTTATGCGCTGCCTACCTTCATGTACTGTATACATGCCTCTGAAAAGATGCAAATCACCTCTGAGATAAAACAACCACGCATGCATAATCCAAGTCTCAAAGCAGGACATAAAACAGAATTACTAAATGGAAACACAAACAAACACAACGCCACCATGCAGCATGAATATTGAATGATGCTCTGCTGTGTGTAACAACTTTAAATGTTGTTCCTGAAAGACCCCCCTCCACCCCCAACCAAAAAACAAGAACCAACATTCAGTACAGAATATGCAAACAGCTGTGTGTTGTTCTTTGCAAAGTTACATTTAATATAAAACTTTATAGATATTATAAAAATAATTCTAGGGAAACCGTGAAGGACAAGTGAGACCAAACAAATGGAGATTCTTTGTCTCATCTGATTGAGCGTCTCTCGTGTTGATGACTGAAGAACAGATGAAAAGAATAATCTACACTCAGAAAAATAAGTTTTAGTTAGAAAAAAAGTTTGTAAGGAATTTATTTTTCTGTCATGTTTCAGTTCTGTTTGCAAACAAAGTTAAACATGAAAGGTAAAGAAATACTTAGATCATCTTTTTTTCTTTTTTGCTCTTATGGCAAACTTCAAACTTCTGAGAATTTGTGGATGTAATAATTATTTCAAGGTGGAAAAGAGGAAAAAGTGAAACTGCCAATTTATTGTCACTTGTTTAATAAAATACAAAACAGTTACTATAAATAACTTGAACCTGCCTAAAGTATGTTGTCATCACCTTAAAGGAAGTACCTAGTAAAGAAATGATCCAGGAAAAACGTTTTGTTACCCTCAATATGAGAAATTGATCCATTAGAAAATGGATCATCCTGAGATAACATTTTCTTGTTTTTATATTGTTGCTACCAACTGGCACGTTTCTTTTTTTTTGTTTGTTTAGAGTCATATTTTTTTAGGATTTTATTTTCTAACAGTCCTTGAATATTTCATGTTCTCAGATTTTTGTTGGTTTGTTGTCTGCACAGAAATCATTGCCCGTCACTGCAGCCAAAACAAACTGTCTGTTTACATTTTCCACAGAAAGGTTTGACCAGAAGTGTTAAAAGAAAGCAGGATAACACGACTTACACACATACAGGACAGACTCCTCAAAGACATGAGAGGTACTGCTTTGTCCACAGGGGGCGCTAAGATCAACACAAAATAAAAGTACCTCACAGTAGCTTTGAAAAAGAAAATGTACATACAATAACTAATATTTATTTAATCCACAACATAACCCCGCCATGTGTAAAATGGTATGTGATTCATTGGTTTCTAATGTAAAATCATGACATTGGATTAGTATAGAAAAAAAAAGTGACTACAGCATTAAAATCAAAAGTCCAATATTACCAGATTGGTTTCATTATTGAGAAGGATGCTTCTTTAAATAACTTGGTCATGCTCAAACTCAAAGGAAACACAGCTTCTTCTCCCGTCTCTCTAAATCACACATGGTGTTAGAGGAACACTGGAGGCTCATGTTTTATTATTCCTCAGGGATGAAACTACAAATAAATCCTGCTGACAGAAGGGTGAGGGGTCTGTGGAAGGGTCCGAGGATGGAAGAAGAAATCCTGTGTACTCACTGCTACATATAGAGCTATGACCTGTGAGATCTTTAACAACGGGAGAGATGAAGGTCCAGTTTAAGAGAACAAATAAACATGCCTTAAGGTTCTTAAAAAAGGGTTTTATTTTATATAAAGATGTACAATTTTGATTCTACAATCAAATATGAATTATGGTTAACATCTGTATCATTGCTTACATCATCAGTAGAACTCTCTCCACTAACCACTCTTATCCTAATCACAGTCTTGCTACAGTACCCTGACAACAAAGTGCTTTCTCATATAATATATCTTAAAATCTGTGTTAACTGGAACAGTAAGAAATCTGTAAAATGATTAGATTGAACTTCTTGTTTGGTGAAAAGAGTAAGAAAAAGGAGGTTGTAACTGGTTCTGAGTAAATCATAGTGTGTTTGTTTTTGAGTGTGACCTGGTTTTTAAAGCCATTACAGGCGAGTATGTGACGATTACAAAGAGAGAACCTGAGAGGACCAGATCTATGCCCGCCAAATCAAATGTGGACCCTCACTGAACCAGCAACAGACTAATACAGAACCAGCTCTACACTATTACTCAACATGGACATTTGACAGAACATTGAAGTCAACTTTGGTTAATAAGAACATGAGTATGATAATGCACTTCTGAATGAACACTGCTGAGAAAAGGAGAGTCAGGTGATGCCTTGAGTGAACTACTTATTCATCATGCAGGTGTGCCTGAAACACTGTTCGATGTGAGGCCGCCTCTCTTCATGCATAGTTCCTTTCTGCCAATGATGTGCGTCATGGGAAGACATCAGATAGCCAGCAGATTGTCAAAGCTGCCAGCAGCTGCAATACGTCGCAGGAAACATTATTCATCATTATCTGAAAGAGAGAAAGAAGAGGGAGAGAGAGAATTATGGGCGACCAATAGTTCATGAGAAGGTTAAGAGGTCAATGTGTCTTCATAAGAAATCACAGAAGAGAAGCAGCTCTAGAATAGCTCAGATTTGTATTCTCAACCTCACAGAAAGGATCCCTACAGAGATAGACATTTTATTTGACAAGAAACAGCCTTTACATGTATTTTTTCAGAGCCACCAGATTCTATTTACAAAGACGTAGCTGTAACTGGCAGAACACAGGAGTTACTTGTGTTCCCCTTTAACATCCAAGGTCCCTGATGTTCGATCTCAAGGTTCAAAGTTCAAGCTGAACTTTATTATTCCCGAGGAGCAATTTGCTTTACAGCCAGCAGTGAATAAAACAAGATAAAAATTGATTTCACACAATGAACACTAAAATACACACATCAAGGAGGGAGGGGGGGGTTAAACGGGGACGGGGTTAAAAACCATCAGGACACACACACACTCATACACACTGCTGCTGCTGCTGCTGTCACCATTACCAGCACCAACTTCACTGATTTTAGTAAGTAGATATTGTTATCAGGACATACGATAGCATCATTATGTGAGCAGTCATAATAAACACATCCTAAAAGTGTTCATTTATCTCAATAAGTTTGAAAAAGTGATAACGTAAACAAACTACGATTTTTCACTCATCCATGAGAATATTCACCTTTTGGACAGAGGTCTGTGTATAACGTTCACTCTTTTCACCAGATTTGGATGCAGCCAGATAAATCTTAAACTAGACGTGCAACCTTCAGATTTATTGGTGCCGATTCTTGTGGTGATAAAACAAACACATTTTGTGGGATGTATTTTAGATTTAGGAGAAACATGTTGCAAACACCAGCATTGAGTTCAACATGAAGAATAGACTTAAAAACTGTGACTTAAGCTAACATGCACTACTACTTTTTGTTCATCCCAAATCATATCATCATCGCAATATCGCACATTGTTCTAATATCCTGCAGGCCGACAAGATACACCTGACCAGACTTACCATTAAAAAGGGACACGTGTTCATGGTTCCCTGAGGATGGAAGCTCATGATTTTTAATTCTCCCTGAGTTTTTATCTAGCTCAGCCATGAAGTATAAACTCCTTTAAATTAAATGAATATAAACAGCTAATATCATCTACTGCCTTGAAAATTTAGCAAACTCAAGTAGCAAATAGATTAACTGCAATCATTTTGGAATCATCTTATATTAGCCATGTACAGTGTCATCATCAGGTAAATATTTTTATTTAATCAACATCTTGGTTTATAATAAAAGATAATGGATCTAACAGCACTCCCATCAGCTCATAGTGTACTTACTCTACTGCATCCTCTGCTAATCAGGAAGTGCCAGCATGCAAAAAACGATACACTGTATTGTCCCCTTGAGGAAATTTGTCTGGCTGCAGACATTCGGCTGCCTCCACAGTCAATCAATAAAAACAATAGAAACAGACACATTCACATGTAAACAGAAAAGCACATACCAATGCAAACAACACAACCACATAGATTAGCACATTACCCATGTTGCACAAGATCTTCATAAACACAGCATAAGAGAAAAGATAAGAACCTAAGAACAACCATGACGCTCTTGCAGCCTTCAGAAACATATTTCAGAACTGCATCATCTGGTGTCATTTCTGTCTGGATGAGAGCTGTAAACTGCACCTTTCACAGATCTTAGACAAAGCCTCAAGGGAGATGTGTGACATTTGCATCCCCCCTTCTTCTCCAACAGAAGGTAGTAAAAATAGAAATCAAAAGAATTTATCAAAAGAGAGAGTTTATCTGAAGACTGCTCCCATCCTGAGGGAAACCTGTCAAACTCAACAGAAATACTCCCTCCTCCTCTTTCCGTATCTTCGGTCGGCCAACTGAGTTAGCACAGCCACAGAGCGTCAAAAAAGCATGTATAGAAACTAGTACCAAGTGATGATGATGATGAGCAGAAATAGATGTGAAACCTCATGCGAGAAATGAGGATAGAATTTAACACAATAACATTCACAATACTAAAAAGGGGAGGAAAGAGGTCAAATTCTTACTGGTTGTTTCTAAAATTAAATCAAAATACTTTTCTGAAATGCAGTGAAAAAGATGAAATGTTTTTCAATCAGCTGAGGATAAACTATCATCACTTACCTTCTTGATAAGCTCCGTCTGCCATAACCAGGTGAAGGATGTTGGGATACAGATGCTGATGCTCTGTTCCCAAAATGCTGAGGACCAAACTGGAGCCCAGGTCAATATTCTCATCTTCATCTTCATGCATAGCCTTAAAAAACAAACGAACATCTATTAAAATCAGTCTTATGATGAATATTTACCAGTGTAAACAGACAGAAACAGTTTTTACCTTTATCTTATTGTAGGCTTCAATGAACTTCTCAAAGCCCATCTGCTGCTCCAGGTTGAAGCGCAGCTCTTCCAGACGGCTGAAGATGCTGTCATGATGTGCAGCCTCCATGCCATGGTCCTCTCCGCTGCCATCTGTGGTGCAGCAGCATTTATCAGATCTCAGGATAATGCTACATTTACAGGGGATATCTGCTATTTTTAAACATGGGCTTATTACCGTATTACATAATTAGGGGTCAACTGATTATCGGTCCGACCGATTATTGGTGGTTGCTATTCATCATTTAGCCAATTGGATTGGTGTTTTATTTTACTAATCGCCAATTAAATGAATTATTTTTAAAGTGTGCTTCTTCATCTGATTGGCTAGATGTCAAACCAGTAATAGCCAATCAATTCTGAAGCCTGGCTGCCACTGATATGAACAGAGAGGAAAGCCGTCTGGAGCAGGTTGAGCATCTAAACAAAGTCTTGGGTTGGAGTTTATAATATTCCAAATTCTAAATTTTGACTTTATATGAATATCGGTTATCGGTCTCATGAACGTCTCATAACAAGTATCGATATCAGCCCTGAAAAAACAGTATCGTTTGACCCCTAGTTTTAAAGGCTGATTGATTTATCAAGTTTTTAAATTGTTTTGGGAGATTGGTTGAGCCATCAGCTGTGAAATCAGATTGTCTTTCAAAGTGTCTGACAACATTTCAGAAAGGATCACTAAAGAGACAGATCACTTCTTAGGCTATAATACTCTTAAAAAAAGAACAACTGATGATGCATCGCTCTCTCAAAAGCCACCAGACTCCACCGACAAAAATGTTAATTGTGCTCTCTGAACACAAGAGTGTACCATGGCCTGAACGGTTAGTTTATTTGAGTAATTTTGTCGTGTTGGATCCAAGCTAACCTTTAAAAAAAATAAAAATAATAAGTCACACAACAAACTACACAAAAAAAAACTATGCACACAAAGGATCAATGCAGTGGCACAATAGTGACAGCAACAGCAAATCTGAGCAAGCCAGAGGTAAAACGACATCTTTAGAGGAGGTGTTTAAATTGGGCTTGAAAGCTATCTACTGGAGAAATTTTACTCTGTGCTCCTGTTAGTCCCTTTTTAAATTATTTAGTTTACATGTTTTGGTTTCTGACTGACTGAGACTTTGTAATTTTGGTATTTTTGAACTCAATCACTCTGATTGTGCTTAATTTATTTCATGGCCACTTATTAAAAGGCATTAATCACTGGTCATAAAATATTCATTCATGATGAGTTTCCTTTCACAAGCTGAAGTCATTTGCAAGCTTTCAACTCTATCCCAGAGCTGGACTTATAAGCATGGGAATTACAGCAAAAGTCGTAAAAAAAAGATGATTCATGCTTACTCTAAATACATAAATATAACGTATAAAGGTCAATTTCCAAGTTTCATCCTTCGTACCTGAATGCCACTCCTCATTGAGCTGGCTGTGATTACAGTGGTTTTCCTCTCCCACACCGTTTGAAAGCAGATCTCCTGCCTCTTCATCTGCAGGACTCCCATTAGAGCACTCTTCATCCTCATCTTCCTCGTCCTCTTCGCCTTCATCCTCCTCATCCTCCCCATCATCATCATCATCATCATCCTCATCCACAGTCATCTGATTGTTCTCCTGATTGATCTCAGCTGCTATCCTGTTGAACAGCTCGTGGTCTTCACCCTCAGGAGGGTTTCCATTAAAGTCTCCTGAGCCGACCTCTGCAGAACTCCTCATCAGGTCTCCTTCTTCCTGCAGCAGTCTCTCCATGGAGGCCCGGATGTCTCGCAGGTCTTCATCCTCATATCCACTAGAGAGCAGGGAATACTGTTATTACAAACAATGTGCAATGACCTCCTTCTGATGATTGACAGAATCAGAGTAAAAGCAAGATTTCAGTCATGATTAAAACATTATCATCTACCCTCAGACTGCAGAGGTTACTGCTTTGCTAAAAATATGAGTTTATCTTTTTCCTTTAGGGATTTAATCTGTGATATTCTTACTCTTCAGTCTCTGACTGGTCATCATCTTTAGCTGCCTCTTCCAGGTCCTCGATTTCCAAGTTGTTATTGTGGGGAACATTTGTATGACTGGTCACTGCAGAGTCCTGCTGGGGGCTGAAGAGACGGCTGAGGTCTGGTAGGGAGCAGGTCCGAAGCATCTGACAGAAAGACAATATTTCTAATGGAGGCTCGGACAGGGTAACATAGTAATCATTGCAAGAAAGCAAAAAGTCAATTATATTTTATTGCAACTGTCTGCCAAATGTGAATTGTTCAATGTCACATCATTTCAAAGAATAGACAGATGGACTGGGCTCTCTCCCCTGGATATTCATTTATTTTAAGGGCCTTTCAGAATAATAGGCCAGAAGCAATCAAACCCTAACTAGAATCAGTTGAGGTTGTTTGCCTCTGAGCAGTCAAGTAAAGTTGTATTTTCAACATATTTTTAAGAGAACATTTGACTTAAAAACAAAACAACCCATGAGTAGTCCTACACTAAACTAGAGTGTGTGCATGAATATTATTAAAGGAGGGATGTAACACCGAAGAAGTCTTTCCCTCTATGTTTCAATGCCTGAAGGTCCTCCACCCGACAGCAGACCAAACAGGTAGAAGAGGGGTACAGCAAAGAATATTTGGGCATTCTTAAGTAAAAATTAAGAAGATTTCATCACAATAGTGGTAGAGTGGTGATGGTTCAAAATAACAGGGCTAGAACAATGACCAGAATGTTTATGTATGTTAGGATCATAGTGACAAAGCCCCTTTGACAGCCAAGATCTTATCAGTCAATCATTGGGTCTAATTTGATATTTGTGTAAAATCAGAGACATTCCCTCAAGGAGTTTTTAAAGTTACCACGCTTTTGATAGGTGGAACAAAACAGAAAACCCCATATCATAATGCCTGTTGCTTGCGCAGAAGTATACAAACACATTGGCATATTCTCTCCTATACATGTTCTATGTAGCTCTCTGTGTGGAACAATGTAGAGCCGGGCTCTCTGCAGATCTCAGTGTCCCTGATGAAGGTTATGAAAGATATAGGTTGATGGATGCTCCCTCTCTCCTATCACACCGACTGCAGGTACATCGCATGTGATTAATGGCTCTGGCTCTATTCCAGACCACCTCATTAATAAAAAAGACTGAAGTCCTACTAAAAATACCTCACAAGCCCCAACTTCACACCAAGGCATAAGAACAGGTCTGACATTCCTCAACCCCTGCTGCAGCTGGTCTACTGATCAATTCAATAAGGTCATAGTTCACTTGCTGTAGCTATGGGATGTTTTATTTAACCACAATTAATCCTTCCCTAACATACTCATGTCTTGACTTGTAAAACAATATCAGACTGTCTTTTAATAGAAGTAACCACCTTCGGGTTGTTGGCGTCGAACATGCCCGTGGAGAGGCCGATGAGGAGGGCGTCGTGGTGTTTGGAGCGCAGAGGTGATACGGAGCGTGAGCGAGAGGCCAGAGAGGAGGATGATTCATCCATGGAGGACTGAGCCGAGAGCATTGCAAGTGCAGCGGTGCGTCGGTGGGCCGGGGAACACAACTTCATAAACAGGGGCTCCTCGCACTGTGCTGAACCTGAGAGAGGAGGGAGAGGGCAGATGTAATTAAGATACGCTGAGAAAAAAAGATAGGTGCATGTTACTCACTGAGTGTTCGGCTCACCCGATGATGCTGCTGGTTTCTCTGCACTCTTCTCAGACTCCTTAGTGCTTGCTGGTCTTGTGACCCCCTCTGGTGGCCTATGAGAAAAATACACTTTATCTTTACAAGCATATAATGTTTTCAAATATATTGAAGCATTTTCTTGCCTATCTGGAGCTGTCACACAGTGGATTGTATATATTGTCTTGAAGAGCACTACTTTATTAGGATAAAAATGCTTCAGTGTCATCTTGTTTTTTTTTCCCCAGTGTACTGGTCAAAAGAGTTTCTTGGATGGCAGAGCCAGAATAGGTAACCATGTAAAAAGAAAATAAGTAATCTAGGACAGATGTTTATGCATGTTTTAAAGGCAAACATTAGAATGTGTCTGTGCAAGAACAATAGCATTAACATGGAAAACAGTGGTAGGCTGAGTACTACACAATGGTTTAATGAAATGTCTCTGTGCTTGGCTCTGGAAAAGATCTATCTATTTTTGTCTCTTTAGAAAGGGCAAATAATATAAATGGACAGAAAGATGAATACTCACAGTGGCTGTGGGACTTCCTTTGCCCACGCCTGCTGCACACCAGCTGGTGGATGCAGGGTCTGTTTAGGTGCCTCTTCCAAAACCAACAACTCCAGGTCTGCTGGATCTGGAAGAAATCACGACAGACAGGATTTTATTCTACTAAAAATAGATGTACTTAAAAAATGAGAAGCTGAAATATCCAATCAATACAAGATTGAGTGTTGTACTGACCCTGAGGCTCAGTAGAGTTGGGTGGCAGTGTCACTCTTTCTCCTGCACCATCCACAGATACTTTCTGATGTGAGGCCTCATTGGTCACAGCGACACTCTGCTTCTGAGCACCTGGACCATCGCCCGCAACACACAGTGTCAGTGTAGAAGGAGAAGCTGCTTTAGGTTCCTCCACAATCTGGCCTTCTGCTTTCTGGAAAGGTTTATCTGAAAAACACAATGACATAATTGACAAGTTATTAAAATCCATAATAAGCAACACTTTCTCTGAAACAGCACACAACAGTTAAAATAAAAAAATGAAGATTTAAATGATTTCATACCAAGGTGTGATTGTAGAGTATTGTAACAATGCTCATGATATACAAAAAAATACACACAAACAGTAGACTACCCCATACAAACACACTTTGCTACTTGCAGCCGAACCCTTTGAGGACTTTTGAGTGTCACAGTCAGAGCCACACAATTACTTGCTTGAAACAAGTGAACGTTTTACTGGACATTTTCAACAAAATTAACTAGTTATTACTACTAGTTAAGGGCTTGTATGAATGCTTCTCTTTCAGTTCTGTACAAAATGCTTGTTTTAATGAAACATCATTTTGTTTAACCAATTTATTTCTCATGCTCTATTGCTGTTTCACTTTTAATGAAATGTTCCGATTAGGTATAGCCTACTTGGGTGGAAAAAAAAAACCTGACAACTAAAAAAATAGAGTCAATAGCTTTTTCCTACAAAATAAAATATCGACTTACACAAAAGTAATGCCACTCAATCATCACTTATGGGCCACCATACATGCGTGGTGGTGGCTGTGTCTGCAAAGACCCTGTCCCCTGCCTGTTTTGTGTTGTTTTTGTTGACTCGGGACATTCCTGGCTGGGGAGTTGATGTATTTCCATGAACACTTACCAGGGCTACAGACCAGCTCCTCCGAGATAGAGACGTTCTCCAGCTGCTGAGTGAGAGGCTGAAGCTCCGCCTCCTGAAGCACTCGCAACACCTGAGAGTCGGGACTCGCTCCCCACATCTTTCGAGCAGCTTCTTCATGTAGCATGCCCATCTGTATTACTCCACCCACTGTTTGCTCTGCAACAATACAAATACACACAGAGGCACAAAGACACACAACGAGAGAGGGAGGAGAATAACATTTTTCATGTTTCCACTGCAGATTGAATATTAGCAAATTTGCATTTGTTTTTAACTCACCGATGGTCGGGATGCCCGTCTCTTCCAGAGTTTGTCGGGCTACAGAGAGGACGAGTGGAACTCCCGCCTCCCACTTCTTTCTGTCTCCAGCAGAGGACAGTGCATCGTCTGGAGATACTGAGATCACTAGTGAGAGAATGTGGTTAAGATATGATCAGTTTCCTGAAAACGCTTTAAATAGAACTGTTAATGGAAAATGTTCTCTCAATGACAATTTTCGTATCGTTCAATTCATGGGACTTCATTTTTATCTTGCGATGGGCTTGACTTACTGCTACTTGTGACACAGGTTTCCTCTAAGGTTTGCTGTGCCACAGGAAGTACAGGCAGTTCTGCTGCGTCCCACTTCTTTCTGTCTCCGTTTGATGAGGAGGGGCGGTTCTCTGTGTTGGACTGCTTCTGTTGGGGAGCAGGACTCGTCTCTGCAGGCTGTGGAGACGACTCCTCCGACTCCTCCACTGGGACTTGGGCTTTTAGGTTCTGGTTAAGTCTGCGCAGGATCTGTTTTTTCTCACTCTGTTAAAATAAACATTAAATATCATTACTTTCCAAAATGGGATCAAAACTCCTTGACCTTCAGGAAAACTGACGCTTTAATGAATGATTAATAACATGTCATACAGTCACCTGAATGGCAGATGCAGGCTCTTGCTCGGGGAGGTTATCTTTAAGAGGAGACATCTACCAAAAGGAAAATTCATAATTGACATAGCTGCACAACACATTTGAAGACATGGGGTATTATAAACTCTGTGAATGATTACTGACTGCTCCAACATTCTTCAGGGCAGCAGTCATGGATATGGCCTGGATGGAGGGCTTGGTTTCAGGAAGTGCTGGAGCTTTGGCAGGTGGGTCTGGCTGAGAGGGACCCGGCTGAGGGAGAGGAGCCTCAGAGGTAGATGATGCTGTTTCTGCTGCTGCTGCCATGCCAACCTTCACCCCCCGAGCTGCAAGCTTCAACAATATACAAAACCCAGGATTAGATGTAACTTAAACCAACGCAACAGTAAGACCAGGTAACGCTCCTGCCTGAGGAATGTCAGAGTGGAGCAAATAATGATGTCGCTTACGTGGTCCTCCCAAGCTCTCTTTTCGCTCTCATACGCTTCTCTCCTCTTCTTCTCTAGTTGCTCTTTCAGCACAGCAGCACGGGCATTTGCTTGGGCCTGTCAGGGACATAAAAATATACATATGAGGAAGAAAAAAGGTTGTGGCTCAATATATTTGTGAGTGATCAAAGTAAGACATTCAGCCAGTTGCAGCTGATAATTCTAAGGTTGGTAACATTTTAGATGTGTTAGGGAGATGCTATCATGTCATCTCATTCAAAGAGAATTCCTTTGTTTAACACTTGGTCCAATTCCTAAATGACTGATAGGTACAAAAAGATTTCTAATTGCTTCTGTGCATAGCATGGTAAAGCAGCCACTAAATTTGAGTAAGTGCAAAATAGACTTAAAAAAAAAACTAGATATAGATGTCACTGCTTTCCTGAAAACCACTAAACTTCGTTGACAAAAGCAGGAACTTTACCCTGCAGAACACCAGAGTTGCTGGTTTAACGACACCTTACTTGGTGAGTTTGTTAATGTGTGACTAAGTCTAAGTCTTATGTTGCTTAAGTCTTATTGTGTGTTCAATATAAACAGCTATTTCAAAACAACAAAAAACCAAACCAACGAGTCGAGGCCACTTTTGACCACCTACTCCCATATTTCTGTGAGGTTATATTACTTTTTATTGTCAATGGAGTCTATTGGCTGTGAAGAGACCATGTTTGTAGGGATCTTTGCTTAAATTCTTGAAAGCCTTTAAAATAACAATCCAAGCCTGTGAAAGGCAAAAACAAGCACTTTAACTGAATGTACTTTAAGCAGGTGCCATTGAAGACAATTTAGTCTGAATACAGTGAGGCTTCGATCTCTTAAAGATGAGACAATAACAGCCCTATAGGCGTGTTGCCAGGTAAGTGTGGGATTGGTTTTAGAGCTGTACTGTGCGGCTACAAGGCCCATGCTTGTTGAATATCAAGATACATCTGTGACCTCATTACAACAATCAAGAGAGGCTAAATAAGTCTGAGAAGTAGCTGTTGATCACTTCACACAGTGATAAGATTAACTGACATTATCTTTCATGTTGCTGTTACTTTGTTATCAGTTCTGTTTAGTCACAGGTCAGAGTTTTAGGTGATCTAAGTGTTTGAAGTTCTTTTTATCATCTAAGTGTTGCATATTGTAAAATGTAATGTTTAATTATAGACAGACTCACTTTCAAGGCCTCTATCTTCTTTCTCCTGAGCTCTGCCTCCTCATTCGACTCCTGGCTGTCAGATCCATCACTGTCATACTGAAGCACAGTAACCAGAAGACAAAATGTCAGAGAAAAACAGAAAAGGATCCTGAAAAGCTGTGTTCAGAATGAATAAGAAAGAGAGAAGAGGATCACACCTTCTCTCCTCTGAGTCGGGCTTTCATCTGCTGACGCTCATTGAAATTCTGCAAACGGATCTGCCTCAGCCTTGACAAGTACTCCTGATAACAAACACAGAAAAGTTATATACTGATTCGTAAGCATTCCTGCACAGACACACACACACACACACACACAGCTTTGATACCTGGAGTCACAGTCACAAAACATATAAATGATGCACTTTAAGTTTGACTCAAAACACAGTATGATGTTAGCACCTGACACATCAGCCAAAACAAAAATAACATATTTCATTCTTTTATGTTGTGAGCTCGATTCAAAGCAAATAAAAGGCTGCAATACACAACTTAAATTTAAATGGTAAACTTATTTGAAATGGGACATTATAAACGACTTCTGTGAATAACAACAGACATTATTGGGAGGTAAAATAAACAACAGAACAAGCTCCGACTGGACAGTGGAACACCACACACTGTGCACGGAACGGGCATGAGATGCTGGGTTGAATTATGGGAGTGTCAAAGGGAGTTTTGTGCAAAAGTATGAGGGAAGACCAGCCTAGCCAGACGTGCTGTGAGTGAGGTGGAGTGAGAGGCTGGGCACTCAGGCCTGGGCTCCTACCTCCTCCTCTTTGTTGGCTTTGGGCCTCCTGCACCGAAGCGAAGCGGCACGACTTCCATAGAGAGCTGCCAGGTTTTGCCGAGTGCCCTGTTTACCGTTCAATTTAATCAAATTTTAGACGGCAAAAACCCCCCACATCTAACTACCACAACATCATGAGCCAGGAGGTAACGTTGCATGGTCTTTCATTAAGATTAGTTGAATAACCACACGTCGACAAAAAGAGGTTAGACATATAAATAAACCCATAGGAGTTAGCATTTGCTAATGCTGCAGCTCTTCATTGGATTTTAACCTCTTTTTTGTTTTAAGATGAAAATATTTGATTTGATCATTTGATACCTGCAGCATTTTGATGCTCAGCACCATACAGCAGCTAGCTGGTGAAAAAAGTCAACAATCTAGCAATCTGTAAAGCCTGAATGGGTTGAGTTGTTTGTCTAGAACAAGCGAGGTCAGTAAATATTCAGATTCAGTGAGTGGCCAAAAACACAACTTCAGTAGAATGTTTCGATGCATCTGCTGGACAAAGAGCAACATAACACATCAGCTTTAACAACTTCATTTAATACAGTGAGTAAAGACTGTTTGAAGGTAGGTTTCTTTTGATGATCTGAACTAAAACTGAAAGAACCTTTATGCATTTATTTCAGTTGAAAATAACAGCTACAAAACATTCTGACTGCGATCTGAGAGGCTCCACTCTAATTCCCATTACATGCCCCAAACCTGGTGTTGCACCATGTTTCTTAGAGTGGGTTGAGTCACCCATGAGGATTGCATAATGCTTAATGGAAAGGCTTTTTGGGGAGAGCCCGTAAGACCAACTTTTACTGTTAGCACTATTGGCTCAGATAGTCAGTATGGAAATCACAGCAGAGGCAAAGATAGCAAAGGATGTCGACAAAGAGAAAAGAGAGTGTTACCAAACACAGGGCCTGACGAAAGTGAATATCAGACGAGCTTTTAGGTCCTAGCGAGAGAGTAAATTGTACTAAAAAACTGTACGAGGCCAAAAACGTGCCAGTTCATAGTAAATGTTGTTTCAAACTACATTGTTTAAAAGTTAGTTAGTTACTCAGGGGTTAAAAGCATTTAATTTCTCCATCTAATAGAACATTTACTAATTTGTCTTGGTTTTGGTGCAACAACTTTTTTATACAGCTACTCTTTTTTTCTCCCTTTATTGTGTTTAACAGTTAGCTTTAATTTGGCTGAGGGTGACATCAGGCTGTTTCTGTTTGTTTTTTAAATAGTGTAGTTAGTGAAAGCTAAAAGGAGCTTTTAGTTTTATATTTGATCATAATGCATCGTCTCTTTGCAGTTGCGCAGAGTGGTCGCTATCAATATGTTCGGTATGGTTCAGTTATCAAGCAATGGGATTAAATACTCTTCATATTACCCTTATTTTATAAAAACTGTGAAAGTTACACTACATACCAGCTGTCCTTCAGCACGAACTTTGTTGAGCATTGCTTCTCTCTTTCGCTGTAAAAACTCCTCAACCTGATAGGCCCGTTCAGGAACCATCTGAAATCGTGGCCTGAAGAACAGAAGGTCATTAATACTCTTGATACCTTTCCCTCTGTGAGAAGAGCAAAAGGTTCAGGGAGAAGTTGAGTGACTGACCTGCTGATATGAACTTGTTTAGAAACGTGCTGCAGCCTCTGTAGTTCCCTTTTGATTATGTCAGGATTTAAGGGTCGGGACGGGCCATTGGGCAGCACCGGGCCAGCAGCAGGCGGTACACTTCTTACAAACAGAGAGAGAAGGCCGTTACACTAAATATTCAACACACCTCAATAGAAGAAAATGAAGATTTGATCTCACTTACCGTCTGGGACTGCCTGGTCCTGCTGAGGACCCCTCCCTGCTGACCACTGCAGGCTGGGGTTTTGACATTTGGTCCAAAGCAGCGTGGAAGTGTTCAAAAGGGACTTTACTCAGAGCTGGAGGACCGCCAGAACTGGGGACAGCCCTCTTTCCAACGCCAACAAAGCACTGAGAGAATAATAAAAAAAAGTGGTTTCATGCTATAATGAAATAGGACAATACTTATATGAGTACACTTGTGTGTCATAACATCTGAAACAGGCATCTCTTACCTTCCTCTCTGGGCTGCTGCCTCCACTCGAGCTCAGGACATGCTTCCAGCCCTGTTCTCTGGCCTGGTTTATACGATTGATCTATTATAGATCACAAGTTCATATTCAGTATTATGAGGAGACATTAAGTTTACTGACTTTCTTTCACACTGCAATGCAGTAAGCAGAACAATGAATCTCTGTAATTAGTGTCAGATCTGCTGATAATTAAAAAAATTGCTTTTTCAAAGTCGATATTTGTGTGTGCGTGAAATTCCTTACTTATCTTTATATTCTCATTTCTATTAAAAATACATGAAGTAGCACTACTGGTTAGGATATATTTTCCCTACATGTAAAGCTTTATGTAGAGACAATTGGAATACACTCTCTCAATTGAGGCACATTTTTACACATATTGTCCAAAAATTCCAATGATGTTTGGACATCCAAAAATTGTAGTATGTCTGGTATAGCAAGGCTGCACTAGTTTCTGTGGGATCTGAGGATTTTTTTAGACAGTTCATGACTATTTATAAAAAATAGAGATATCTTAACATCAAGGAGTAAACTTCACACCCACCTTTTCCTTTTCAAATCTCTTCATTTGCTCTGCTTTCAACAGGACCATCTGAGGGTAACACAGATTGGTAAACGTATTAAAACGCAACAACTATCAGAAACTTTTCATCGTTCGTTATTAAATAATTCACACACCTGTTCTCTCTGTTTTCTCTCCTTCTCAATCAGCTCCATCCTTTTCTTCCTCATGCCTTCCTGAAGCAGGAGGGAAAAGCATCTCAATCAAAAAAAAAAAGTCAAAACAGAAGCCAGCTTTGCTAAAGGAGACAGCAGGACTGCTCTGTCACTTGGCAGGCAGGTAAGGACAGAAAGTTTAGTAAACAGAGAAAGAGAAGTGAGGCACAACGCTCTGCATGAGACAGGATCGGAAAATGAATGCATCCAGGGATTAAGCGTTATGAGAGGGAGCAATAAGAAAGGGGCCTTCACATTTACTTAAATTGGAAGAGAAATGCAGGAAAGAAATCTGAGAGTAAATTCAATTGATGTGGGGCTCTCAGCTGTACCTCGTGTTTTTTCCTCTCTTGCTCCACTTGACTCACTCTTCTCTGGGGGGCTGCTGGGAGAGGGGCCTGAGCAACATACAACACTGGGGTTCAGATGATATAAGCAGCACAGACTCACACAGACAAATGGGAGAGGCCTCTAATGTGACAGACTATGAGCACATCATCAAATAGAGCAAAAAGGTCAAAAGTGAAGCTAAAAAATTTAACAACAATCTACAAACCGCTTTATGCTTCACAGCTGGTTTCCTATCCGCCTGCTTTTTGGCTGCTTCTGGCACCTTCCTCACAGCTAAAGGCACTCCGTATTTGCAGGCTGGTTTGGTGATCTTCTGTGCTGGGGTGAGTGGTATGGAGCCAGGGGCAGATCGCTTGGCTGGCCACACAAGAAAAATGAAAAGTAAATCAGAAACAGAGACAATTTGTAAACATATATATAAAAAGCGAAACAAATACACTTGTTATTTAAAGTACAGATTATTTTAAAGTGGTTTTACTGACAGGTCTCCATAGCTGATAAGGCCATGCCATTGAAATATACCTAGCGTTTTGGGATCGCTTGCCTGCTTTCACCAACAATTAATCAGAAGAAAAAAAATCCCCTGAAGAAGACTTCAGGTCGAAACATTGTGATTAAATTAAAACTTTGTATGGCAATTGAGCAAGTGTGTGGGCATATCTTTTCCCTTCTGCTTACTCATTGTCAAACATCCAGCTCTTGCTTTTGATTTTCTTTCTTTATTGGACTCAGTCTTTCTGGACTTGCTCTCCTCTTGCTCGCGCTCGTGTACCTCATCTAGATGTATGTACTGTACCTTGTGCCTTGAGGTTGCGTACACTATGTGTGTATGTACTGTATAGTCTGTATGCATATATATGTACATGTATATGCATTTATATGGTGCATATGTGTGCATGGGTGTACACAGCTTTATCTGTACATGTATGTTATTGCAGAGGTTTTCTTTTCTTTTTTCTTCAGGTTTTTCTGATTGTGTAATATTGGCTGGTTGGTGGGTGGCTAGGCTTGGGGGAGCAATAAGTGCGAGTGATTGTGAGTGTGTGTGTGGTGTCTCTGTGTTTAAATGTTTTGGTATGATGTTTTGGATTTACCTTTCATTTTGATTTTGTATTACTGATGATTATATTTATGTTTTGTAAGGACCCCCTTGAAAATGAGATGATGCATCTCAAGGGGCTATCCTTGAAATAAATTACAAATTACAATTACAAAAATTATATCAATAAAACATTCAATTAAAAGCACCAAATTAAGTTAATGAGGCACTTCTCCTTCCACATGTAAAGGCCTTTGTTACACTGTTTATCACTTTATGATGTTGTAGAGTATTTAAGATTAAAGATAAAGGAAATGAATAGCATTTTATTGCTTAATTAAATTGGTGATTTAGTCTATAAAATATTTTGTTAGATTTGGCCAGAAGATCAGCTTTAAGAGAGAAAAAGTTCAGACTGAACCAGCCGCAGTGAAAAGGAGTCAAGAAACAACATGCTCTTGCTGTTGTTTGCAACATTATCAAGGTGAACTACTTTCTGTTGCATGCATGGAATAGTTCTGCATTGCTTTTTCTCCTCTCTGGAAAATAGATATCTACTCACCTGGTGGCCCCTGCGCTGCACCCACTTTAGGCTGCTTGTGTAGAAAAGTATGATGGAATTCCTGAGCAATGATCTAAAATCAGGAGGAAATAAATAGTTTTAAACCAAACACAAATAACCCAGTCAGAAAGTGTACAACTAAAAGTGTGCTCTACCTGTGGTGTAAGGAACTTCTCTATCCTACAGGTGAGGTAAGGTTTGTCCAGTATGCTGCAGACGGACGGCCTCTCTCGAGGGTTGCGTTTAAACAGCTGAGCCAAGAGAGAGCGCAGTTCTTGGGAGTAGTGGAGAGACACAGGAGGGTACGAGCCACGGATGATCTTCAGAACTAAATTCTTCATGTTTCCAGCCTCAAACTGGGGAGAAATAAACACAAGAGAAAATCACTGATGGCAATGAAACACCATCATGGAGTAAAGATAAGAAGACATACCATAAGTTTAAACCTAACTCCATTTTTACATGTTTTGTTATTCCAATGTTTTGTAAGCTTAAACAATATAAGCTTCAGCCAGCACCTATGTGGGTAAAGGGTTAAAATATGTCCTACCAAGGTAAGTTCACTAACAGTGCTTTTTTTTTTTGCCACTGGCAGGCTCGAATTGTTTTTAAAACTGTGAAAACATTACAAACAGGATCCAAAAAGTCATAGAACCACAAACAGTCGTAACATAAAAGCCAACAGGATGAATTAGCAACATGCACAACATGGGCACAGGGGAGTTGCTGGTCATATTCTCAATCGGTTGGTCTATTGGGTTAATTGATTAAGATTCAACACACGATTTGTACAATATACAGCCAAACAAAGTAGTGGTAGAACATCAGCTCCTGTGGTGCGTGAGGAAAAATTACAGTTCTTTTGGACAGATTCTGATTGCTTCAACTGAGTGATTTGGATCATTTTACTCAAAACCTTTTTTATTACATTGTCAGATACTAACTAGGGCGCGACCGATATGGGATTTTTGGGGCCGTTATCCCAATTTCTTTTCTTTTTTTTTTTGGGGGGTGGGAGGGGGGTGATCCAATACTGTTGAATCAGTAGATATAGATAGATAGATAAAGATATACCTTTATTGACTTGATCAAAAAGAAAAGATGGTCATTCAACTGGAAAGTATCTGCGCATGTACGTGCATCACCACTTGACACTTGTTTTGATAAAGCTTGTTTTAATTCATAAAGCATACTCTCCTGGTGATCGCCAGAAAAACAACTGCTAGTGTAACATAATGATAAATATATGAAATGCTATTGGACTGGTGAATATATCTAGAAATATTGACACATGTCGGAGATAAAAAATAATTAGCGGGTGCAGATAGTCACTTGATATGCTAATACTGGCCGATATTATCTGCAGGACGATTAATTGGTTGGGCTCTAATACGAACAGTAACAGTCTGAGCCTGTCAGTGGTAAAAATAAGACACATTAACATGTAATTATTTGAAGGGGTCTATTAATCTTGTGTGATTACATTGTAGCCACTAGAGCCAGATTGGCTGCTGGATGCAAAAGCAAACTACTTGAGAAAAAAAAACTAAGCATGACTAATAGTCATTTAGAGACCAAAACATCTAAAACTATGAACCAGGTTGAAAAATATCAGCGTACACCTCCACTCATCACACTGTAAGGAGTTACGGATTTCACTATCAGACTCTCAGGAAAAGAATGACTAATTCTCTGAAACCTTGTTTGTCAGCGGTTATACAAAAGTATTCACGGGGAAAATACAAAATCAGTATGTGAGAGAGCATCGCAATGCTGCATAAGAAACATCAAACCTGCATAAATGAGTAAACAGTTCACACACAGAGTACTTACTGCATGCTTAAGAGTGCACATTTCATATAGGACACACCCTAGGGCCCAAATATCACTGCAGAGGGAGGGAAAGTAGGGACAATGAGAGGAGAGAAGATACAAACGGACAGGCAGGGATAATTTCTTGGGGTAGGTTTGCATTCATAAAATAATTTATCAACAGTCACATTTCCTTTCTTTATCATTACTGGAATAAAAGCAACATCGTTGCTGGGAAAAAATCAACATACAAAGATGGCTACATTGACTCATTAGCTGACACCAAAGTGGATTAGATTACATGTCTACTTAACAAAGTTCAATAGGAAATCAATACTTGCTCCCTGCTGTAGCTACAGACAGGCAGGTTCACTCAATAAAGGAGGAGACATGATACCTTTACATCAATCACTACCTCATCCTGTATGTTTCACAACTTGCTTGCCTTAAAAATTACACCACAAATGAGACAAGCACTCATATTTTGGTATTCCTCAACATCATGTTAGTACCTTTTGTTGTTGTAGGGTTTATTTTCACAGATCTCAGGTGATAGATAATATGGTGTTCCTATACAAGTTCTTGCCAGCTCCACGGTGCTGAAAATGAGAAGAGAATGTGAATCGTACTATGCCTTTATAATCCAAATTCTTAGCTTACAAAGATCCTCAGATCTGATTTTTTTAAATACCTGTTCAGCACCCTTGCAATTCCAAAGTCTCCAAGCTGTACAGTCCCATCTTTGGTCAAAAATATGTTCTATACAGACATGATGAAAAGACATGTAAGAAGCAAAACAGAAGGCTAATAACAAACTTGTAGTTTTGGTGGAATTCAGGAATACCTGTGATTTGATGTCCCTGTGGAGGATTTTGCGATCATGTACATGCTTCAGGGCCAGACAAATCTGCACAAACCAATTCAGGATCTAGCAAAAACAAAAATGTTGGTGAACTCACATTACATGATATCAGGTCTGTGGTTATACACACACTGTTATACCAGGTGTGACACATTTGCTTGTTGATGGTTTTGAAAATATAGTTCTGAAAGGTGTAACAAAGCAGTAACTATTCAATCAGAGCGTCTACCAAAAACACAAGCATTGTTTAAAGGATCAGTTCTTATATATATATATATATATATATGAGATTTTTTTAAAAGTCTGTCTCTTCCATAACAGACTGTAATAAATTATGAGGATGATACAACTCTATGATTTCACTGATTCTCTACAACTCACTATTTAAAACATATTGTAGCTCTTCAGGACGCACTTGTTAGACTTAAACTATTCCTTAATTCAATCTAATTTAAAAACTAAAATCTTAAGAGATGTTGGTTATTAAAATTTAACCAATCATTGGAAGAAAGTGAAAACCAAAGAATCATTATTTAGTTTCTATATTTACAAACAAGTATGGCTGCTCGTTTTTTACAAAAACCATAATCAAAATGAATTTGATTGGTATTGAGATCATGACTATTAAAAAACGATTACTCATCGATTTTTACAACATCTGCATCACATGCATTTATCAAACTTAAACACTATTGACACTTTAACATTCTCAATACTTTGAAAACCAAAAAATTAATGAAATAAACAAGTGAAAAATAGAAATAATAACATGTAATAATAATGAATAAATAAATGGATTCATGTTTTTGATGAAGTGGTGATGTACTGTTGTGGCCAAAATAGAACAACAAACACTTAGGTTATGTCATGTGTGGTAAATGTTTCTAAGGACTTTTTTTTTTGGGGGGGGGGGGGGGGGCTTTTTGTGCCTTTATTGTATAGATAGGATAGTGGATACAGTCGGAAATCAGGGAAAGAAGTCATTTAAGGATACTGATAGAACAGGACAGCTGTCATTAAAAGTAACGCATGAACACCAAGATTTTGTGTCAGCGTCCATCTGCCTGCACCCCCCCCCCCCTAAAAAAATAAAATAAAATAAAAAGCTGTAAACCTAGGGGAAACACTGAATTCACATGTTGTCATTCAGGCATATTCCAGATATTGTTGATTTCCTCAAAGAGTTACTAACTTACTTGCTCTTCTGAGAACAGTACTCCTTTTTGAGAGTTGATCTTCTTGAAGAGGTCTCCACCCTCACAGTAGTCCATCACAATATACAGACAACCCCCCTCTAAAAGAAGTTTTGAAAGACATGTTAGGACATCATAAAATACACATTATACTCTATAGTCTGTGTTTTTGTGAATATACCTTCAAAAGACTCCTTATACTGCACAATGTTGGGATGACTCATGTTGGCAAGGACTGCAACTTCTTTCCGAGATTCCTGCCTCTCTTTACTTGACATCTGAATAAGAATAAGGTGAAAATGTGACAGATATAAACAGGGGAAAGGGGCTCACAACTAACATAAAATGTGATAAATAATGCATGGCAGCTTACTCCAGATATGCCAATCTCCTTGATGACATATTGGTGTCCATCCTCTTTGGATTTGACAAGGACAGCCTTTCCAAATGACCCTTCCCCTATTTTCTTCACCTTTTCGTACTTGTCCATGTTATTGAAATGGCTGGATCCTCATGCTGGTTCTGCAGAGAGATCACGGAGAACATTGCATAGCTGAGCCCAAGCTAACCCGGTTTAGATTAAATAAAAGGGTTTAATGATAGTAGTTTAGTAAAAGGCAATGATGACATCCACTCGTGTGAACTTCGGTCCACATGGTTGTTGTAAACTGTGAATATACCGTAATGTCAGCTCAGTTACGGAGTGACAGCAGACAGAAAGGATGTATGATGCTGCTGAGACAACACACAACAGCTTGTAGCAAGACAGCTAGCGTTACCGTTTACATAGTCGCTGGATAAAGATGATGGACCAAGAAAATCAATAAACTATATGTCCTATGAGTGGACTGAGAAATATAACATACATAGTTCACTTGTTAGCAGCAGTTAGATAACATTAGTAGGCTAACTCTGAGCTTACCATCAGTCTTTTCGTCGCTGTCTCGCAGTGCCTCTGCTACTTGCTGCTACAGTCCGCGCGCTCTCTATCTAACTACAAGCTCTATTTTTGATGCGTTTTGATTGGCCACCTACATATTCCTCGATCGTGGATTGGTTTATACAGCTGCTTGTCATCTAAGTGACTGACAGCGCTGGTCTCCACCCCAGTAGGGCTGTTGCTGTGGACATTTTCCATAGCAACCACAAGCCAACCGTGGATCTGAACCATAGACTGTAACTGAAGCCAACCAAAATCACTGTATTTTTTCACTTTTGTTTACTTTTTTAAAGTATTTTTTTAAGCATTTCTTAAACTTACAACTGTAGAAATAACAGTAATTTAAATGTTTCTTACTAGTTTGATACATATTATATATATTAAACAAAAAATGATTATGAAATATAAATATTAAGAAAACCGGGACATTTATTCATAGATTTAATATTTACAGTCTATGGTTTTTCCTTGGGACTTCAACTTACGCCTGTCTTTATGTTGAGATAACAGCACTGTGTTACCATAGACTGTAAGTGTGTTACTCATGATAACAACCTAATTTCTCGAGATCATTAGAAAAAAAAAATTATTAAATGAAAGCCAGCCTTATTATCCCAAGATAACTAGATAAAGAAGTTGAGATGTGAAAAAAACCCACAACTAAATATAGTCGTTATCATTGGTAAACGGTGTAAAAAATAATGTGATGATAATAAATAAAATTAACTAAATAAAATTAAAAAACAATCAAATTGATGAAATACTTCAAAACATTTCAAGGCCATACCATACCTGAATTTATGCAAATAGTTTAAATTCACTGAGACAATGTTTAAAAACACAACAAAATCAATCATGTTTTAAAATAAATAAAATTTCGTCCTTTAGCATAATGCCTTGTCAAAACATGAATCTATGAATATAACTTGTGTTTTTTAATTAAAATATAATGGGATCTTTACTGTTGAGACCAGGACCAGTACATGATAAGACAGACTTGTAACTTGTAGTGACGTCACTTCCTGTTTGATTGTATCGCAGACTGTGGAGATGACGCACTGAGCTTCAGTGTAGATAGTATTGTGTGAATATGGCCCCCTTTCCGGACGAGGTGGATGTTTTTACTGGTCCACATTGGCGAATGAAGCAGCTAGTGGGCCTATATTGCGAGAAGGTTTGTCTCAATACATTTCGGTTGTTCATTTTAAATGTAAAGGAGAAATATGTTGACGGTGAAGGTCCAAAGAACGAATGAACGACAGCTAGCTTTGTCAGCTAGCTTGTGGCTGAAGCATCGAGTCAGTCTCACGAAGCTCCCTGCTTTGACTTGTGAACATTTTAACACTGATGAAAAGTCATAATTTGTATTGAAGAAGGTACTGGGTTTATGGTAATAGTTTCAACAACCCATTCTTCTAACCAGCTGAATTTGCTAACTGGTCTAGCTAGCTTAACTTACTGTGCAAGATCGCATGTTATGTAACATGCTTTAAGTATCTTTCCCCTTGTTTTAATGTTCCCACACACCGTTTATTGCATTGTAATGTCATGGGTTTACACGTTAAGTGAAGCACATCTGTGAACAGTTCAGATGTGACATTATGTAAGACTGGTTTACAGTGATGTTAGCTGTCTGAGTCTACATTTGATGTCGCACTCAGCTATTGCATTAAATTGTAATCTAGAATTGCAATAAGGAAGTACACCTGTTTATATGTATGTCCTGGAATTTATTTGAACACAAATGACGTATCATAAAATGATTAATGTTTTTTTTTTTACCACAGCTGTCAAAAACCAACTTCTCCAACAACAATGATTTCCGGTCATTTCTTCAGTCCCTGTGCGCCACCTTTAAAGAGTTCAAGATGCATGAACAAATTGAGAACGAGTACATCATCGGCCTGTTGGAACAGCGCTGCTGCACTGTGTACAATGTGCACTCTGACAACAAACTCTCTGAAATGCTGTCCCTCTTTGAGAAAGGCCTGCACAGTGTGAAGGTAAACATTCACACATTAACAATATTTTGTCATCCCCCTGAACAGGCTCAAGATAAAACATGTGTGTGTTCTGCAGAGGTCAGCTGATACTTCATGCCAATTGTTGGGTAACACTCTGTCATTAAAATAACTATTATTTTACTCCAACAAAGACTGCAGTTTGAACAACATCAACATTTTACTGTTGATGTTATCCTAAATGAAAGCCCAACGTCACTGTGTTATTTGGATTAACAGCTCGGGTATTTTATTCAAAAGAGGGCTGAATTGTTTAATAAGGGCAGGGTTGTTTTTGTGATCTGCTTAACAACAGAGAACAGTGATTGTTCCTGCTTAACCACAAAAATGGGCTTTCCTGAATGATGCAATTGTGTAAATCTTTACTTCCGCTCTGCCCCGTCAGTTTGTAAAACACAAAGGCACATTTTCTTGCTTTTGGATTTGATGCTGCACAACGTCACAAGAAAAGGAGGTTTCTCCTGAATGTAAATACTGTGCAAGGATTTACTTTTACTTATAACTTATTTTGTAGATGTTACAGGGGGCAGAATAGTGATCATGTCAAGGTTATTAGTCATTATGCCCATTTCCAATATTTCCCAAGAGACTATTTCCTTAAAAAAAACAAGGCTGCTCTAATTCAGTTATCAAAAAGACTGAACTGCTAGATGGTTTCAATTAAATCTTAAGATGTCTCAAATGCCATGGTTTTATGTGACTGAAATAATTAACAATTGTGATGTGTTTTTAGAGTGAATATGAGCAGCTTAACTATGCCCAGCAGCTGAAGGAGAGACTGGAAGCTTTCACACAAGACTTTCTGCCGCACATGAAGGAAGAGGAAGAGGTATAACCTGTTCACAAATTGTTTCTTTAATTATGATAAATACCTTTATATTGTCCTTAAAGTGGGTAAGACTTAACAGTGGCTCATAAAACAGCGAGGGCATAACAACAAAATAAAACGTTTAAAAACTTGTTTGTTTACTTCCAAGCAAACTTCCCTTTAACTAGTCGTCAGTAACCTAAGGAGATTTCTTACAGGTGTTTCAGCCTATGCTTATGCAGTACTTCACCTATGAGGAGCTCAAGGACATCAAGAAGCAGGTGATAGCACAACACTGCAGCCAGCAGCACTGGGACTGTGCTGCTGAGGTGCTGAAAGGCTTCAGCTTATGGAGCCAGGCTGAGGAGCTGCAAAAAGCCTTTAAATATGCCGATCATGAGAAGACAGATTATGGTTAGTGAATGTGCTCATGTTAAATTGCTTTATGTCACACTTGTATTTAAGAAATGCTTGATATTTTTCATACCTGAAGCAAGAATCCTACGCACACAAGCACTATCTCCTTTTTTTTAAATTACATCTCATTACTGCTACAATTTGAGATGAAGTGTTTAACGGTGACATTACATTTATTTATTTTTTTAAAGAAATATCATGTATGAGTGCAGTTTACACATTAAGTACATAGCATAGATTTTCTTGGAAGGCAGATGGTCTAAGTAAAATATTTCCATCATAGTTTCAGATTTGGATTCTATTATGAGTTGTTTGTCATCTTCCTCAGAACTCGAAAAGAACCGAAATTCCTCCACCCACATCTCCCAGCTTCCTACAGAGATCATGCTCAGACTGTTCCACTATCTTAGCCCTGAAAGTCTGTGTCGTTGTAGTCAAGTGTGCAGCTCTTGGTCAGAGCTGGCCAAGACCGGCTCTCTGTGGAGGCACCTGTACCCTGTGCACTGGGCCCGAGGTAGGCTGCTGATGGCTGGTTATTAAATAAATGATTTCCTTAGCTGAAAACTGAATAAAATAATAATAATAATAAATGCAATTAAGTATGTTGTTTCTGTATAGGGCTGATGCATATTTATGTCTCTGATGTAGGGGATTATTATAGTGGCCCACCTGAGGATCTGGATCAGGAGCCCGATGAGGAGTGGGTGAAGAGTCGTCAGAATGAAGGACGGGCCTACCAGGAATGGGACGAGGATGCTGATGTTGATGAATCTGGTGAGATTTTGTCTAAAGCAAAGTTATTTTCAATAATGGTAGCACTTCCAGTATGTTTCATCCATTTTTTTTTAACAAAAACAACCAAATTAAATCAAAAATATATATAAAACAGTGGCTAGTTTCAAACACCTTTTACCTTCCCTTTTGCCAGTATGAAAATAGTAAGTTTATGCACTTAAAAAAGAAAAAACGTGTTTTCATTGGTCAGCTTTAAAAGAAGTTCACTTATCAACGTTTTTTTATGCTGATAACAAAGTGCATAAAATAATCTGCTATCAAAAGTCAGAAAGTCAAAAGTACTGGTAGCTAGTTTTGGTGCCGACTATTGAGTCCAAACAGAGTTTAAGAGTTTTAGCTAAAAGGCCGGAAGTCTATTCTTCAAAGATATTTAAAAACAGTTCAGTATCTACTCTGAGTTAAATTTATTGTTCTTGTTTACTGTCTGTCTAGAGGTATCGGGCCAAAAACAGAGCTCCCTGGCAATCAGCACGGCTCAGCGTGAGAAGAAGCTCCTAAATGGGATTATTCAGAACCTGCTGCCAGCTGTTGGTCCGTCTGTTAAGTCCATTGTTCTGGCCTACAGCTCTACAGTCTCTAGTAAAATGGTAAGAGGAGAAAAGTCTTCATTTTACGCTGGAATTGAACCTCTGATTATGAACGTGGTGACAAGTCTTTAACTGTCAAACTTGTGTATATTCTTTTCAGGTCCGCCAGATCCTCAGTTTCTGCCCAAATATCACTCACCTGGACCTGACCCAGACAGATGTCACAGATTCTGCATTTGACAGGTTAAAAAATAAAAGTATTTACTAAATTATCAGTAAGTCATTGACCCTAGTGAACTCCTTTTATTTAACTCATCATCCTTACCCCGTCTTTACTCTCCTCCCTCTTTCAGCTGGTTATCCCTGGGAGCATGTCTCTTTCTGGAGCACCTGGATTTGTCAGGGTGTGAGAAAATTACTGATCACACTCTGAAGAAACTGTCTGTTGGACTGGGTGACCGCACATCTTCCCCCTGTTCGGGCAAAAACCCAGACCGTCGAGCTAAGCTTCTGAAAAGTTCACCAATACCCATCACATTCATGGAGGAGAAAGGCCTGCATCCAGTCGTGCGGAAGCGTCAGGCTCTCATCTTCAAGCATGGAGCTGGCCGTTGGGGTACTGCCAGCACCCCCACACGGGTGTGGGTCCTCGACTCCTCAGACCTCGCTGATATTGAAGATGCAGCAGACTGGAGCCGTCATAGTGGAATAGCTCTTCGTGCAGAAGAAAGCTTTGTAGAGACCCAGCTTGTGGGAGGCTCATGCTGCTGCAGGAGGAGCAGGAGGCGTGGGCACAGGACTAGCTCAAATGCCTCTTATTTGCATCAGCAGTTTGCCATGTCTGGGGAAATATTTTGTGGTCACTCCACCTGCTGCGCTAGCGACATGGCCCTCAGGACATTTACTGGGCCTCAGAGTGAATCGAGCACATTCAGAAGCAGCACTGCAGAGTTTCGGACTAAATGCTCCTCAGTTGGGGGCCTGCAGTGTGGGAAAAGGACTGACCAGTCAGAGGAAAAACGCTCACTGAGGTTTCTCAGCCTCTCTGGATGTTATCAAGTCACAGATTTGGGTTTGAGGTAAAGATCATGCCTTGCTGTTTTCACAATTAACATAAAACACATTTTATTCTAGGATAAGTGGCTTACAATTGTTTAAACAACCATTTTCAAAACACAGAAGATCAAATCCTTTACATAGGCAAAGAGAAACCGTTAAAAAAAAAAGTCATCCCAAAAACAATGAGCCATTAAAGACAGAATTAAATGAATTAAGCTTGGCATAGGAACACAAGTTTTTTCAATTGTGTAAACACCCATTTACAGAATTAATATCTTAGAACTATCTTGTTTATTTATCTGCCTCAATGAGATGGAAAGTAGAAAGCAGTTTATGTTCCCGCCATGACATCACTCATTGTGTTTTGATAAATTTGAATGCTTGAGTTTGACATTTTGGCCGCCACATCTTGTTTTTACTCTAAAAGTGAACATGTTTAGAACAGAGGGTGAATGCATATTGCTATACCACCATCCTTCATCACATCAGCCACGTGTCAATCATCTGTCCTGATGATAATTCAGCATTTTCATCTCTTTAATTCTTAAATAGCACTAAAATTAACACAATAAACATCATGCTGTAATGATAAAATGTTAACAAAGGTAACATCAGTCAAAACAAAAGTTCCTTTTTTTTTCATACATTTTTATACAAAATGACTTGTTTTGCAATCAGTAGTTTCCACATTGGCTTATCTTTTGAGGTACGTCCATCTCTTATTTACAGTCTGACCTGATGCTAAAATGCCTGCATACTCATAATGTTCAGAAGGGGGAGACTCCATTGGAAGTACAAGGAAGGCAAATGTAATAGAATTATCTAAGAAAATAAGCCTACTATGTATTACCTCAGGATACATTTTCCCAGTAAGTTTAAGGTCTCAATCTTTGGTTTCGAGTTTTCTCCAATGCAGCATCATTTTGTTAATTATGGCCTCATGAAGAAAAAAAATACATAAAACAGAGTGTGTTATGTCAGGGTAACTTGTCAGGGTTGTAAAGACTCTTCAATGAGGAAAGAGATGTTGCAATAACACTCAATACTCTTGTCAACAAATTGTGTGTGCGTGTGCGTGCGTGTGTGTGCGTGCGTGCGTGCGTGTGTGCGCGTGTGTGTTTCAGGGCTCTGTCGCAGCGTGGAGGACTTCCTGTCCTGGAGCATCTCAACCTGTCTGGCTGCCTCTTCATCACTGAGGCGGGGCTGCAGGAGCTGGTGTCAGCCTGTCCTTCCCTCAATGATGAGCACTTCTATTACTGCGACAACATCAACGGTAACATTCCCAAGTCAAACTGTGTGTTGTGTCTTGTTGATGGAAGATCTACTGAAATGTGTTGCATATTTAAATAATATTACTAACTTCACCTGCAAAGCATGTGTTCCACTGTTAGTAACAGATGATGCCACAGAGGTGGAAGGTAAGTAGGCACCACAGTAGCCAGTAAGATGCCTTCATTTTTCTTTTCATTTATTCATATTATTCATTACTTATTTAGAGTACCGGTAGGTATAGAGTGTGAATGTAGACGCTTTCTCTCCATAGAGTTTATATGGAGAAGTGGACATTGAGAACAAGGCATCACCTATCCGTTTGGGAACTACAGTTTATAGGCCTACATTTTTACATTTTTTGGGTGTCCCTTCTGATAGAAACTTGTCTTTACAGGTAGTTACCCCTCATGCGTAGCCTGTTCTATCACCGGATTGACTTTAAATTAGACATTATTAAATAGTTGACACTAACATAAAGACCTTAAACTACCTTAAAATATTTACTGAAGTAGTAAATCAAACAAGAGGAAATGCTTTTCCTCTTGTTTGATACAACCAGACTTCTATTTACAACCAGTGGCGTTGCCCCTTGCTGGCCTTTAGAAAGATTGCTGATTAAAGGCACATGCATTTCCTTCACTTTGCAGACTTGAAGGCCGTGCACACCACTTAAATATTGTCATATTGTTTTGATTGTCCTGTAACCCCTGTGTGATGTGTTCTCTGCAGGTCCTCATGCAGACACAGCTAGCGGCTGCCAGAACCTGCAGTGTGGTTTCAGGGCCTGCTGTCGCTCCGGAGAGTGATCCTGCCGAGCAACGCTCTCCTAAAATGTCTCGTCTCCTTTTTTATTGCACTTTATCCTGGGAATACCGGTTGCTGTATTTTGTGTCACTTCTAAATGTTTCAGTATGAAACAGTACATTCTGCTCCTGTTATTTCCATTTCCATCTATATTAAAAAGGAAATAATCTTCAGAAAAGGTAAAGGGGTAATAATGGATTTGAAGTGTCTGAAAATGTAAATTCTGGTTGGTGTTTTTTGTTTTGGATTTTGAAAATTTCAAAAAAAATCAGAGAATCGAAAAAGACCAAGTACTTTGAGTTTTCTGTTGTATCACTACACTGATTTACACAAGTCTTCTCCCCCCTGCTGTTTAGTTGATCCATTTATTCAGAGCATATTGTAGACTGCACCAAAATGTTTGTCATGTCAGCTTGGTATAATCCACATACAGACCCTCTAAAGATTTTTTGTAACCTACCTTACTTTCATGCTCAGTTCACTGCTGATACTGGCTCAGCCACCACTGATACACGAGTACAACATGGACACACATAGGAATCGGAACATGAAGTCACAGTGTAGTCTTAACCTTTTTGTCAAACCAGATGTTCATAGTCACCAAACAAGCTTTCTCTTTGATTCCTCTATATGCACTCCAGAGTTGTGGACGAAGAAATGGACCAGTGTTCATCTAAAAAGGATTTAACAGATTAATAACACTCGGATTGGGAGAAGCCTACTGTGTAGATTATGTTTCATCTCGGCTCATTCTGCTGCAGAATTTAATTGCGTCTTGAAAAAATCTCACGAGGAGCTCTAATGGAAATGTTCAATTCATAAATGGAACAATAAAAGTACCTTGGGGATAAAAAGTTCTGTTGTAGGTCATTTTATTTTGAGAGCACATTGCAACCTGGAAATTAGAAAAATGTTTACAAATAATACATTTTAGTGTTTCAAAACTGAATTAAATACATTTGTTGTAGTAGACACTAAAACATTGCCTATATAATAAATCCTATTTTTGTGAAGGTTAAAATTCCTGGTTTTTGCATTGATTTTGAGTTTTGTGACAATGGAACCCTACAAAGCTGGAAATTTTGCTTGATTAAGTTAAGATCCTTAAAAACGACGTTACATCACTCAGTTCAAAGCCACAGTGCTCAGTCTCAAAAATTTGACATTTTCACCGAATGAGCACAAGTTGCTGGTCTACGGCTGCTTTGATTTGTAAAATGTATTATGTTTGTTTCGCATATTGTGAAGGTCCCATCTTATTGAGTGGGATTTAATGTGCAGATATTAAACTGGTGACTGTTACCAAAATAACCTGTATACACATTATATACATTAGATATACAACAACACAAACATAGTGTGAGTAATGTCATTCAATAAAAATCTTTGTAAAAATAAAGTTACAGCTCATTTCTAGAAAAAGCACAGTGATACACACTGAGATGTGTTTTTCATATTATGTGCGCATCATTGAGGCCAGGTACACCCACACAGACAGGACGTTATTAGGGTAAGGGTGAACATACACAGCCAGGGCAAACTCCACATTTGAAGCGTGAACATTGTGAACCCCGGTGCTGTAGACGGCCTCCACGATGGGCCGGATCTCAGAGAATGGCAGATTCAGAGGGAAACCTGTAATCTACAAAAAAAAAAAAAGAAGTAAAAGGTTTTAATCATCAGACTGTCAATATGAGACTCTTAGTTGACAGTAAGCAGAGAATAGAACTGAATTGATAGATTCATAATGACTGATGGCATAACTTAATGACTCAGTATTACCAAACACTATTTCCAGGCACTGCCCTTTCAGACTCACCTTGTTGTCTCCCAGTAGACTTTGCAGCTCGTGGCGGTGCCCCTCTGCTACGTCCCGCCCCCCCCTGAGCTCCAATTTGGGCAGGAATTGTTTCAGGGTGGTAGTGCAGTAGCGGTTCCAGCGGGTTGGGTGACGAGGACGCCACTCCATGATCCTCTCCTTCAGGATCTTCTCGATTCTACAGAAAAGAGACGAGAAATGTGTTATGTTTCTGACAAGGAATTAAAGCAAATTAAAAAAAAAAAAAAAGAGAACATGACTCGTGTTAACTTGCCTGTCCTGAAGCTCTACTGCAGCCGCTCTGACTGTGCGTCGATACACCAGCTCCTCAGGCTACATCAAATCAGAATCATGAGAAAATACAGAACTATGGCTGATCTTGCAACAAGATCACACAGACATTTTGCACACTCACTTGTACACTTGACAGCCCAGGGTGAGAGAAGGATCGTGAGAAAAAGGGCTTCCACAGTTGAGCTTTTGCGATGTCAAAACTCATTGTCATTGGTGACGTATATTCTTGTATATTGAACCACACCTGCAGAAGAATTCAGAGAGAAGTTCATATATATTCTGCAATCTGAAGGCAATGATAATAAAAAAAAAGAAAAGCCACACGATGAATTAGAATATCATATAGCATTTTTCTTCACTTACATTGTCAGCATTGACGAGACAGCCGACTGTTTGCAGCGGGCAGAAGGTGTCGTACTGTCCGTAGAACTGACCACTGCTGGGGTTCCAGATCAGGTACCGGCTCTGCTCATAAGTCAGGACGTACGCCGTGGGTCCCTAAAAAAATCATCGTGCAGCAATAGACAGACAAATGGATATGTGAAAACACAAGTGCTTTAGGCTTTAAGACCCATTTACAAACAATTCTTTTTGAGTCTTTGTCAGTCTAATGTCTTTTTAAAACTTCAAAAAGAGCAGATCAAAGAGAATATATATTTTAATACTATTATTATATTATTATCATTATTTACAAAGACCAAAGATTGATCCACCATGAGCACAGCACTAAGCAACATTAAGTGAAGTTACAGTGGCAAGGAAACACTGCCTTTAAGAGGCAGAAACCTGGAGCAGGACCAGACTCATGTTGAACAGCTATCTGCTGAAACTGTATTTGTGTTGGACAGTGGGATAGAGGGAGAAGCAGAAAGATATGTTGGAGAACGTTGCATTATTCACCTTATATTTGCATTATTACTTTAACATTTTCTCTACTTAATGTTCCATTTTCTACACGTGATGCTTATGTCCACACAGCCCTGCAGTCTTATGACGAGGATGACAGGGCAATAAAACAATGCTAGTAAACAACTGGGATACCCTGCAAAGTCAGCAGCAAAAAATTCATCATTACAGACTGGAAGAAAAATGGCTTATAGACTATTCTCTGGACCCTTGACAAATCTACCAATTCATGTGTGTTATATAACTTATGTATTTGCTGACTGTATTCTTTGTTTGTTTTAAAGCTTGGGAAGCTGTGATGAATTGATAAAGCTTAAAAGAAAAAGGGTTGGACTAGATCATTTTTTCACTTCATCCTACCCCCTTTTCAAACTGGTTAAAAATGGAGACGTTACATGAAGTTTGCTCCAATTGTTATTTGCTGTGTTGTCTGTATATATATTTATGTTTGAAAATAAAAGTAAATATGAATGAATAAATCATCACACTACATAAATCGTTAAACAAACCCTAACAAATGATTTGACACAGACCTCTGGTATGGCAGTGCCGATTATGAGCCAAGCTTTCTTGCCCATGGACAGGAAGTAGTTGCACAACAGCACAGCGTGTTCTTCTTCGTCTCCGGCCAGGAGGGTGAGGAATTGCTAAAAAACAAGAAGAGGAAACAGGAGGTTCTGTAAGAAGGTTTGTTTGCATCCTGCTATAAGCACAGTAAATCAGAGAGTTCACTCACATCACAGGTGCTCCAAAGGTCACAGACACCAGAGAAGGAAACTCGGTCTGGCAGAGAGGGAATGAGAGAGACGAATCGAGCCACCAGGGCCTGTGGAATAAACGAGTCAGTGCGGAAAATTCAAGCAAATATAAAAGAATGCAACCTATTACTACTTCAGGAGATGACTGACCGTGGCCTCCTGGGGGTTGTTGGGGAATTCATCGAGTAGCTCCTGAGGTGGGTTCAGAGGTCGTATGTATCGTGTGATAAAGACTGTCTTCCCGTTGAGGTCTATGATGGTGGTGATGCAGGGTCGGTCAGGGTAACCCTGAGCTGCCTCCCTCTCAAACTTCTCTGAAGCCTGCAGCAGACGCTCGTCCTCCTGGCTGTCAAACTTCATGAAATAGTTCAAAGTGGTTTTTGTAAATGAATCATGTGTTTAAAGTGATGCAGTCATGGATGGATTAATAAAAATGGAGGAGTGTTTGAATGGACAGGTACCTTCATTTCCTTTATCTAACACATGCAGCAGAGCAAAAGCAAGAAAGTGACAGAAAAGAATGACAAGCATAAGAACAACAATAAATAAACTGATGCAAAATCATGTGACTTCAGAGCATGGGCACATTGTTCCAAAACAAGGGACTAAGATTCAATCAAACCTCCATGATTTAACTTCACTCCATAATGATGTTGACTCAACCAGTCAACATCTGCATCTGTCGCTCAGAGGAGCTAAATATATTGTTGTTTTTAATATGAGTAAAAATCTCATATATTAAGACTTCCTTATATAATGTGTTTTATAATTTCATTGTAAGATCATTTCTACCTTATTTGTTTAGATTGAATCTTTTTTCACACATTTTACTGTTGATAATTTTAATGTGTGTAATTGTAATCTATCAAAAGCTCACCATTTCAATAAACTATTTATAAATCTGTTAATTTATAATCTATTTCTACTGATTAATTAAGAATAATGTATTAGGTTTGTATTTTCATTTATTTGATTATTTTTTAATCGCTTAAATAGCCTTTTTTTGTTTATTTCATGTATATTTTTGTTTATATTTGCATGAATCGTTTGCCTTTGTCATCTGCTTGTAGAACAGTTTGATTTGCATTATTTGATTGAGTATTGATCGACTGATGGATAGATATTTTCCTTCTGTAATGTGAACTGTTCCTTGTTTTGGTGACAACATGGAAATGCAAAGCTTCACGAAAACAACAGAAACTAACTCTCTAATACTGACATGCAAACATGGAGAGATATTAGAATGTAAACATGTTAAAGGGAGTGATCTGACAACACACATAGAAGCAGGCTGAGCACTGCACATGATCCATCTTTGAGTGTGACACTTCAAACACGGCTAACCTTCTCCCTGATAGTCTCTCCGGGCACCAGCTGAGGCTCGATGGTGATGAACAGTGTGATAAAAGCACCATCACTCAGGCCCCGCAAAATATCATAACCACTGGTGGGGCCATGACTCCGCTCCTTGCTGTACCCGAGCAGCACTGCAGGAGTGTTCACCTTGAATGTTCCATCAATCTACAGAGAAGAATAAAAAAAACAATGAATTCAGGCAGCCGTTCAGACAGTCAGCTGAAACATTTTTTTATCAACAGACAGCCTCACCCTGGACTGAGAGTAAATGGTGCTGAAGGGAATCTTGACTGAGCCGAGCCAGTGCTTCTCCACCCGTGAGTGGATGGATTTCCCTTTGTCCTTATCATTCTGAGGAGCAAAAAGAGCTTTAAATATGAGCCAGAGAACAATGCATTGAACATGTTATATCTATCTGCTATATCGTTATTGCATATTTACCACTGTCACTGTTTTTGCAAACTTACATCTCTTACCTCCAGCAAGTATTTTTACATTCAGTTGACAAGCCTGAATAAATGTTGTATTTCATATATTCGTATATTTTTTTTAAACCAGTAGAAATGTTAAGTTAAATCCTTGATGTATAAATCTCTTCCTATTCTTATTTTTTATATTCTAAGTGCTTATTTATGTATCTATTCTTATATTGTTTTATTTGCTTTGATAACCTGCTGCTGTAACACCACAATTTCACAGTTTGGGATCAATAAAGTAATTCTATTCTATTCTATGTTATCAAGTAGTTCATATGAAAGAAAAGAAAACAGCGTGTGACTCACCACCCCAGTTTCATAAACCATTTCATCAAATATGTTGATGAAGACTTCATCTTTGACTGACTGCAGGCTCGCCGCGCTGTAGTCCCCGTTTGGAGCGCTGCAGAGAGAATGATTTTCACTTTAGCTGTATGTTTGGGCTAGTAAAAGAAAATGTGAACAAAAATAGGATCACAACTAAACATGTTCTTAAACAATATTGTAATGCTATCAGCTATAGCTATAAACGCTATAGCTATATGCCGTATGAAACATTATAAAGCTATTTTATTTTATTATTTTAAAGGCTTTATATGTGATTTTTCACACTTAAATATAATATAAATCAAGTATATCCTCTGAAAATAACTCTGAGTCATGACTGTCTACAATGGGTGTAACACCCGAGTCCCACTGTCTGTGATGTTTTCAGAGTTTTCAGAGTCCTATCTTCACTTTGTTTACATCGCCAGGACGGCCGGCTGACTCCTCCCCTCGAGTATAAAAGTTGTTTAATTGAGGGACTAGAGAAAAGAAGAATAACATACTGTACTCACTGCTTAACTGTGTTTCTAGATCACGCTCATTTCAGGTAAATTTACATGCAGTGTGAAGATACCAGCATAATAAAGATCACTAGCATTAGCATGCTAACACAACAATGCAGCGCAAGTTGTTTTGGTTTCATGCTGGTGCTCAAGGGCGACATCTGCTGGATCAAAAAATCACATATAAAGCCTTTAAAGTACATTTATATAAAACTGGTTAATTCCCTTAATACAACAAACACAGGAAGTCAGAAGGTTTTTCAAGCAGCACTTCCACTTATGAGGTTAGCTAAGTGTTCATTCTTTGGGAGGGTTTTATAAAAAGCTTTTTCATAACAAACATATATGGTAAATTCAAGTGCTCAAAACATGGGCTCTCTAGCGTCTGCCTACTTCATCTTAGCTTGTTTCTCTCATGACTCCCTGATACTCTCAGCATAAAATCCTTCATTTGGTTTAGTGATATTGTTAAAATGATCTGAACCTCATAAATTACAGACTGAATGGCTGCTGTATCATGGGCTGTTAAATCCAGATAAAAGTTTATCAAGGTCATGAACTTCATCATGTCCCCATATAGTGGTCCCTCTAGCACTTGGTTACGGCTATAAAATTGAACCATTTTTTTGTAGTCTATGTTACTGGAGCTGATTTGGATTTGGCCACAGGCAGTAGCAGTGAGTCGCTATCAAATTTGAAAGCTAAGTCAGTGATGTTGCAAATGAAATATTACACAGCTATGACCAGTCACCTGAATGGCAGCTGCAGCTCCTCGTTCCAGCAGGGGTTTGGTCCATCAGCTGTGGTGGTTTGAAGAACTGTGCGCTGGAAGGAAACCTCCACAAAGGGCCTCACTTGTACCTTCGCCACGGAAAAAACAAAAAAACAACGTATTAGCTACAATTTACTTCTTTGGAGTTGAACTGATGGACACGTGATTAAACATCCCTCAGTGGCTCCGCTGCGTTCACAGATTTCTGACGTTTTTCATATTTAGTCCCTTTGATGTTGTTGAAAAGCATTTTTTTATTCTATCAACAAATTTTTCATTCTATCAACAGATAGCACACATCAAAATGTAAAAATAAATCTTAAGGACAGGGGCCGTAAATGACAGACTTCATGGCAGTCCATCTCGTACATAACAACTGATGCATTGTTAGCCTTTATGAGATAACCATCTGAAGGGAAATGTCTTTAATCTTCTACAAAACGTCCCCTGGAATCTGTCAAATATAAAATCCTGACTCTGTCTAGAACACAGATCAGAAGCCTTTGAAGATCTTGAGGTTGGGAGGTTACCTGGTTACAGAGCCAATCGCTGCCCTGGATGGCACCCTGAGACGTCTGACCTAGAATACTGTAACAAGACACAAAGTTTACGGATCAGTCAGGTGTTTAAAGGGCGTCAGTATGTTTGATGACAAATGAGGTCTTTTTTTTTTCCTCTAACTTGACTTTGACTTTCAACACTCACTTGATCTGTGGCCTGCGGACGGGGACGTCGTAGGCCCGCAGGATGTTTATCAACAGCTTTATGTCCCCATCGGACAGATTCTGAGCCGTCACCTTCTTTCTCTCTTTCCTCTGAGGTTTCAGGGGACGCTTGGGCTCAGCCAGCTTGAAGAGGTTTAGTCCCAGAATCCTGATTGACACAACACACAGTGGTTATTATTTAGTCAACAACCAATGAGGGACGTCAAACTGTGTCATTGAAACTGATAAAGACACTGAATGCTAAACCGAAGAAAGTAAGGAGAGATTAGAGATCATTGTGATTCAACGTAAGGGATTATTGCCACCAACAGTACTCGGTCCCTCCAGGTATTTACATGTTTATTCAAATAAAATACTCATGTTTCCCACAATATTTTCATTTTCATGGCTTTTTTATTTCATTTTAGTAAAAACTAGTAGAAAAGTATCCAGAGTCTGTTTCCTAGTCTGCTCATTATGTATCTTTTATGAACTATGATCTGATATGGACACAGCAGAAAGAGGATTTTTTTACTTTTTTGAACAACACACAAAAACAAACAAATTACTTGCTATGTTGGGGCTTATTAAAGGATTTAAGCATGTCTCACTATAGTTTAAGTAAGTACATTTAAAAAAACAATAGGCATATTTAGAGTTTCATTAAGAGGAATAGAGCCACATTACGGTTACATTTTGCATCCAATACAAATAAATCATATCTGATAGATCAACCTCTATTAGTTTCTTGCAGTTGCAAATTAATTATTCTGATATAAGTGGCAATTTATAAAAATAAAATCAATATTCTTCCTGTCATTTAAAGATTAGTTAATAAAATATATTAGAATAATTAAAAAAAGACACAGTTTTGGAGAGGCAATGGCCAACGCAGCAACAGTGGCACACTTGATTCTAAAACATGTTTGAACAATTACTAACCTTTCACATGAATGTCTTCTTCAGGGTATGTATGCCTAATAACCTCCTATTGTTGCTACCCAATACTCTGAAGAAGATTGTCATCAGTGGTCAATTACAAAAACTGTTGTTTGCATCATGTCTGAAAGTATGCTACTCGTTTTCTCTCCACCGTTAAAATATCTGAGAACAAGTTTAGAAAAACGGTGCTGTTTAAGTTTTAAAAAAATTAAAAAAATCCTCTTCCTTGCTGTGAAAAAGAATCCCATGATCAAATTGAAATGGTATCTTTAGAATACTGGAAGGACCTAATACTGAACCTGGTCTATGGGCACTACAGTGCTGGATCTCAGGGTTCAAACTACTTGGAGAATCAGAGACACAGAGGGAGGGAGAAAAAGAAAGAAACTCTAAGCACATACCCCGGACCTGCACCACTGTTCAAAACGAATGAGAAGAAGAATCAAAGGAAATAGAACAGAAAGAACTTAAAGATTCACATTAAAGAATAAACCCATCAGCAGGCGTGTCATTGATGTAACTTATTGACATCAATCGGAACAAATGCAATCAAGGACTTATTTCTAGTTAGCATGTCCACATGTTATGAAACCAGCTCTTTAAAAAAGGTTTCCATCAGTTCCAGAGGAGAGCGTTCATCAGCGGGGAGAATACTGAGTTCAAGATCAAACAGACTGAAGCAGCACAAGGCCAGAACACAAACCTCCATCAGCGTGTGATTTATCAAGCTGTCACTCTTTTTGACGGGTTGATTTGACTCCTGATCACACAGTTCACATCAATCCAACTTATCAGACCTTTTCTTTACAACCTGAGCGAGGAGTTCAGGCTTTCTTTTTCTAATTTATCAACTTTTGACAAGTAGAATAGAGGTGGTACATATTACCATAATGTAATGATACATTTCAACACTGGAGGCTACAGTTCCTATTAGTGCTTGAATGATGTGATCAGCAGGAAATAAATATTTGAAATGGATAAAACAAACATGAAAACATATACTGTATGTTGTGAAAGATGGGAGTGAGTTAGATAATTAAATCTGTTAATAATGCGTGTGGGAGTATTTACCCGATGCTCGGTATCTCCTCCTCGATCACCAAATCAGACAGCAGGTAGTGATGCTTGGCAAGAATGAATCTGTGAATGACTGATTCTCGGATCTGCAAGAAGAAAAGTTTGAATTTCACAGCCAAATAAACCAAAATGTGCCTGGAGAGTTTTCAGAATCTGTACCTCCTACAAAATCCTCTCTTTAGAGTTAGACCCTTCATTTGAATCATCATTAAACAAACGTGTAGTTAATCAACCTTTAACTTTAACTCCTTCAGAAGACATCATGCCAAATTCAAACTTTCACACAGAGATGATTTGTGTTTGAATGTGAAAAGCAGTTATCATAGGGATTTTAACATCAACTGGAAAATATGTACAACTAATGATACTTACCGGTACATTCTAAAATAATACTTCTTCTCAAAAAGACTTACCGTACATAAATATACTGATCTTAAGATGAAAAAAATATTTATTGCAACAAAAACCTTCTTAGATGAGGCGTTTCTGTGTTCTGATTGTAATATAGTAAGTCTTAAGGTTTTTATTTCCAGCTCAAATCATGATTATTTTTTCAAAGCTGCCAGCGCTTTGTGAAACAGTCTCAGGTTGGTTAAGCACCAAAACTTCTTGAATAAATCACGGAGACAGTCCTGGTTTGGACTAAAATAATACATCAATGTATTTAGGTTTCACATGTGACACAGCAGTCTCCCAGGTGAGAAAGAAAGGACACAAAGGAAACAGATGCTGTGTGTATAGAATATGCTGACAGGAAAATCAGTTTCTGCAAACAAATGTCAAGAGATGCTATAACACCACTCACCTTCTGAAGGTATTTGGCCACCAAGGCTCGGTGGGAATCTAGATGTTCGTTAGTATCAATTATCTCTCCTTCTTTGAGTCTCTTCTCATAATCCTGAAATAATTTTGAACCAAAAGGAAAAGAATCAGTCTCTAGCTAATAAATCCTAATTTCTGCCATGTCTGTTATAATGTGCAGTAGAGTAAATATCTAGAGGGGCTGACCTGGAACACCTTATCAGTGACCTCCCTCTCCAGAGCAGGGACACACTTGTAATTTCGAAACTCTGCAACTTCCTGGTTTCTGAGCCTGAGCAGGCGAAATCTTTTAGATCTCTCCAACTCTTCATCAGTGACAAAGTTAAACTCCTCCTGCAGCTGTTCCAGACGGAAGTATTCAGGAGCTGTGACCTCTCCACTGCTGGCCACCTGGTGGATCATACATAAAGAATGAAGTCTATTGAACTTACAAACACAAAGTCTCACGTTCAGTTTTATACTTTGATACCCACTTTTAGCAGCTGCATGATCGCAGCATTTTTTGGATCGTTGGGGTCCAGTCTCGACTGTGTGGCCCACTCGCCAATTTTTTTCATGTCGTAAAGTCCAGATGCTCCGATGTATGTGACAGGATCAAAGCGGGCCAAGCCACTAAAACCAAAGAGACAGAAGGAGATTCAGTAGAATAAAATCAATAACTTTTGATTTTTTGCTACACAGACAATGTTCAGAGTTTGACACCTGTATATTGCCCAAAGATTTCAAACACGATAGATTCTTAAAGATTACTTTCCTGCCATTCTACAATACAGTTCATTTAGCAGACGTACATCAGAGAGTAAGTACAACAAAAGCCAGGATCTATAAAGGAGGACACAACTTCAGTAAGTGCAAACTAACAGCTTTGAGTCAGACTGGACACACAGGTGCTGACAGGCAGTGCATGGAGGCAATGCTCAGATTGTTTTATTTAAATATACCATCAGTGAAAGCATCAACGGCTTCTTGTGAGAATTCTAATCAGCATCAACACCATCAAAATGATCATGATAGTGGTCACCATTATTATCATCATCATTGTCAGTCCCATCACTATCATTAAGTGTGTAGGTGTTCATGAAAGACATGGATAAGCATTATGCTTTTTCTTTATCTCTGCCTGGTTGATCTTCTGAGTAACATAGCTGGTCCCAAAGATAAAGCCATGCAAGGCTAAGAATATTATTCATTCATTAAATCAGTAATGATTAATTAGATTTTGGGATATTGCATCATTTTTTATTGATCATTTTAATAGTTTATGAGCTATGTTGTTAGACATGGGAGTGTTGCTGTGTTCAGCTAACATTAATGTCTCCGTTTAAGATTTTCATTCCTTCTGAACTGTTGAAAGCATCAGTGCAGAGGCTTGCTCAGGAAGTTACCCTGCTACATAAACTCTGAGACAAAAAGTGATTGACTGCTTTTATTAAACATATTTCAAGTCAGAGCAAGGTGCCAAGTTTCTTTCATTCTGACATATACTTAAAAAACCACAGGATGCCTGCAGGGAAGGGAAATGCATTCATGAGTATACATCAACAGCTGTAGCATGCTTTGGAAGTGGTGGGCAGTGATTCAAATCACACAGGATGTGTAGTTCAAGGACAACGACAGGCAAAGCCGGCAGTTTTATCCTTTAAGTGTCATTACCTGTGTTTTCCTTGTTGTAACACATGAGGCGCGAGTGGGACATCGTCGTCCCCGACCCCCCACGAGACACAGCAGGAGAGCTTCCCAGAGGTCAACAGGGTCTGTCTGTCACTGCCGTCAGCCTCGAAGGACAGCGGCACGTCTGAGGATGCATACAGAGAGAAAGAGAGACAGGAAGACAAGATTGAAGATAACTTAAAATAAAAAAAATAATCTCCGGGCCAACAACTGTGACAGCTATGAATTTCATTCAGATATACATATTACTCCCAGAGTAGAAAGTGTTTTGTGTGTTTAAGATGTGAGCTAGTGTCAAAAAAGGCGTTTACCACTTCCTACTCCCTCATGGTCAAACATCACTCTTTGGTTGCTGCTAAACTCAAATTCCTCCACAGGGGCATTGCCTGCCAACACCGAGGGTTCAGGTACTGGGATGAACACTTGAGCCAGTAGGGAGCATGAAGAGCCGATCTCCTCAAAGACCTACAAGTCCACAAGAAGGAATGAGAAACTAGAATAATCTAATTGTAGAAATGCCGATTAGACAAAATGCTATCTGGTACCTGCAAATTGATGCTTTGCGGACAGTTAACGATCTTGAGATTAAAAATCTGGCCAAAGTGGACTCTGAAGTCGGTGTTCAGGGAGCGGCTGTCTGTTCTGGAAACTTCTTTGTCGTTGTACAGGATCTTGGTGAAAAGAGAATGCCTTGTGACATCCTCTCTACGAGCTGTTTCAGCCCTACAACAAGGAGAAAAGAAACATGAAAACAAAACATCAACGTGACAGCGTAGAACATTTTCATGAGTGGATTTATTTCCTATCAAAATAATGTTACTTCTTCTCTTTGAACAAGTGGGAAAAGTTGCCATTTTGTTATAGAATAAAGTGATTTTTTTAAAGTTCTTTCTAAAGGAAAAAGTGTCTGTGTGACCGTGTTCATACCTCGGGCAGAGTTCTGTGGCCGTGATATTTCCAGATGCAGACAACTCGGGGATCAGGACGGACTCTCCTGGTTTCCTGCGAATCCTGGAGGCTTTCTCTCTGACCTGCTGCTCTATGGAGTCTAACTCCGGCTTCTCTGGAGGCTCCGGCTTTGAGGGCCCCTCTTCAACGGGCCCCTCTGATTCGCTCGCCTCCCGGTCCTCATCTTCTTCTTCTGTGTCGTCCTGTGACTGACCTTTCTTCTTCTTTTTCCTCTTCTTCTTTTTGGCTTTCTGAAAACGGGAAACAAAGGATAGAACTGTTTTAAGACTTATGTGTTGATTAAATCAAGGACTTAAAGATTTATCTTCAACATGAATAAATGGTACGTTTACATCTAAGGACTAAAACTGGGAAGATTTCAGTTTATATAAATAAACAAATATTTCAAAGGAATAAACCAATGCTTGATTCAGGGCTGATATTTACAATGTCAATTACAATATATATATTAATAACTGGTCAGAGTTCTCTGGTGGAAATAAACTCTATGTTTTAGTGACAATGCTCCTTCATTTCTTTAAACTTAGTTTTCTCTTGAAATGTATTGTTACTCATCTGGAAACAAATGACCAATTTATCTGCGATCATTAAACATCGGCCTGGTAGATTTATTATCCCAGCGCCTGTCAGTACCTGTTTCCTTCTCCAGAGTTTCCACTCTTCCAGCTGTTCCTTGTACTCTGCCAGCTTTCTCTGGTAGTCCTCCTCGCTCTCAGCCTCCCATTCCACAATCTCTGCCAAGATTTCCTCTTCATACTCTCGCTCATCTGTCGCCCGGTCCACATTCTCTCTGGAGAGAGAGGTTGAAAAAAGGCCCATAAATGTCAAGAATACTGTCCAATATGTTAAACTGAACATACATAGGTTAAACAGCAAGCATAATCTGTGGGAAGTAGTGTATACTGAGAATTTGACCAGAAAAATATACCCTTGAACAAAATGTACAAGCAGGAAGTGTTGGGTTCATGCCAGATCTTTTACAGTAGGAAGCCCATAAAGCATCTTCTTGCTACCAGTCGTCTCACATTGTTATTCTACTTTTTGGATAAATAAGGGAAAGTATCCCAAACATGTCACATTTCTCTGTTCAAAGCAACCTTACAACACTGAAAAGAATCCTCTCTCACAGAGCACAGTATTCTCTTGCATGTTACACAAACAATGTGTTGAAACCTAACTAACCATTTAAACACAAAAATCACCTAATAGCAATAAAAAGGAACCGAAAACATGGCAGAGTTAGACTAACAACTCCTGTATTCTACGAGGAAAATGTTCTGTTGCTGTTAAAGGAGTCTGGCTGCTTTGAAGAGAGTGATGTAAATATGATTTCTACCCTTTTGACCAAAGTCTATCTCTGTAGGGATCATGTCTGTCATGTTATCAGGATGTTTCAGAAAAAATGTGGAGCCCATTAATGACCAAACAAGCACCTTTTGGTGGACGTGCATTTAATGGGCACGATTGCCCCTTACAACTGTGGGCAATCCCAAACTTTTTTTTTATCCATTGGTTTTGAAGAGCCCAATAAATGTAATATAAGTCCAGGTTGATAAGATCATCAAAGCTGAAGGGGACAGCACCGGTAAATGCAATACTGTAAATTCTCTAACTGCACAAAGAGATTTACCTTCTGAGGTAGAGCTTGTAAGGAGTGTTTGTGTATTTCTGAAAGTCTCTCAGGGCCTTCATATCCTTCCACATTTTAACAATGTTCTTCAGCAGGGTCCTGTCTTTCTCCTGCTCACTGTCCCGCAGCTGCCGAGTGTTCCTGGAATATTCACGGGGGGGGGGGGGGGAATAAAGCAGGAATATTGCCTGTTACGTTGCTAAAGGTACCTGGTTATCATCTAAATAGTGCTTTGATGGGAAACATCTGGATTACTCACCTGACCTCCAGACTGTACTCAGATATCCTCCGCTGCATGGCTTGACTGAGGCTCTGCCCGCCATGGATGTTAAGCATATTTCGCAGTGCACTCCTCAATCCATGCAGCTGCAGCATACGGGAAACAAACAACACACCATATAGTCCATAAACGTCTCATATGAGGAATTCATAGACATTCTTAGAGAAACGTTGAAAGTCGTTGTGACAGCTTTACTACTCAGAGAAAGCTGGATGGTGAAGTTTACCTTGTCTGTTAGGTGACCTGTGAGGTTATTGCGCTGCCTGGTGAGGTACTGATCATACAGCTGTGCAAGACGGGCCCCCAAGACATGTTCACGACTGAAGAGTGGGTGATGAGATGAGTGCAATCTTAAAGGGAGCATGAAAGAGGATTCAAAGCACCGGCAGGGAGAGCTGTAATGAAAAGTCATGCATGAAAACAAAGCACCATAACCAACAAATCAAAATCAATTGGATGATCTGTTTACTGGATGATGACATGTGGAAGATTTGTTTCTATAAAATGAAAATACATGCGAAGACAGAAGTTCTTTTATATTACTTATTACATACAGTACATGCTTGTTTAACATGAAGACAACCCCAGCATGTCAGTGACATCAGTGTTGTGACCTGTGATGCTGGAATTCTTAGTTTTTTTCTTGGTTTATATATTTGTCATTCTTTTCCTCTTTGGGCAGCCACACCTTTGAAATATCTGAGATTTATTAACTTGAGATGTTTTTAAAAAAGACACAGATGGACCATGCGATCACATAGTTGTTAGCTGATCAGCGCTGACTTCTTCCATCATAAAAAATTCCGGTCCTGAATAGATATGAGGACTGTTGTTCACATTTTTTAATCCTCTGACTTGACCTCTTCAAATCTCTCTGCGACAGTGGTTCTCAACCTGTGGGTCTCTGAGCTGTTTTCAGTGGGTTGCGAATGCGTGCCTGGAAATAATTTTTTTTGCAAATGTCTATAGAGAATTCAATTTCTTCCGTCTCTTTGTTCTGTAACATGTTTAGTTCCATCTAAGGTCCAATCTGCACCATTTTTCTTTAAATATATTTGCATGGTTGCAAACTTCAGACATTTTGGGTTGCAATTAACTGTAAATGACTTACAAATGTACTCTGAAATTAAAAATGACTTTACATCATTTGTCATCGAGCATTCACACACAACTTACCTTCTTTAATGAATCAAAAATATGTAACTCTTACACACACATGTAGAAAAAAACCTTTTACAAGCACTTTACATTTTCAACAACATGCATGTGAAACAAACAAAACAAAGACGGCTCTGAACAATCTGATTGTCTCTTCCCCAAAGATAATGTCCCTCTAAATACCCACGCTCCTGGTATGTGTAGGCAAGTAGCTGACATAGCTACACGGTGCTCTTTAAGGCTTCAAATGTGTGCAAGTCTGTCAGCTCGCTGGGAAACCTTTATCTAATGAGGATATCCTGTAGCTCTCACAAATAGAAGCTGAGAGGAGTGATACAATTAATAAAGTAATTACCGGTACATTCAGTGATCTGGAAGCACGCAGGTCTAATGCACTAAAGGGAGCTAACATGATATTCACTGATAGTTTCTGTCTGATTAAATTATCATGTTTGTAACATAGTTCTTAAAATCTTTGAGGGAATGATATGATGTTGAATATTTATGTTGCCTGTTCTATACCGGAGACAAGGATGGTAAATATGAAGGTGTTGTGTTTCAACGTGGAGAATAATACTAAATTTAACCCTTCAAAAACATAAACGTCTTCATGTCTGTTGATTATTGTCAGTTGTAAATCCAACCTATAGTCGTATGACATTCATAAAGTGCATCACTGTACTGCAGATGTAGGGCCTTTAATTAGCAATAGCAATATACCATTAGCACATAGTATAGCCGTTATGATTTAATATTTATTGTGAAACTATAAGTTCAACCTGGCTCAGAGAAGCTGTGCATTATTGCCTGGGCAATATATATGCCAGTAAACAATATCACTACATCAGGAAACACAATATTCACATCTTTACATGTGAAATATGAATCTTAAATTGATAGTGTGGAGCATCATTTCAGTGTATTAACACAGTACATCGCCTCACTTAAATTCATTAATCTTTTGTTAAACATCTGCAAGAATAGGGTGAGTCGAGGGATACTCTCATCTCTGACACTGTTTTAAAGTTGTATCAGGATAATCTTCATGAAGTATTGGGTTAGGAAACACAATATTCACATCTTTACATGTGAAATATGAATCTTAAATTGATAGTGTGGAGCATCATTTCAGTGTATTAACACAGTACATCGCCTCACTTAAATTCATTAATCTTTTGTTAAACATCTGCAAGAATAGGGTGAGTCGAGGGATACTCTCATCTCTGACACCTGTTTTAAAGTTGTATCAGGATAATCTTCATGAAGTATTGGGTTATGTGCATTGTGTGATGGTTTGACCATGTGTCAGGGTGCCAGTTAGGTTTTAAGCCTAACGGTACTGAAGTCATGTCAGTCAGTATCTTTTATGAAAGAGAGTCAACCGTACAACGGTCCTAAAAAGCAGAACTCTTTTAAGGACCCACATTGACAAAACCAAACAGTAATTTAAACACTCAACAATCAACCAATAAACAGAGTAAATACAGTGGTCAAACAAAACAGGAAGACGCATATTTCAAATTCACCTGTTTTATACAAATAACCATCCAGCTTGTATTTCTATAAATACACATAATGCTCAGTGGCTGTCTGCAGAGATATTGGCAAAGATAAATTGCATACACCTCTGCACTTTTCCCTGATGTCCCCCTCCCCCCATGTTCTTTTGTACCAAATGTCAAACCTGGTCCTTTTGCTCTTTTTTAAAAATGGCACACGCGTTAGAGAACCCCCCCAATTTAAGTGTGCCACAATACTTTGAGTTTACGAGTGTGCACTGAAGAAAGATTTGCCAAATAAAGAGTAACAATGAGTGTGGGTCTGACCTTTCTGTACACAGTCTGCAGTGCGGGATCAAGGTCGTCCTCCATGTTGAAGAGAGGGGGTCGAGTGGACGACTCCTTTATGGGGTCAGGCAGAGCCATGATCCTGCCGTCATCTCCAAACCACTTCTTTCCCTTCATAAGGACATTAAAAAAAGGGATATCTGAAAGAATTCATTAACGACAGATAACAGACATGTGGGGCATGTTCGATGAGATTACCTCCTCCATTTTCAGAATGCGGTTCTCCAGAATGTTCTCGTTGGTGAGGGAGACAGGCGGCCTCTCCCCGACATATAGACCCTCGTCCTCCAGGTAACGAGGCTTCATGTTTTCTGGCAGTTTGATGGAGGTTGGGACTGCCACGATAACAGATAAACGCTGTTAAATGATGTATTAAAAGCGTTGGATGTTAAGTGTGGTAGGTCGTTTTGTACATAAAAGAATACCTGTTCGAAAACTGGGCGTAAAGAGAAGCTCACTCTCTCTCTGAACAAGCTGCCGGTACCCAACATACTCTGCTTTCTTCATCTCCAGGAAGTCGTGCGATGACTGTTCAATGACGAACAGATCCTCCCCTTCATCTTGAACAAGAGGAGCTTCTTCGTCCTACGGCAGGATAAAGAACATGAGGCATTCACAAATCGACTTTGTCTTGTGCAACTGCTGCAAAAACAAAGGACAGAGGGAAAAAAAATCATCATATACAGAGATCATCTATACATTATAGTCAACGTTATCTTACCTGGTTTTCATTTTCATCTTGATTATCTTCACCTTCTCCAACAACTTCCTTGTCTTCAGCTTCTTCTTCTCCTTCTTCTTCTCCTTCTTCACCTTGGTCAACTTCTACTGTTTTTTTCTGTTTATGTCTCTTCCTGCCTAATTTCTGAGCTCCATCTTGTGGCTCTGGCTCAAAGTTGAAAGTAAAGAAGTTGAATGCCTCTTCTGAGGTTGGTAGGTCTTTTTCTGTCTGAATTTGGAAAAGAAGATAAATAATTAAAACCAAGAAAATTATATTCTTAAAAGATCATTTCAATCTTGTTTACAGCCTCACTCGTTTTTCTGCTTCTCTGAACTTGATCCTGGGGCCGAGGGTCAGAGGGTCATCATGGCGTCTTGCTCTGTCTAGATCAAACTGTCAAACACTGGGAGTTAAACTTCCACTACTGGATCGATTAAGATGTACCATCATTGCTGGAAGTATGTTTGGCCACAGTTGATATAACTTGATGCTCACCTCTCGGTCAAACCTGGTCACAGTGTCTCTGTCTCTGAGTCCTTGTAGGCGACTTGGTGGCTCCAGAGGGGCTTCCTGCTCCTGGAGACTTTCACCTTTTGACTTGAGCACAAGAGGACATACTCACATGTCAATATTTTTCATCTGCAGGACAAAAGTCAAAGTCCTTTAAAGCTATTTTTTGCCAAAAAAAAGTTGGGTTTACTCTGGCAGCGTTCAGTTTCTCTTGCAAGCGTCGTGTCACTAAGTCGTCTAAATGCTGAGAGCCAGGAGAATGTAGAATTTTTGAAGAGCGACCTAGAAGACCAAAAAACATGACAAAAGTATCAGTAACAGCTACTTGAAATGTGAATAACTTTGTATCTGTTTTTACCATGTCAAGAGTTGTAAAGTGGCACGTGGCATGTACGTATGTTTAATGTATACAGACACAAATACAAAAAAAAAGAAACATAAAGCAAAGAAAGAAAGATGTGGAAGCAGGGATCCATAATGTATATCTTACATCAGCGTTTGAACAAAGGACACCACCAAGTCAGCAGCTCTCTTAATGGCCTCTAATACTTGTCCTCATGCATTGATTACAGATTCAGTTTACTGTTTAATTATTATTAAATTAAAGTATTATTATTATTATTATTATTATTATTATTTTTGCAATGAAAAAAAAAACACCTCTTTGAAGATTTAATAGACTGAATAAGCAAAAAAATAGAATCTGTTTTACTTAAAGGCAGTGCATGATAAATTCAAACAGATGATCTCATACCAAATGTTGGTACAGAGTGAAAGTCATCCTCTGCATTTCTTTACATCACAGCCAACATTCTCTTTGTGTTCTTTCGGTTGTTATTTTCATCTGTGTGAAAGTATTGCATTAGTTTATTTAGAGATGTTTGGGTAATTCTATCCAAATGATACATTTTCTCCATTAAAACACCTTTTAATATTGCACAAAAGTACTGGTCATTTCTTGTGATTCTTTGCACTGGAAGAGACCAAAAGGCATGAAGGGAAAGAAGACCTGGACACTAACCTTTCAGAGATCCAGTCGGAGGTCTTGACAAAACTGCAGACTTTTCACCTGCTTGATCAGCTGACTCCTCGTCTTCACTGCGGTGTTGAACAGACGAGATCTCCTCCAAACCGCCTTCTTCATGCTGCTGGTATGAAGACTGTTCAAGCAGCTGAAACACACCAAGAGATGATGATACCAGAATTTTAGACATTATGATGATGTAAGTAAGAGTAAAAAAATATCTGTACCTATCCGATGTTGGGAACTTTTTGTTTTAGATTTTTTTTAAATTGCATGGCCAACTCCAAATAACAAATGTGTTGTCAACAGTTTGGTATGAAAACTTTGCAAAAGTAGTTGTACAATAAAGACAGTGTGTAGGAGTTCTGCTGCAATTTTTGGTGGATTCAATCCTCTCCTAAGCACCCGTCTTATAAAATAGATACTTTCAATATAATTGTTTGTTAAAATAAAGCTGAATGTTTAGCTTAAAAATATGTGGCATAGAAGTACTGAACATTTTGACAACATTTACATATAATATTAGAGTTTTGAAGTTAATACATAACATATACATAACATAACCATATAACAGTTATTATTGGATTAAAGAATGAAGGTGGAAGCGTACCCTTTTCTTCCTCTCTCTTTGTGTCCTAAAAGTGCGTTTCAGAGTCTCTCCTGGATCTTCTTCACTGGTTTCAGGTTCCTAGTGTGACACAGGCATACTGTTAAACAGCAAGCAACATCCAGGCAGCAAATGCGCAGAGGTGCTGCTCGACAACAGGCAAGGCAGGCAACTGCTTGGGGCCCCAGACCAATAAGGGGGCCCCTGAGGGTTCACAAACTTAAACAAAAGCAGTGGCCAAAATTTCAGTATAGGAAACCTCCCTAAGGGGGCCCCATCAGACAGCACTCACTCTTGTGAGTTGCATGCATTATTGCAGTGAAAAACAAAGTTTGTCAATAAAATAAAGAAAGAAAATTGAAGAGGAATTATCCGTCTATAGGAGAGAAAAAATAAACTGGAAAGAAGAAGAGGAGTAAGCATCGTCTGGCAGACATAATCGTGATGAACGCTGGATGGATTGCCCCTTGATTTTTGCCTAGGGCCCCACCAGACTCTAGCATCACCACTGCAAATGTGCACTCTCCCTTTATTCACACTATGTTGCACAGCTGGAAAGGGGCTATAGTTTTTAAAGAGAGCAGAATATTGGTGTTGAGCAGCCAGCAAAACACACACACACACACACACACACACACACACACACACACACACACACACACACACACACACACACACACACACACACACACACACACACACACACACACACACACACACACACACACACACACACACACACACACACAAACTACAGCCTGTAGGCTAAGCTACAAAACACACACACCAACCTTTATTGTAGTTTGTAGTTTTCCCTTACTCATTTTGGTAGACGGAACCAGAGCCTGTCGAGTATAATGACATTACTAAGGAGTTAGCAGCTCTTTTTCCTGTGTGTGAGTGTGTGTTTCTGACTGTGAGTGTGTGTACAGTGAAGCTAACACTCCTCCCAGTCATGTTGAGTCTTGTCAAAGCAGGGCTCTCTCAGGGGCTGATGCCAGTCCACACAAACAACACAGACATCTTTGACAAAAAGCCATTTTTGTTTCACCATTGCACTGTTTTAGATAAACATAATTTACTAAATTTATGAGGACTTTATAAAGATGAAGTCTGCCAGTGGGATCGGCACCAGGGGCCACAGCCCGAGGAGACTGTGAGGTCCCATACAGACGCACTACATTCAGACAAACTGTTCTGTGAGTCAAAGGAAATAAATATTACTCACAATAAGAGACTCAAACATATGCAGCCTTCAAAACACACCTCAAACAGTGGATAAAAGAAAACCAAGTCTGTGACCACCTTTAACCTCTATTATTGTCATGTGTCACTTTGTATTTGTATTTTATTTGTAATTTGTCTTTCACTGTTACCTGCCTAGGGACAACAGATGGAAACTAGCACTTATAATAGCTAATAGCTATACTAATAGCTATAATCTGACATTTTTACATCTGTTATTGTTACAGCTGTTCATTAATATGCACTGTCCCTAACAAATAAATAAATAAATAAATAAATAACACAAGATCGTATTTATCTGTAATAGCATTATTGTAATGATTCACCTGAACGTCATCCTCGTCTCTGTTCTTCAAAGTTTCTTTCAGAGCTCGACGTTTCTTTCGCAGTTTTTCACGAATATCTCTGAAACAGAAGATTTGTTTACAACACAGCCAGAGGAGCTAACGCTAGCTTTGATAGCCAGCTGAAAGTGTCATCTCAGACACGTAAAAGCTTTCTGCACTCAAGTGGTTAAGTTAATATATCATATAGTTAATATCACCGTTTTCAGAACCAAGAAGGAAGCAGATAAACTTACCCTGAAGAGGCCATGATGCTTTTCTTTACAATAAATTGAGCATAAAGCGACCTGAAGTTGTGGTTTAGTCCGTATCGAAACCGACTTACTTCACACAATATTACACCGACATTAATATCACCTGGTCCTGACTTTTCATTTCTTTGAGGGAGATATTTTCTCCATCATTACTGAGCAAACGATCACCGTTATCGCTGCCTAGTAACGGGATAAACTACTTCTCAACCGAACATGAAAATTACCGCCGATGCGTCCGAAGGGTCTCCCGTTTGTCGATTACCATTCGTCAAATAGGCCATCAATCAAAGAACACAGTGACGCCCATTACGGAGTCCGAGAAGCCCAAAATAAGAGAATCGAAAAAGCGTACGGTTTAAAAAGAAAAACTACATAAACTGTATTTGGTGATGACTAGTATGTTTGTAGTGCTATTTCATGTCATCATATATATTATATGTCTGTAAAAATATAGAGATTTTAATGTTTCGTATACATTTTGATGTTTTCATAATTATTTTCCATTTTCTATTAGATGTCTCTATATGTACGTGTATTTTGTTTAACATAAACAACCATCATGTATTATGTCGTTGTTTGTTTGACTTAATGTGTAAATTGTGCAGTGTTAATTAAATATTTTTTAAACCATGAAACAGAAAACAAAAACCATAGCATATTTTTTCTCCCCCCAAGTTATTGTTTTTGGTTTAATTTCTAATAGAACATTACTTCAGATTTTATTTAGCTTTTCATTTGAATAATTATGATTATAATACCTTATTTATATTTCATAGATAAGTCTCAACGTGCTTTACAATTAAAACAAGGCAAGAAAATAGAAACGAATGCAAAGATACACAAATGATAATACACATAAATAAAGCAAATAAACAGATAAAAAAGGCCCAAACAAAAATTAAACACATAGATCAATAAAACAGTAAAAACTATCAACAAATTAGAACTTTTATTATATTACACATTTTACAATCAATTATTATTATCGTCATTATTATTTCATGTTTTGTATTTTGAAGCTTGTATTATGTTTGTATGTTTGGCTGGTTGTTGTTTCTCAGAAACTTTGTGTACTGTGCTTCTGCCTGTCTTGATAGTCTAACTTTCATTGAGTTTTCTTCTGGCTAAATAAGGTTAAATAGTCTACATAAAAATAAAATAAACTAATGATTTACTCTCGCAATGTTGTACAGGAGAACAGATCAAAACAAGCTCCAACTGTGTCAACAATATTTATTCTTTATTATAATCGATCTTGCATCTAAATCAGAGACCTATTAAGCTAATGAAACAATACTATTTCAAATCAGTAGATATGTCTCTATAGTAATAAAATATTATACAGCAATACAAACACTTGTACAAAAATAGAGTTTGACCTTTGTGTAATAAAACAACTTTGACCTGCAGTTTCTGTTATGTGCTTTCCAGGATCTATGAATACTCATCTGCCAGTGTGTCAAAGTAGTTAGAATCTGCATAAAGAAGGAAGCCAGAGAATAAGCTGTCAGCCCAGCCCGGGTCTGCAAACAAACCATTCTGGTCTTTGAAGAAGATCTCCAACCACACCTCATCCTCTGGGTTGAGGTACATCACAGTGGACCCTGATGCTACATCATGATTCCCCGTGTTGGCATCGAAGGTTTTGATGCGATACTGACCGTTCTGAACCAGACCGATGGCCAGGTGTTTGTTGGCCAGTGTAATGTCATAGGAGAAGTAATAAATGCCTGGGTATGCACATATGTACTTCCCTGTCTGTGGGTTGTAGTGCCCGCCCTCATTAAACAGCACCTTGTTGAACTTGATGGGAGTTTTCTCTGCAGGGTAGCTGCTGGTAATCCCCACAGAGAAGGCGGATTTAGGCAGCAGGCTGCCGCACTTGCATGTTCCTGCAGTTCCAGGTGTCCCTCGTGCACCTTTGTCTCCCTTATCTCCTTCACGACCAGCAGGACCAAGCAACCCCACGTCTCCATTCTCTCCTGTGGGGCCTCTTTTACCTGCAGGGCCACGCTCACCTCGAGCTCCAATTTTACCTGTTGGGCCGACTCTGCCCTTTAAGCCTGGAACAGAAAGATCATTGAATTGATATTTCTGCCTAGTTACACAAAGATTGGTAGATTCATTTTGCCAGTTCTCTTCCTTTTCTTTGTGTGTCAGTTTCTCACTTTAAATGAGCTGTCAATGGAAACATTAAACCCCACCCAACGTCATGCATTAAGTCAACCTTGGAGCGAAGCCACTTGACTTTTGAAAGCACATTTTTGCTTGATTCATTCACACTTTCTTATAACCAGCGCACTCCAGTGTAAATATCCTGTAGCTAGGAAACACTGTGATCACTGTATGTCAAGGCAAAGACAGTTGGATATTCGATGTAGTTTTATGTCTCTGAAGGTGTTTGGCTGAATTACTGCTTCCACACATAATGGAAAACTAAGGTGCCAAAGTTTATTTTTCATTGACAGATTTACTACACTTCAGACTGCACAGATGAAACAGTGCAGTACAGAGCGATGCTCCCATCCATTCTTCTCAAATATTTTGTATAACTTTATGGCACCTTTACCTGCAGGACTTCTTTTGGCTGCAGACAACCAAGATAAGACGTTTACATGACTCAAAAATGATCGTTATGATGGTAGGTGTGCTCCTGCAGTGCCATGGAGGTTTTTACAAAGTTTGGGAATGGGTCATCACTAATATATTTGTTGTGTGGGTTACTGTTGTGAGATATGGAGGACGGAAAAAATATAAAATATTTGGCCACACTTTAATTGATACAATCTGACACTAATAGACATTTTAGACATTTTAGACAATAGACTGTTTTAATATGTTTTTATTTTATTAATTCACTTTTGTTTTTATTTTATTATTAGTTCTCTTCCCTACAAGATTTTCCTTTCTGTATATTTTATTATTTGGATGATTGTTCAATCATTAACATAATGAAGAAGAAATGCATAAAGATATGTTGAAGAAAATAACACAGTAAAAGAAAGAATTAAGGAAATAAATGAACATAAAATGAATTACTAAATTAATAATATTCTAAAGTTTGTTTTTGGATGGTAGAGATCAGCCCACTTATGGTTGAAAGATCATTAAAAAAGACAGTAAATGTACTTTGTTATCGCAACGAGGAGATTTTTCAGACGTGTCGGCTACTGGAAACATCTTTGTGAAATTTGTGGAAAATGTAGGAAGGCGTATTGGAAGAACCTATAACACTTTGGACATCATCTTTTTTATGCTCATGAAAAAGTTAAGTGTAGGAGACAATATTCAACATATCAATAGATAAGGTGCTAGGTGGTTTGCCCCACTCATTCTGACAACTTTATGTCGTTTACCTCCTTTTCACTGTTTTATTTTTTATTTCATTTTTCTTTATCATGTAAATTATAGAAGCTATTTAAAGACCCCTTGTGAACTGCACTACTTAGGGCTAAAATTCAACATGTCTAAATGTCTGGCAATTATTCTGATGTTATGTTGTTGATGTTTTTCTGTTGAAAAACTAATAAAAACTTTTAGTGTAAAAAAAAGAAAAAGTTGAAGTGTAAACATTTTTTTAAATCTACATTTAGGCTAATTCAGCTATATCAAAGTGGGAATGATGTTCTGAATATCAACACTGCTGTGATTGGGTCGTAGGCAAGAGGCTGATATTCAGTATTGTTTTAATACAGCTCTTATTATACAAGTGGCCAATAGTGGTCAATGACTGCACTCTGTTCTGTTTGTCTCCATGGTTACTAAAGAACAGCTACATTGTTTTATGTACAGCTGTATATTTATAGTTATTATGCAGATAGTGAAATTAAACTAATGTGATTCTGAGGGGTCATATGTTTTAATGAAGACAAAAATCCTTCTGCTGTAATCTTAATGAACTGTATTTAGTGCATGAGGCTCATATATCAGCACTCATGAAATGCCTTTTGTGAATTTGATTATTTGGTTAAACTAACTTTTGTGTTGTGATACTTTTAAACTTATCACAAATTAATGTTAATAATGAAAAATGTACAGGTACACAATAATTATACAGCTGAGAGCATGATGCTTCATTTAGGCACACCTTTGTGTTAAGTGTATTTTGACATGATATGGTGTCTAGTTTCCTTCTTTCTTAAACGACCATGATAGTGTGTGGGAGTCAGATGCTTAAAGGCCTGTTTACACTGATTTGAGATTCACCTTAAGGCCTGCAGTGGGTGCTAATCTAAACAACTCCTGTATTTCATAACCGTAATATTAATGGCAATATATTTTTCTGTGGGATTCTGTTCAACGTCTGGACGCCACATATGAGTCCTGTCAGCTGCCAGGTAGGGAAACTTTTCAGTGCCAGCTTTACCCTGGCACAGAGTGGTAGTAGAATTTTATCGGCACATGTTATGTTTTTATATTATACCTTCTTCTCCCTTTCCCCCATTTTCACCCTTCCTGCCGTCTCTACCATCTCTTCCTGGGATACCCGCATTCCCATCTGCTCCCGGAGGCCCGCTGTGGCCTGGTTTGCCAGGTGGGCCGGGTGATCCGGGGACGCTGCAGATCAGACGAGGTGCTCCTTTCATTTTGTTGTCAAACAGCTGTCCAAAGACACAGTGGCACAGACACACTACTCCCATCAATGTCCACATCTTCACATCTGGAAATATACAAACAGCAGAGTTAAGAGAACATCTACGGACATCTCTCTGATGTGAGGAAAACAAATGTCAGGATTATTTCTGCTCAAATTGAACAAAACATTTTGTGTTTTCAGGTAATCACTTCCACTGATTAGAAGTGGAAGCTTGTAATCAGTTTCATGATGCAATTAAACACTTAGAGTGGAGTTGTGAAAAACACATCTGTGATCCAGTACAGCATGAGATCAGAACCAACTCTTATAATAAGAAGCAATCTGGATGTGACTGTCTCGCGCTGATGTTCTCATCCACCACAGGCTCACATGTGAGAGACTTCAAACTAAAACCTTGTCTCTGTTCCAAAACATTCCCATGTTGTGACATAACATCCAGCACAATCTGTGTCAGGGGAACATAATCATGGAGCACTTGAACAGACAGAAACATTACAGGATCTCAACATATAACCCTACAGGAAATAATAATGAGGTCAAAAGTAGAATCAGAGATAAAGATCCAGCAGAGGTCGTGTAAGAAGATCCACCTGGAAAAACCTTTCAGATGTTTCCAAATTCCTTCAGAATGACATCGATTAAAACTTGACAATGGGATTAGTCGATTTGATTAATACACACATGTTTGTTCTTTGCATATTTGCCCCATGTGGGCGTGAGAATGTGAGTTGTGCATCTGCTCTTTGGGCCTGCTGTCTGTGGCTGATGGGGCGTTGGAACATGTGTGTGAAGGTTTTCAGAGGAAGATCACCACTCTGTCTGTCTTAAAACTGTGTAACTGTGTGTCTTTGTTGCAACATGATTTCTTTGCCATTACACATTTAGTTTGTCTGGCAGTGAGAGATGCCAGCAGGTCAGACAAATAATGTGCTTACTACGAGACAATAAACGGACGGACTCACAGACACCCACACACACACACAGACATGAACAAGCTGAGCCTGTTCTTGGAAACGCACAGTCCCTCTGCTCCACTTATGTTGCATGTTTTTGATTTTTAAAGGCTAGTGATCTGGTCACAGAGCCAGTGTGAGGTCCTGGGGGAGAGGAAACCCCGCCCGCCTTTTCTGCTCTGACTGCAGCAATGATGTAAGCATTAGTAAAGTCACTATTATTAAGAAATGGTGCTCTTTTTACTCAGACGTGTGCATGAGGGCAAACAACAAATGCAATGCAAAAAATGCACTCAAACATTAAAATGATTACAAATCGACTTGGAATTCTGTCGCAATAGAACCTCTGCAAAAAGAAAATCCCCCTTTTGCCAGTGAACAGGTGGTGCATTAGTGGATAACTGTGTTCGGCCCTTCTTCACTGAAAAATGTCTGTGTCCACTTTAAGCAATGGCAGCCTCTGAGATGGCCTCTAGGTGTTTCTAATTCATGTCAGGCACAAGGCTCACAAAAGTCCCCGGTGCAGTAAGTCACTCAGTGCAACGTGCATTTCAAAAGAAATATTTTTTTCTTCTTCATCTTCTGTAAGCAGGATAATTGACTATCATAAAAATGTAGATAAATACATGCACATATATTTAGAGTCATGCCTAATCATGGGCTTACGTGTGCACAAACACTGACGGGTGTTGGCAAAGTAATTCAAAGTATTTCATCTTCATGTGATAAGGAAATTCAACAGTTGTGCATCACTTCTTAAATACTGTGAATAAGAATGTTTTGTGCCGGTCTATAAAAATACAGCAGGGATTACAGTTGCAGCTGTGTGATCAGTGTTCTTACCCCACTGTTTGCAGCTGTTCATCTCCAAAACTGATCACAGTTATCACTGCCTCGTGTCCTCGTCCTCTTTGCACAGATTCCAGTCTTTATGATGATTTGACTCCTGGGTTAACATCTTCTCCGTCCCTGTTCTTCCGTTGCTCTCAGACGTCTGCGTGCCTCGCTCAGCTGTGGTGCCGCTGACAGCCTCTTGTAATGCAGAAGCTGCAAGATGCACTCCCTCAATCCCTCCCCCTCTCTCCACTCCCTTTTCCCTGCTTCATAAACTTCCCAAAGACAAACAACTAGCATACAGCCAAGCACAGTGTGTGCACACCGACTCAGCCACATTATGTCATGCATGCAGATTGTTTAAATATGTGTAAAGTCAGCAGCTTGGATCCTGGAGGAAAATGATGTGCTCTTTGAAAATCAGATTTATCAGTGGCAGAAGTCATTTGTGTTTTGTTGACCTCTGTGTTTCACATGCAAGTATTCCTCACAACCATCCCTGAACGGGGCCACAGCTGATGTGTGGATGTGTGCCAGAGGAGTTCTTGGATTATTTCCTTTCCACATATGGATATATATTATAGATACCATATGGAAAATCTGTCTTCAATATTAAAATAATGAATTATCAGCTTAGCATTTAAACCTACGTATTTTTTTTTAAGATCTGTTGGTTAACACTTTCTGCACTCAATAACCCTAGTTATTTTGTAAAGTGGTTTTGCATATAGCAGGTAGGATATGTAGATTTTAATGTCAAAGAATAGTTAATAAGAGAGGATGAACATGTATTAATTCTGATTATTATGAAAACTTAACTCATTGATTGTAGTATTTAGAACCTTTAGTGTAATCAAAGTAGTAATACAACAGAAGAAAATACAAAATCACAGATGCTGCATGAAAAAGCATAGACTCAATGAAGTCTGAATGGCATTATACTCCAAAGCAGTGGTTCTCAACTAGTGGGAATTTGGACCCAAAAGTGGGATGTGGAGCGGATTTCAGTGGGTCATGAATATGTGCCTGGTAAATAATAGTGTTTGTTTTGACTCTTTGTTCTGTCCCGTGTTTTGTACAGTCTGAGATCAGACAACACTGTTTTTGTTGGTGGTGAGTAATATGTTGGGGTTCTTTTTCACACACCTCAAAAATTGGAAAAAAACACAGGTGTAGTGGTAAAATGCTGTGATGCTGTAATTATCATTTTTTTGTCGGACTCCCAAGGTGCGGTGAAAGATATTTACAAAAGGGCCAAAAAAAGTCTGCCATAAAGGGAAAAGTTCCACATGAACAAACAAAACAAGAGCACTTCAAACTATTATGGCAGCTGCAACTTTCTCTGTTACCAGAACTGGACTGACTGCAGCCATCTTTTAAATCAGAAGCCCCTCCCACTGTCCGCTTTGAATTACATTACTTTTTAACAAAAACACTTTTTCTTATGAATTAAATGATTTTTTTAACCTTTTGAAATCGCCCCCTATCTTAAACTTCAATAATTTAAGCATCGTTATCAACGTTGTAATTAACACCACAATGACATGTTTGTGGAGATAAGTTCTTCAAATCAGGTGACCACTATTTCGCGCCACATCCTATTTATCAAGTGGAAATGGACCGCCTTCGTTTGGCACACAAACGGAACACAGTGGAGCACATATGAAACGCCATTTCATTAAGAAGTCATTTTAATGAATGTGAAAGTGTGCACCCTGGGTCGCGCTATGAAAAGGAGATGGAGAGGAGGATGCTGTCATGATGTACTGAGTGAAGTGAAATTCCTTGTGTGTGTAAGCATATAAAGCTGATTCTGATTCTGATTAGGAGAACTGGCAGAGAGGGAAAAGTTTGGTGTGTGTGTGTGTGTGTGTGTGTGTGTGTGTGTGTGTGTGTGTGTGTGTGTGTGTGTGTGTGTGTGTGTGTGTGTGTGTGCCATAGATGTGTGCACTGCCTGCAGTCAGTGACGTCACAGTCCTGAATTTAGACCAGTTGAGAACCACTGATCCAAAGGCATAAAATAAAAAGCCCCCAGTTTTGTATTGCCACTCGTTGTTGGAGACAGTGCTAATTCAACTACAATATTAGACACACACATTTCATAAAGAATGTAAAGTAGGTGTTTGTATTTCTTATAAAGTGTATTTAGATATCTGTGTTACTTTGTGTGATTCTCAGTGTTGTGTTGTTTAAGTTGGGTTTTAACATGTTTTTGGTTGTGTTTGGCTGCTTCCTGCAGATCTCTCTTGTAAAAGAGACGTTTCATCTCAATGGGACTTCCTGGTAAAATACATTTATACAGTTGTATTAATAGCTTAGCTGCTATTTGTGACTCAAACTTTAAGTCCTTATTGCTGCAAGGCTCAAAACATAAATATGGCCGTTCTTCTTGGGTTTGGGATTTTTTTTTGTGGCATTTGTTGAAATCTGCTTCACATCCCAAAAACCTTCAGTGAGTTAGTTAAGAATCGCTGAAATGTAATGTCTGTTTTGTCACTGATCTGTTCTATAAATTAAATCACACTCATTGCACATAAGCAGAGTAGAAGAGGAAGCTAACTTTTGAAGTAGCTGAACAAAGCAGAGAAATGTCAGTGGTGACGATGTGATGTGTCTCCTCTTCAGCACTTTGTCACCAGCATTGATGCAGAGCACGTTCATGTGTTTGGAAACTTTCAAAAACCTAGCTTACTTATGTTTTTTTGTTACCTCACACTTATGGCAGCTTTATCAGAAAGACAAATACATTCTGCTTCACATATTTCTATCAGTAATTTTGTGACTTTTGACAAGTGTTATTTAACAAATAAATCTGTCTCAGACGACATTAGACAGAAGGTTAAATGTCTCTGGTGACTGATAAGAGTTTGTAGGCATAAATACTGAAGGATTATTGTCACTAAGTCTTTATGCTCGTCTGCTTTTTGTGTTATTCTTCCCAGATTGAAATGGGTTTCCTTCATATTCAAGCAGCAGCAGCAGCCACGTTGTGTCCAAACAGAATGGGTCTTTATTCAGGAAGTGAAAGAAAAAAAAAGATTGTAATCAACACCCCATTTAAATACAAAACCAACAAAAATAAAAATAAACATGATATTCATTTGCATATCAAAGAACCATTCAGTAATAATTACAATCCAAACACCTCATAAACCACTTTTTTTTGTGAATCTATACACAAACTCTGATTTAGAAATTAGTCACTTTAACAATAAAATTACAAATATTTAGCTTTAAAAATAATTAAACTTCAAATAATATCTTAGCAATTAGCATTTTAAATTTATATATTGTGTATTTCCACATAAAAATACAAAATAATACCAATGACATTTAAATATGAAAAAAAATTATTCCAAGAAAATCTGCTACTATTAAATGAAACAAAAGGTGGGATAAAACAAGATGAAATGAAATAGAAATATGCATGAAAAAGTCTCTCCTTTTGTTAGCAAAACACTATCCAAAATAACTACAATCATTTACATCAGTACAAAGATATCTGGATTTAAAAATAGTTGCAATGAAAAAACGGGGTTTTATTTTTTCTGACAGTAAAAAATGACACTGTGGATCAGAAATCTGCAAAATATGCAATGAAAAAAATAAATCTGCATTAAAAAGGTTTACACTGTAGTTCTTACTTTTATACAAACATTAGAAACAGTATTGCACATCACAACACAGATTCGAGGTTAGTCAGCCTTTCAAAATGTGTTATATTCAAGTTTCAGAGCATCTATGAGGACAGGCAGCCGAGGCCTCGATGCAACAGGGGAGAATCTCAAGTGTCTTCCAAGAATAGAATAAAACCTTCATGTTTCCTTCCTTCAAATGAAATGTGTCATCAGTGTGTATCAAAAGAAGAAGATATCAAAAACTTTGATGTTTATGACGGGACTCTTTGTCTTCCAACATAACTTTTGGGCGTAATTAGCACAAGAACAAGAAGGAGGGGGGGGGGGGGAATAAATTGTATAATAGTCCTATTTAAATAGAAAAATACAATCAAAATCAAATAGTTTTTTTTTTTGTCTACAAAAATAGTGAAATAAATATGATTTTTACAAAAACAAAGACACGCACAGGACAAAGTAACAGTGTTCAACATAGAAAATAGAACCTCACAATAAAACAGCACGAGTCAAGTGTTACAGGTGACGATATTCAAACATGTTCGCATCATGAGAACGTAAAGCCACAGGGGGGGAGGGGAGGGGAGGGGGGACGACGGGAGCTGGGTGTGTAATCTCCACGCTCTGACTCCCCGTCCTCACAACATCCAGACTACATCAGAATATATTAGAACATATTGGATTCCTGCTCTACTCATACAGAATATATAGATAAATTAAGACCACTGCTTCACGCTACATCTTAAATAAGTAATCATGAAAAAATAAAAATTTAATAAATCATCTGTAGAATTATAAATAGGTGGAGGCTTCTGCACTGAAATCACTTGGGGGGGTGGATAAGGAGTTAAAACGGGTGGGGTGGGGGGGGGCATATAGAAAAGTAGTGCATAATATATATTATAAAAAACATAGTGTAGGGCCAGTGATGGGTAAGTAGTTGACACAGACAAATTGGACTCAACTATTAAGTAAATAAGTTTCATTAAGGTTTTTTGTAACAGTACACTTTGATGCCCGAACATCGACACAGAGGAGCACACAGCGGGGGCGCCGTGGAGCACAAACACCACCACGACACGAGAGCGACGCACGTTTACAGTACCAAGCGGACGGCTGGGTCACCGTCCGCACAAAAAAGATTGTCCCTAAAAAGTTTTTTCTAAGAGAAATTCAAGGGTGAAAATCCAACAGACAAACGATACAAAGAAAAAAAGAAGAGTTTTATATTAAGTGTAATTGATATTCAGGTCGTTCAGTAGGTGAACTCTAGTCGAGTTTCCCTGGACTCCTTCAACCAGTCTGTAAAGAATAAGCAGTTCAGGGAATTGGGAATTCCTAACTCGAGCTCTATTTTGTGTGTTTGAGGTCTAAATGACTCGATAGCTTTAGATGTCAGCAGCAAAACAGGCTTTAATGACAGACCAAAGTACATCCACTGAAAGGGCTCGTTTAAGTCACTGACAGACTCACACTGGTATTCTAAGTGACTAACAAAATGATGGAAATGTTCCCAACAGAGACTGAATATTTTGTTATATAATAAAATGGGATCTCATGGAATGACAGCTGCCACATTGTTCACTTTAAAAGCCACCAGACTTCCTTGACAAAACCACTAATTTCAATTTGTACAACTTGCTGAACTGCTGCTGCCTAAACTTAGTCAGTTTGTCCGTGTTATTGTTGTGTGTCTTTTGGTGTTTACACAATGACACACACTGACACACAAAGACAGAGGCAGGAGTAGACCAGCACCTCCTGAATTACTACTTTTTGTCAATGGAGTTTGGTTGATTTGAAGAGAACAATGTAATGTCTGTTTCTGTTTTTTAAAAACATTATTCAATAAAGGTCTATCTCTGAAGGTATCCTTTAAATCATGCTGTCAGAAACTTAGAAGAAGGTGGCAGAAACAGAAACTTTGAGTGGACACACTTCAACTGCATGCAAGGATTCAGTTGAACAATTACAGCCAGTGTTACGACTGCGAGCTAAAGCGATCTATTGGAGCAACTCCATTTTGAACCTTTAGACACTTAAAGCCCAACGTGTGAAAAAATAGTGCCCAAGTTTTAAAACAATCTCCCTTTCCTTTTTCGACCTGATCAAGTCTTTAGTTTGAACCTGTCCAGCCAGGGCAACGCTACATCAGATTGAATCTTTGGAACTATACAGAGACAGGAAAGGGTTGAAGGCAGAGTCATTATGGTGTTTTGAATTCTCTACGACGTCATCAGTCGGTTACTAAACTAGAGCCTCAGTCTAAAGATAAAAAACAGTCACACAGCACGGGGGGTGGGGGGGGGACGACACAAACACAAACCACTGAACACCACTCTGCTTGTCGACAGGATTTTTTTTTTTGCCATACGAGCCATCACGTTACAGAAAGATGGCGTCTGCTAAGACTACAGTAGAACTAATATCACTTTTTTTTAAACCGTTAAGTATGTAAACGGATCAAACAACGGATAAACATCAATGCATGCAAGTTTAAATAGTTCTTTATAGTTTTTTTTTTTACTTATTTGTCTGATTTTTTCCCTCGTAGGCAATTTTTGAATACATGGTCATGCTACTCACTAAATTTAATTAATTTTATGATTTCAGTGGTTAAATTGTTTCTCTCTCACACATCTATCCTGCATGCTATTTGTCTAGCTAACCTATTGTCATCACATGCACCTTCCATGGCAATGGGGGGCCATTAGTGGTTGAGTGCATACTGCATTTCATTTCACATGATTTCTGGTTTATAAATGGCATTAAATATAATACCTACACAATGATTCATATATATATTCATATATAGCAGCAAAGCTTCTAAAATAGCTTGTTAGGTATAAATGTTGCTGAAACCAGATTCAGTGTTTTGAGGTATCACTCAATGGGGTCAGTACGAGCGCAGAAATCACCCTATCGTCTTTCTTTAATAATAAACCCTCGAAAAAGAAGAAAGAGCCCATGGCAACGCTAAAAAACAACCGTTTGTTTTGCGGCAGAAAAACGTGTCAATTTTTATGCTATTTTTGTTGCTACCTTTGGTTAATGACCTGGGGCAGGCGTCAACATTTAGAGAATCAAGGTTTTTCCCAGAAACAAGTGTGCACTGCACGCACTGTGGGGTGGCTATAGCAGCAGACAAACAGACAGACGAGCTGCCCCCATGCAAAAAACATTCCCATATCTACTTCAAATCTTACATACAAAAATAATAATAATAAAAAAACCTACAAAAATCAATCTCTTTTTTTTTTTTTTTTAAATCTCCTCTTAGAAAAGATGAAAGTACCACAAAAGAGTTGTAGAGTTGTCAGAGCCTGAGATGTGACGGGGGGTTTTGGTGAAAAACTGAGGCTTGTGGTGTTTGGCTGCTACAAAAGATATATCGATATATATAGTATATACTGTATAGTGTTACGTACTGGATTATACTGATAGCTTAGGAGAGCGGGAGAGGCAGAGCGATGCTCTTCCTGTTTAGCCAGTGTTTCTTTTTCCCTTCCCTCGGACTGTGTCTTCGACCGCCGTCTTCAGTTCCAGCGGAAGTGGATCTGACGCGGGCGGTCGGCTCCCTCTTTGACCAGCGGCTTGTGAAACTCTCGTCCGGCGCGGGAGTGGATGTTGGCCCAGCAGAACTCGCAGTAGTACTGCAGACAGGTGACGTTAGCGCAGAAGAAGGGAGCAAACTTCCCCCCGCAGCGTGCACCCTGACATTCGTCACACAGCTGATCATCCAGGACGTAGGGCTTCACCTCCACCTGCACACACACACACACACACACACACACACACACACACACACACACACACACACACACACACACACACACACACACACACACACACACACACACACACACACACACACACACACACACACACACACACACACACACAGAGTGAACACATGAATGAATACATACAGTAACAAAAGATGAATGTGTGTGTGTTCATGAAAGGCTGATTGCAGCACGGACTGAGAGGAAAGCTGATTCAATCAGCCCTAATAAAATTTCAATCGCCATGGCAACAAGCTGCTTTGTCCGTGGTGATGCTGATAGCACAGACACACACACACACACACACACACCTTTTTTGCAATTTAAGATGTCCTTTCAACAATTTCTATGGGGACATTAAGGACTGGGAACATGATGTTGCTGAAAACAGAAACCTTCCTTTGTCGTTCTAAATGCTCTTGGAAGTTTGCTTCATCAACACTAAAAAGACAACGACTTCTACAGTGACCTTCTCTTTTCACCCATTTTCTCTCCTAGAATCGGCCGCTGCTGCCGTTTGTGTCCTGAGTCATCTTTACTCTTTCCAATTTCTCTTCATTAGTTTTTTAAGGATTAACTTTGAAAAATGTGTTGTTAAGTTCAACACATTTAAGCAGCATCTGTATTATTTCACTTCCCTCTGACCTCAGACATTGGGAGAGAGTCAAAGAGCCAGGGTCCTAGAACGGTCCTACAACCTACAACCATTTTTTTCTCACAGCTTTTTATTCATTATTATTGTTGTGTGAAAAGTCCTCATCCAGTACTGTCCTTAAATAATTATCTATCCATCTTCAAAATGTAGTTTACATTCTCCAGCCTAACATGTCTCACCAAGCATAACAAGATCTGAGCTGCTATTGGAGCATTTTAAACAGGTGAAACAAAGGGAAGGTCATTGATGTAAATGACACATCCTTCTAAACTTTAAGTCATATACTCAACATATACGTATAACAGTGAACTTGAGTTATGTAAATGAAGGGGAAGGCTGTACCCGCTTGTCAATGTCTCCGTGCTGCAGCTGGACGAATCTGGCGCTGATGGCAGCGATGTAACTCTGCTGATTGGAGAAGGCCACTCGCCCCGCCCCCTTGGGATACTTCAGTTCTGGATCTGTGTCAATTCCTGCGTAGCACACTCCACCATACAGACGATCCATAATCATGGCCAGCTCAACTGCAAAGAGGGTTCAAATACATTTTGATGAGTGACAGGACAAAGAACCAGGAGCAGAAGGAAGTGACACTAAGGAAGAAAAGTGTTTGAGGTCTGAATAAATAGTTCATTCATCAAATAGCCGGAAGAAAAATAAAGTTGGTGTAATTACTTGCTCTCAGGGGGCGAGGGACGCCTCCCACAAAGATAGTTTTGCGGGGATCAAGGGGCTGAGATCCGTCCATCACAAAGTCACTGTCGCTCAGGTTCCAGGGTCGGATTTGCACCTGGAGTCAGAGACAAATTCAGCTCTAAAATCCACTTCTTTTCTTGTTTAATAATCATAATAATACATTTAATAATCACAGTTACATGACAGCACTAAGCTGATAAACTCACAGGTTTATCCTTGATGGTGGGACTGGAGACACACAGGTAGAGCTTCCCGTCCTCCTCCATGCAGGCTTCAATCAGAGCCTGCACAGACGTCTCCTCCTGGAACAGCAGGAACGCATAGCCTGGAAAAACAGACACATATCCACATGTCAGTGTCCAGGGCCTGATTTAAAAAGATTCTGAATGGTACAAAAAGTTTAGGAAATTCTCCTTTGAATGGATTGATTAATATTACATTTTCATGTCTTCAGACACATTAGTTAAAAATCAATTATATGTTCGTTTAGCCAATATCCAAACAGCACCATTAACATGAACCACCCTCTCCCTCAAAAAAAAAACAAAAATAGAATAAATAATTACACTTGAAGAGGCACAATACACATATATGAATTAACAAAATAAATAAATTGATTTCATCACTTCCAAACAGTTTCCATTAGATTCAGTTCATAATAAATAGAGTTTGAGTAATGTGTTGTGAGTTACTCTATTCAGACAAAGTAAACGTTATCAAAGAGAGGACTGTTCTCCATATGAATCAGGTCTAAGTCAGGAACATGAACTTTTTTAAACATGATTTTTCCTACATGGTCATACAGAGGACACGTTCCACTTCATTCAGCTCACAGTATTCACATATTCTTTCATCCTCAGACACACCTTTATATCCCCCTGCTTCAATACAGTATGTAGTGGTAATATATAATTCACCTCTCAACTATGAACTGTTTAAGCAGGCAGACACAAAGCGGGCTGTAATGACTGTACTACCCTGTAAAGTGTTTTTAATTTTGCCACTGACAGGATCTGACTTTTGATCTAAATGTCAAACATTAACAGATGCAGTTCCTTCAAATATAGACCCTTGATTTGAGGTAAAAGGTAATTTTTTTTAAACAAACAACTGATACTTCTGGCTCTTTAAGGCCTCCAGACTTAATTGACATAACAATAATTATACCTTGAAGAACACAGGGGTTGCTGACAAACTGCTGCTTGAATCTGTTAGCTTTTATGCTTCTCTTCGTTACAAATATTGTGTTGCATCCAGACTGAAAATTCATAACATCCAAGGTCAGTAGTCACTCAAGAAGCTGACTCAAGTCTGGTGTTCTGTGCTGTGATTGTTTTTGTCAATGGAGTCAGGTTACTTTGAATAGATCTTTAAAGTGTATTTCTGACTGAACAAAAAGGATTTTGCCTTATAAACAAATTCTGCCTCTCTAAGCATCATCATCATTACTTGTTAGCATTTGAGCTTCACAGCGTCTAAGCTCATTCTAAATGAAGATATAAATCATGAAGTCTGGCTGCTTTTGACATTACCTTTGGGTGGAAAGTAGGATTTGCTCTCTGCTTTATGAGGCCAGTCCACCACCAGGTGACCGAAGCGACGAAAGCTTGAGGTTATTTCATCTGAGGAGGAAGTGCAAACAAAAAGACAGATGATGAAAAAGTGAGGAGATTTCAAGAATAGAAGAAGCAAAGGACTCACGGAGTAATGCAACACAGTGTGAAAGTGTTTGTATTAGTCCTCACCTTCATCTATGTCAGGGGGCAAACCTCCCACAAACACCTTACGAGAGAAGCGCTCGATGCGCTCCCCATTTTGGTGGGGGTAACAGTTCGGGGAGCCAAGGACTCCTGGGACACCCTGGTTGCCGTGGCCGTCGTCGAGGAGATGGTCATCGATGGGGAAGAGCGAGGAGCGGCCTGATGGAGGGCAAAGAAAGAGGGTTAAGACTTCAACCAATACCAGGCTTTCACACAATCAAATACAACACACATCACAGACATATCTACAGCAGTCACATCACTCATCTGTCTCGTTCTTTATGGATTTGTAAATAACTGCGATAACAAAGGACACAACCAGAGGACAGCCATGTTTTTAACTTTTATGACAGTTTTACACGGAGTGACTGTGAGACAAAGAAGCAGATTAAAGTGAGGGGGAAGCAAGCGTAAAGGGTACAGGCTGTGTGGAAGAAAGCTGTTAAAAACATTGCTCAGCATTATGAAGTGTACAAAATGAAAAAAAGTCAAACAAAGAAATAGATTAATATTCAAAATACTCTTCAACAGTTTAGTACATTTTTATTCTACTTATGTAACTCACTTGTTTTTTTATTTATTAGTTAAGATCTTAGTTCTTATTGGTTGATTCAGAATGACATGAGCATTTTTACCTCTACAGCACCATAACTAAGCTCCAGTCTCATGAGGTCTAGTATGAGGGCTGGGAATCTTTGGGTGTCTCACGATTCGATTTCGATTCTTGGGGTCAAAATTCGATTCAGAATCAATTTTCCATTCAAAACAATTCATGGATTCAGAGTCTATTTATGAATTAGTACATACTTCAGGATCTACTGCAATCATCTGTGAGACTGGCTGAGTTTCTTGTTGCTCTATTTGGCATTCTACTGATTTAAAGAGCTAGCCTTGGCACTTAGCAGGAAGGAAAAAACGATTTTTGGAAGTTATGAATCGATTTTAAATCTTTGAAGAGATGAATCTCGATTTTTACATAAATTGATTTTTTTTCCCACCTCAATCTAGTACTATTTTTTTCTTTAGCTAAAGAAGCCCAGTGGCCAACTCTTGTAGTATGCGATGGCGCCTTATACACAAAAATGATCGTCTGAAATAACAACATCAAGTGAAATAAAAGAAAGTACCACTAAGAAATATCAGGTCTTTGAAGAAGAGCATTTTGAAGTACGAGTATCTATAAAGAGATTCAAATAATATCAAATAAAACATCCATAATGAGAAGCCTTAAGTAACAAATTAATTCACAAATGATTTGCCCACTGACATATTTTAAGTATTTTAATTCTTAATGATTCCTGGGAGCAGCAGAGGCTCAACAGCCACAAGGATTTAAAATATAGTTACCAATCAGGAAACCTTTGAATGAATGCATGACTGAATATTCACACAACACAACTTTTTTGACAGAATTTTTGATAGTCAAAATAGTTCACTGGGCAAAATTCACACGAAATGCTGACAGACACGGCTCTTGTTTCCGACCAAAAAGCCTCAGTTTGGTTTTCCACTCAAGCAATAACGCATGCTGCCACAAGGAAACAGGCACGTTGTAGAAAGTTTACCTCGACGTCTCCCATAGCTCCTGGCTGCATGTAGAAAAGTACAGAGTTCAAGAGTCAGCTGAGCAGACAATCTCAAAACACACACACACACACACACACACACACACACATATATATATATAAATATATACATATAACCTACCTCAACTGACCTAAATGTGCAGAATTATCTCACAACTCCAATTGCTGATTAATCTAGTGACACTGAAATAAACTCTTTTGCATATTAAATAAAGTCCTCCTGAGACCCAGAAAAAGATGGATAATTTCTTCCATCATCTGATGATAGAAAAAAACTATAGTAAACAAAGAATCAGCCTGTTTACGATGTTAGGACAAACAGTTTGCATCTGCCCGTCTAAATTAACAAACTGAAATTCAAGTTGTAACACATAAATGAGATATTCCCCCAAACCATTACTGATGACATGGAAGTATTTCCTGGATGAACACAATCATTTCTCTCTAACCCCCATATTTCAGTTTTCCCACAAAATGTGTCAGATCTGATGGAAGCCATTTTGAAAAAAAAAAAAAAAAATACTCTACATATGTTACATCACTGCAAAGCCCTGAATGTCCTCTGTCAGGGACAACGAGGCTGTTTGCAGCTGCATGTTCAGCCGTAAGAGACATGAGCCAATCTCTGCCTCCAACACACGGCCAAAAATGAATTTTCTGATTGCTCAGGCGTCTCAGGAGGAAAACACGGACTCAGGAAACAATCAAAACATGTTGTTATTATTTGCAAATACTCTCTGACCCAGATTTCTGGTGAGACCGTTATAGAACAAGATTTTATTTTTGACATCAACTGTTCTCAAGTATGTCTAAAAAAAATAAAAAATATGCAGAGCAACAATTGCTCCAAATTGGACTGATACATCTTCAGAGAAGTTTGTGGTGCATTCAAAGTCCTCAGGTGACGGCAACGCACACAATTCTCATAATGGGAGAGTCGCCACAGATGTGCAGTATGATCATCTTCATTTTCAATCAAGAAGGGGAATTTTTCAATCTTTCAATTTGTGTTTACATATTTGGAGGTGTCAATGACTATTCAATAAAATATGCTTTAAAACTGCTGCGTTAGATTGATTCAGCAAAAAGCCACAAGACAGGATGTAGCATCTGAAAATAATCATTGGGGGTAAATGCACCATTTAAGATACGTCAAAGGATCCCTGCAGAGACAGACCTTCTTTGTTAAAGAGTTGGAGGTTTTAAAATCTGTTACATCGTTCTCTTTGAAGCAACCGGACCAACTCAACAAATGTTGTGTCTTAACCTTGGAGAATATTAGAGTTGCTGTTCTACTGAATTGATCAGAAAGTCTGTGATCCATATAGAGTTCAACATTAACAAAGTTTTACAAACGTCTATTTCATAAGGAAGGTGTGCTGTAGTGGAGTAACTCAATCAAACATTAAACTCCTTTCACACTGTCTTAATTGCACAAAAAACATTGGCAAGGCTTCCTTACATAAAAGTTGCCGATGTTGTTGTGCAGTTTCGACGGTGTGCCGCAGTTCGCTTGCAATTTTTAACCATTGAAAGCAAGATATTTACCATTATTTGGGCTCCTAAGACTTCTTTTTATTGTTACTAAAACATATATTGAAAATGTTCAACAAACAACTTTCATAGTCAAATTAACAAAATTCTAGTATCACCACAACCGTCAAAATAATTAGATCTTACAGATCAAAGCAACAGTAGACAATCAACTCCCTTATGAGGTCCACTGGCTTTTAAAGGAGCAAAGTACCTTCAATTCAAGTTTTTCCCTGAAAGCAAAAAGGTGTATCTCTAGAGGGACCCTGTCAGACACTTAGACTAACAATCTGAGCGTGTCAGTGACAAAAACCCAAAAACTTTTAGGTGATTTAAATGGATTTTTTGTTTCGCCCCCCCGGTGATGCATTGCAGCTTTTAAAGCCAGCAGGCTGAGGCAAGCTACTGGAGCAAATCTTCAACTTTTTGTAGCAATACATTAATTGACAACCCAAAATATGTCACTTTAAAAAAGAAACATGGGCCCAGGTCAACAAGTACAATCCCCTTCATTGCAAACATACTATGTAGATTTGTAAAAAAAAATGTTTGAAAGCAGATTAACAGAAGCACACGTCACCTTGTGTGACCCCTTTGTGTGACTGTGAGTCTGCTGAGTGTGTCTAAAGAAGCTAAAGATTAACAGAGGAAGCATCATGAGAACAGTTTCTCCTCATGCTTCCATTGTTCCTCTGAGAACAAAACTGGAAATGTTCTTCAAAACAGCTGCACGATTGAAACGCTGATAATCTGCGACAGAGGGAGATGATGCTGAGAGATAATTACCATTGAGCATGAGCAGGCCGTCAGCCCCGGGGTTAGGGCATCCCACACGGCCTGACATGAGAGATAGACACACACACACACACACACACACACACACACACACACACACACACACACACACACACACACACACACACACACACACACACACACACACACACACACACACACACACACACACACACACACACACACACACACACACACACACACACACACACACACACACACACACACACACACAGGGATGAGACACAGAGCAGATGGAGAGGACAGGGCGAGGCCAGTGTGTGTACATGGGAGCAACCAATTCACACACACACACACACACACACACACACACACACACACACACACACACACACACACACACACACACACACACACACACACACACACACACACACACACACACACACACACACACACACACACACACACACACACACACACACACACACACACACACACACACACAAAACCACAGTTCCTGTCTGTGAATGTGTGTCTGCAGCCTTCTCACATGTCTGCAAAGAAACAAAGCTCTCCTTATCCCTGATGATGATTTCTGAGTACACACAGCAGAATCTGTAAAATGAAACACTATTTTCCATCAACAGTTTAAAAAAAGCTCTAAGAATCGGAGGCTGATAGGCTGTGACTCGTGGCTGTGTGAGGAACGGGAGTAGGGGCTAAATGTCAGGAAACCACATGTTTATTACGTAAAGGTTATGTTGATAATACTAAACTTCTACAAACACCAAACATGTTTTAGCTACAGTGATTAAAACGATCATCATCTGCTCCCCCAATTTCAATCATTATTAAAAGTGTTTTTTTCTGATAGTGTATTTAAAAATCTAATTTATTTAAAGTAGTTTGGTGCAAGAGCTTCTAACTTCAATATTTTCTGAAAATGCTTGTCTTTATTTTGTCTTTATCAGGGACAAACATAACTGAAAGGACAGAAAGTAACTGAATAAAAAAATCAAAGTAACACCAGCATCACCTCAGCTCCTCAGGCCCTGCATGTTGTCGGAGAGCGCCAGAGAAACGTTGATTTTTAACATGAATCTGGTTTATTTAGTGTCTCCACTAGTTTTAATAGACATTGGCACATAGTTGCGCACTTAGAGCCTCCAGAATTTGAAAGAACATGATTTGTAAAAGGCAGCTGCTATCTTCAGATTCTTACATTAGTGTCCTGCTATTCTACAACCAACGACCTCATCATGCTCCTTATTACCAAATCAGGCTGTGATGTTTATTCATTCAAATATAAATGATGTCAGCTTTCATTGTTTTTCAATCCCCGATGACAGCAGTGCAGATATGTTACCTTTGGAAACATAAATACTGATTCATTTATCGACCTTTCATTTTTAGCACGTCTTTGAGCCTTGATGGTAGACATGCAATTTTTTAGATGCACAAATGTTACAGCCTACATGTTTGTTTTTTAGTGTACAAATAACACAAGGCATGCCATGGCAGACTAGACTCAACCGCTCTTCTTTTTCTCACACTGACATTTTAAAATATGATATTCAAAGATGATAACAACCATCATTAAAAACATGGGTGTGTTTATAGTTTGTATATGGGTCTGTGTGTCACCTATCAGCACTACCTTTTTTCTATTTTAAGCTTCTCTGATTTGGAGTTCTGCTGCTGGAAAAACTGTTTTGTTAGCTGCGGCGTTGCTATAAATGGCCGAGCACACCCCTGCGAGGCCTACTTCCCTCTCGTCTTTTGGCTGTCATGCTCAGTGTGTAAAAGTGTGATCACATCTAAAATTAGTCCAGAGCCCCCCTCCCCCTCTCTCTCTCTGCTGTGCACACTGGTCCATGTCCTCTCCATCTGCTTGGGTAGGAAGAAAAAAAAAAAAAAAAACTGCCCGAAAAAGGAAGGCTGCACTTTGAACTCTGATGACCTTAATAGAGACTTCAAAAAAGTCTCTGAGTTTATTTGTACATTTGAATTTCATGGTGTGTGTTGTTGTTGTTTCTGGATCACAGTTTATGTGAAAATGTAGCTGCCTGTCTGAGAGGCTGTAAATGAGCTACAAGCAGCCGTCTCTCAACGGGGAGAGGGGGAGAGGTTATTTGACACTGCTCCTCTGATGTCCAGCAGCTGAGCCCCAGGAGGCCGGGACAGTGTCACACTACAGCGCACCCTCTGCCCACAGCTTGCCAAAACCATAATGGATTATTTAAAAAAGACACCCAGGTGCATTTTATATATCTCTTTAAAATCCAGGTGATGTAATGTACACGAGCCTGATCCTCCAGAGAACGCAGTCACACAAATGACACACATTTGCAGCAATGATCATTTCCCTCTGTCTCCCCGTCAGCTCTGTGTTGTCTTGAGGGTTAAGTAGCGTCAGGATCAGAGCTGTAGATGTGCAGCTGGTGGCAGAAGTATTAAGCTCTCAGCAGGGAGAAAATAAGCTGGTGTGTGGAAAAAAACAACACAGCTCTGTCACTTCCCTGCACCGATCATGTCATGAAACTAAAGCGAACACCATCGCCTCTCTTCGACCCCCCCCACCCCCACCCCGCAGACGTAGATAGAAAGGGGAAAAGGCCATCTTACCTTTCATCGGATCCTGCTCGGCTCGCATGATGTCGATCAGAGAGCTCTCCAGGGAGTGCATGTTCAGACTGTCGTACATTCTGGGCCGGTCCTGGAAAAGAGGATTTTATATCATTAGGAGTCAGAGCAGGAGAAAACAAATCATGATGCACGACGTCTGATTGGGCACGTTTCTCACACACTTCAGTGATCTGGCTTATACAAAACAAAAGCTCCTGAAGTGTGGGTATTTGGCTTAACATGTAAGAGATTATGGAGAATGAGTAGCTCACGCGTGGATTAACATTCTTTCCATATTTATGCACTATACACAGTCTGGAGGTGTATATTTGTGAGGCGCCTATAGACCTGATTCTGGGAACGATCTCAGGACCAGCGTGTGACTGGAGTGGAAAACAAAAGCAGGAGCTGAAGAGACGAGATGGAGGTTATTAGATCACATCGGGTGATCAGTGAGATAGTTCTTACTTTCTATTCAGAAATGATTCAAAGGCTTCACTGCTCCTTACCCAACAAGATCTTGAACAGCTTGTTCTTGCATTGATCTCAAGTAGATTATAACACTGTAATGCTTTTCTTTCAAAACAATCCATTCATAAATTTAAATAAACAACTCACCTTTTCACAATAAGAAAAAGAGAAACTAAATCCATTTTTTGCAAATGAAAACGGCAAAATCAGAAACCTGACATAGTCCAGACTCACCCTGTAAAACATGCAAAGTCTAAATGACACACAAATATTGACAATGATTCCATACAGAAGCATTGCCAAAGTTTCTGTGCATACTAGAGAGTGTGCATGAGTTAATCTGCAATTTATAGTAGTTAGAAACTAGAAATTATACTGGGTGCCTAGGTCTTATTTTATTATTTTATTTATTTGTTTATTTTGACAGGGACAGTGTACAGCCAATTAGCTGTACCAGAGTTAGCTATAAGCTAATTTACATCTGTAGTCCCTGGGCAGGAGACAGAGACAACGTCTCTGTGAAGAAACAAAACATACACTAACAACATCTTCACAACAGTAAGACAGTACACAACCACTGAACAATGACATTACACTAGTCCACAGTGAAATTCACACATTATATTAAAACAATAATAGGCTAAGAGCACTTGACTTTAAAAACACTAAAAAAAACAGCTAACATATATCTCCAATACACCACAACAACAAAGCCATAATAACATACTGTATCAAGACACTACAACATTATCAAACATAGTTCATGAAAAAGTGTTTGTGTGTGATGAGGACATGATTGAGTTGATTTGAGCCATGATTTGATTTTAAATTTAAATTCAGCAAAGCTACGGCACTCTCTGATTTTAGTCTTCTATTTCTGCTTCCAGGGTATCCACATCATGTGATTTGTACCAGAACCGTTTCTAAGTTGAACAATTCTGGTATCATGACAACCCTACTCTGCCCTGATGCTGACGCGTTTTTTGCGTAGGTATCACAACACGTATATGGAGGTGTCGACATTACAAAAGATGTAAGAGTAGAAAACAACATGAAGGAACCTCGGCTATCAAAATGGAGTTTGAACCACGTCATCAATCTGGACTGTTACTGTACCTGCTGTGTTCATGTTTATTTTTTCTTCACACTAGGGGAGCTGGCAGGGATCAACAGAATTTGACTTTTGCAACCCCCCCCCCCCCGGGTAAAGTCAGGACATGTTCAGAAGTTCAGTTTGTGTGTAGAGAGGGGTTTATATCGATGCCTTTGAGCCGACGCGCACTGACTCCCAGCCTCTTTTTAGATTTTAAACATCACATTACACAATTCACAATTCAAGCTCTTATTGAGTGGCAGGATTATTGCACCAGTTTACAAGGCGCTTAATGGTTTAATGGGAGTGCCCTACATTGGCCTTTCTTTGTTGTCGTATAATCCATCAGCTGGTTTTCTAAACATACAAACTCTGTGAACTCATTTAACATGACTGTAATAAGTAATGCAAACTGTGTGATCATTTTATGACCTTTAAAAATGTCTTTAACTGCCCCTCGTCTTTTGTCTCATTCTCATCTGTACTTATTTTATTATTCAGTGCATTGAGCTTTTCTTGCTGTTTGACGTCTGTTTCAATGAGCTCGTTTTGGTTTTATTCTCCTGTTTCTTCACTTTCTTCACCTCGAGATACTCCCCATGTTTAAAATTTGTTACAGAAATATTTTACCGATAGTCAGCAGTAAATAACTTGACGAGCAATAAGTGTCTAAGCATCGTAATGGCAGTGTCACGTTTTCTTTTCACACCTGGAGGTGTATGGGTTCTGTGTCCAGCTCTGTCACTGGTCAGTGTAAGTGAGGTCAGTAGCTGTGGGTCAGCTGAGAAGAGGTCAAAGGTCATAGAGCAGTGGATCTTGTTAAAATACCTTTTAGCCTACTTCAGGGATATTATCTAATGGCTCTGGGAATAGGTTAGGACTGTTCTGCGGTGGATAACCGGATGTGTTCTGCTTTATGCCAGATGTATATTCATTACTCTTTTTTTTTGTGAAGTACAATAGTGTTAGTGTTGGTATGGATAATAAAGAGCTGTGTGAATCTATGCAGCAGGCTGAGAGCAGTGAACGCCAACACGATCAATAAGCTCATCAGGGCGGCCGGCTCTGTCCGGTGCTCTGACTGTAACCCCCACCATGATGTGCACACACAGCACACACAGCACTAAAGCACTAACCTGCTCCTACTATCACAAACAGATCAACACAGTAAAAACACTTTTTTACTTTAAAACACACTTTCCTCATGAAGCATAATGGACAACAATCACAGAGCTGACAGAGCTGCAGCCTCATTTTACAATCTAACAATTTATATTCTCTCTCTTCTCTTTCTCTGGATTACTGAGACTTTCTAGCTACAATTTGTGTCATAATGTACAGCAGTGGCTCTCAACTGGTGGGTGAGCTGTAATCAATGGGTCGCGAATGTGTGCCTGTAAAAAAAATTGTGTCAAAAGTCTATGAAGCGCTTTTTAAATATGTTTGCTCTGTTCTGTTTCTTGGTTCAGTCAGATGTTGCGTACCGTCTGAGGGTCATTGAATGCATCTGATTGGTTGAAAATTATGCAATATTTCATGATGGAGTTGATGGCGGGTCATGAGGCTGGTGGTGGGTTATTGTTATTCTTCAGTATTTGTTCTCTTTCCTATAACGTTTGGCTATTGCTGCACAACAATTTCCCTCTGCATGAATTAAATGTGTCTCATCGCTTATTAGTTGGCTTTTCATTCCCAATTTAAGCCGTGAATCATGCAAAGTATCAAAATCCACATAAAGCTCTTTTTTTATTTAACAGATTCATATTTCTTTTCAAATCTTAACGCAGGTTAGATTTTCATATGGCATGAATCATTTAGCGGTGGTTTCAAGTTGAACCTTTTCTCTCATTAGCGGTTCAACCAGTGGTTTTTACCCAATCAGGAGGGACGTGTGTTAAAGCTCTGTAGTACCTTTAAATAACACAACATAGCACCCTGTCTGTTTGTCTGTTTACATAAACATATGGTTCTGTTGTGGCGTCTGAAAGGGCCCCTTGCCTTTACACACAATGCACTCAAAACATTAACATTATTACAATTGCAGGGGTGTTAACATAGAAGTGGCTCATGTAGCCTCCAAGAGAAATAAAGAGGACGTTAGGGACATGCTGAATATAAAAACAGTGTGCTCTGTTTGGCTTCTTCCCAGAACAAGAGTGTAATAGTCTAATTTAATGTGTGTGTCAGAAATGTCCCAATCAGCAGAAATGTGTAAATAATCCCAGATGTAATGACAAGGAGGTACACTTGCACTTCAAACAACAGTGTTCAATGCAAAACTGTCTTTCTACTTAAAGATTTGCAAACAGGGCTGTAGGACACATGGGGGTGGATCAATATCCTCTTTTAGTGTTTCAGGGTTACACGTGCATGATTGATGTTTAATTCCAAGAAAGTTTGAGAAACCACACAATACTGTCACTAAAATTCAGAATGACGCTCTCCTCTCCTCCCATCTCCTCTCCTCTCCTCTCCTCTCCTCTCCTCTCCTCTCGTCTCCTCTACTCTCCTCTCCTCTCCTCTCCTCTCCTCTCCTCTCCTCTCCTCTCCTCTCCTCTCCTCTCCTCTTCCTCTTCCTCTTCCTCTCCTCTCCTCTCCTCTAGTCTCCTCTACTCTCCTCTAGTCTCCTCTCCTCTCCTCTCCTCAGTGTGATCTCAGTGTGATGTGAAACACATGACACAGCAGAGATGTGTCACTGACTGCCAAACACTGAACAGAAAAGGAAGGAAGGAAAAGAGCAGGAATCTGAAGAATTCTGGGTCCTACGCTGTTTATGGAAATTATCAATCCACAGAGTCGGGGCCTGTTTCCTGGAATAGGAAGCGCTTCAGTTCTTGGCACTGATATCAGAAATAATGTGAGCTCATAGTAACAGTAAAAGCATGTGATGACACCATTTTATCATAACTGTAGTCTGAAGGAGTCACTGTGATGTTAAAAGTGATTAAAGGGTTTATTCTAACAACGACTATATTTGTTTATTATAAGTAGAGACTGAATAAATTAACCATGTTTGTAGTTTTATGACCTTTTCTGAGTGTCCTGTGTTATAAATTGTTCTCTGAGGATGGAGAAACACCATCTTCAGTGAAACACAGTCAGTGGATTTCTTATCTGACAACAGTGAGAGTCTCTATCATTCTGCCTCACCAACCTTACTGAATGTTGTGATGAGAATTAAAACCAACAACTATTACAGTATTCAGATAGAAATATGTGATAAAATGGTCACAAAGGTATAATTCTGTGTATGATTTGAAGCCTCTAATGAGAAATGCCTTAAGGTGGATGCTGTTCTCCTTAACTTCCATGACCGTACCTAAACAATAATTCAATATTCTGACTCACAGGATGTAAACTGTATTTACTCTATAAATCAGCCGTAGACCACCTATTTACTGTAAGATGGAATTATTCTCCACTTCCAGTTATTAGTCTTTGAAAACCCCTAATGCCAACAATCATCTAAAAGCTTGTGGCCTCCATGATGCAAAAGGGGAAATCTGACACAGATTTAGATCCAGCACTAAGGCAGCACTACGTATTCAATCCTCCAGTCTTTTACCCCTTTTGTGTCTTTTGTGGTGTTTAACTATTGCAGGGAATTTAAAATGGACTATACAGGAGAATGGACATAGCCGCCATGGTGTCCTACACTGGTTTGTTGACTTCCGTTTAAAGCCTTGAGTTTAGCCTTTTCTCAGATGTTTCTTTCATTTTGATCTTTTGGAGCCAGAAGTGAATATTTGTTACATAATGCAAAATGATTGGCTTAGGCTCTTAGCATGGTGCATCCTTATGTGATTGTAACTGTGAAATTCAGCCGATAATTTAAACTTACAAGAGACAGGTCTCAAACAAAATGTATTGTTAGGTCTAGTGGTTATCAATTAGCCACTGTGCAAAATGTACTAAATTAACATGATGCTGTATTTCAGCGGTTAAAATTGAGTCAATAAATGCTTTCAAAATGTTTTACTTAGGACTCGTTTCCATGTCCGGTTTGATTCAGGACAGTTTGGTATGGTTAACCCTGATCTAACTTGCATTTCACCAGCCAACTGTACCCTTACTTGGTGGAGTGCGGCGCTGTGTGTATGCTGGATGGCCATAGCTACGTAAAAAGTGTGACATCATAGCAGCATGACAAAGTGTAGAAGAAGACTGCGACACGCATGTCATTCCCTACTCTCTCTCTCTCCCTGATTTCTAACTCTATCCACTGTCCTATCTCTCATATAAAATCTAAATATATAAATTACGCTCTCACAATCCACTGGACATTTAAACATTGGCTGGCTTAGTGTTTCTCCTTTATTACCGCTGTTGACCGTGAAGTGACGATTCTTTCAGTATTTATCTCTACCCTTAAGGGTCCGATCGGTACGCTAGGCACCCTAACAAAGGCTAACAAAAAAGTAGGATGGTACGGACTGGTTATTTTTCTATTCTGAGCTTCTCACAGTGGAAATGCCAATAAATGCGTACCGTCCAGAACCAAACTGACCCGGACCGCTTGCTGGAAACATGGCTTTTGGTACGAACTCAAGTAAGAGGAAGGCTGATTTTCTCATAGACTTCTATACAGTAAGATGTGGTGTTGCCCTCTGTTGTCCATTAAATATAATATGATTTTAAGACACTTCACAATGACTTTCCTTCTCAGTCCCAGCCGCTCTTTAAAGCTGTTTGAATGTCAGGGCTCACCACGCCACATGCACATTTTTCACAGAGGAGAACATTCTTTACATAAGTTTTCTCCTGAAACTATTTTTGCAGCAACATCATCGCTCCACTCTGCACTTTGAGCATCTCAACAAGACAACTGTGACTTTTGAAAGGATTTCATAAACCCAGAGTGTTTTGGTCTCTTGTAGTGAATTATGATGGGTTCGTTCAGATCAGCAGCGCTGGTATGATATGAGGCAGGTTAATGTGAGACAAAGGTTTTACTGACAGCCTATCTTAGGTTTTGTTGCAGTCAATTAATTTCTTAAAAACCAAATAAACATCAAAGTGTATATCAGACATTTCTACAACACACAGCGATCGCTAAGAAAAATAGTCTGTCCTAAAACATTGTTGATCCAAATTATAAATCCATTGGAAATGTTGTTGTTGGCAATAAAACCAAAAGTATCTGTGACGTCAAAACATGACCAAATAGGGACCGTCTACACCCGGCTGTTACTTCATGTATTATATAGTTAAATGAGTAGGCACTGGTGTATCTCTCTGACAGGTGCAAAGACACACTCATTTAGTATAAAAGAGATTTACCTTTGCTTCTGTATAAAGGAGCTTTGGTTGCTGAATCTCACCTACAAGATGTTTTGCGTCCTGAAGTGAAAGCAGCCCAGCCCCCACTTTGTTACACCTTCAGTAAAAGGCTGCAGAGCAAATCAGCTCAAACTCCCCCCATCTGTTTGAAATACTAACCACAGCTGGAGCTTTTATGTTAATGTACATCTTAAAATGCAGAATCCTTCACTCTCAGTTCCTCTGTGGATGAAACAGAAAGTCCTCACAGTTTCTCTCACACACACCGATTTTCCACCGTTCCCTTTGTTCAATATCTTGTTCACATGGTTTGGTTTTTATGCCTCTGATCCTGGTTTCTTTCCCACCTTTCAAAGCTTCTGATTCACACATTGTACCTGCTTATAAACAAACATGTACGATTATCTGCTTCACCAAACAATGCAGTAAAAACCCAAAACATTTACCTGTAGGGGCAACAAGGTGTTGCTGTTGCTGTCTGTGCGGAACATGTTCTCCTCGAGCCAAGACTTAGGCCCCCAGTGATCCTGCAGAGCGTGGGAACTTGGGAGGAGCGATGACGTTGCCCGAGAAGGGCTTCTTCAGGGGGGAGACGTGACTCACTGAGCCAGGTACGCCCATGGCACTCCCTCTGCGGTGGTCCCGGCCCCAGGACATCCCCCCGGAGCCCCAGCCGTTGCCCTGGTGACCGCCCCATGGAGAGGGCTTCACCATTGGCTGCAGAGGACAGGGGGAAGGGAAATATTGAAGGTTAAATCATGTCTTATCTTTAATATTTAATATCTATATGATATTATTTTCATTTCATCCTGTCCTTCCTTTTCTCTCTCACAGCCCAGCTTGATCTGCTCCTGCAGTGGGGTGGGGGTGGGGGGGTGGGGGGTGGGGGGTAGGATAAGAAGATTTAGGGCTTCAAGACTATAATACTAAGTATCCCCGTGTGCTGCGACACCACCAGTGTAAGTTACATTCTCCCCTCCACCTGGACCTTGTGTTCCACTCTTAAGGACATCATACATTGAATCGCATCAGGCTTAATCTTGCGTGCGTTTCACGTGAAAATCTTACACAGAGGACAATCGACTTTCTGTTTCTCACACGCTCAAAATCCTATGTGACCTAAATTCCCCTTTTTCTTTCAATGAAACCACAAGCAGTTATGTACAGCCCCGGAAGCGTTTCATATGGACGCGATTAGTGATCAGAATTCAAATGATAAAGCTAATTTGAAAATTCAAACGCATTAACAGAAATGTTTTTTAACTTTCAGAATATGGGAGTATTATTTGACTCAAAAAAAAATGATGATTAATTTATCTAATTTTAGTTTTCAACTTCAAAAATGCACATTCTTTGACTAAATTAAAATGAAGAAGAAAATGACAATTGCTTTTTCATTTTCAAAAAATGCCCCGCTAAATCTGTATCATAATTCAAATGAAAAAGCTAATTTTAAAATGAAAATACAGTAACAGAAACACGTTTTAATTTTCAGAATATAGGTGCATTATTTGACCTATATTTAAAATTAATATTCAGTCATCCAGTTTGCATTATACTTTTACTCTCTATGTAAACCATCGTACTGCGGGTTCTGCCCGCTCGCCTCATAGACTGTAAATATTACGTTAGCCTGCCTGGGAGCTGGAGTCTGACGTCACTTTCCTGCGCCGTCGACTTTGCCATTTCGTTTTCGAGTTGGTTTGAATTATGATCACTTTTTAGCACGGCAAGTTTGAAAACGAAAAGCCAAAGACCTTTTAGTTTTCATTTGAATTATGTCATACAATATGCATACATAGAGAGTAAAAGTATAATGCAAACTGGATGACTGAATATTCATTTTAAATAAAAGTCAAATAATGCACCTATATTCTGAAAATTAAAAAGTGTTTCTGTTACTGTATTTTCATTTTAAAATTAGCTTTTTCATTTGAATTATGATACAGATTTAGCGGGGCATTTTTTGAAACTGAAAAAGCAATTGTCATTTTCCTCCTCATTTTAATTTAGTCAAAGAATGTGCATTTTTGAAGTTGAAAACTAAAATTAAAATTAGATAAATTAATTATCATTTTATTTTTGAGTCAAATAATACTCCCATTTTCTGAAAATTAAAAAGCATTTCTGTTAATGAGTTTGAATTTTCAAATCAGCTTTATCATTTGAATTCTGATCACTAATCGCTTCCATAGTTTCATGGCCACACGGTAGAAAATGTAAAATGATTTATTTTTTATTTATATGTATAAATCTATACAGAGGATGGTTTATTTTTATTTATTGCATCCCAAAAACGTCTCCTGGTTCACTTTTTTTATTCTGAATCTCCAACTTTATTCTCCACATTTTTACTTTATTCTCAAAATGATTCAATTAAAAAAAAACTTTCTTTTTATAGTTTTGTAGGCCAGACCTTTCCACTTTTCCATAAACTGTTGCTGGTGGTAAGATGGAAAAATATATTATCTAAAAAAAATATGTTGCACTGTCAAATAAAGTGGCTACTGCAGATGAATTCAAGAAATGTTTGTTTTAGTCTAAAAGACTTGAATTGAAAAATGCATTTTGACATGACATGATACTATTATATAAAAAAGCAGCATGATCTAAACTAAGTGTCATTAAATAATTCTCATTTAATGATATGATTTTTTGCTTCAATAAAATGTATTCTCCTCCAAAAAGACACATGTTCATGCTTTTTTATATTTATATATTTATCCTGTTTTTCTTGTGTGTAGATTGTGTAGTTGGATTTCTCCTCTCACACTGAACAAAAATAAACCTGCACTCTGCGATAATATTTGAATCAAAAAACATTTCAATGATATCAGTTCCTTCCATTTTTTGGGTTTGTTTATTTGTATAGCACTCACAATCAAACTTCAGGGTTAAAGGTCAGTGAAACAACGACACCACTGATGCCCTTTAAGTCACACCCAAGCCACACACACACACACACACACACACACACACACTTGCATACACACCCTGTATGCAAATCACCTGAGAAACCTGAAGCTACTGACACGTCAGCTCCAAGACTACCGCACCTTCACAACCTTTATATGTGCTCTGCCACTGCTACAGCTGCTAAAACCCCGAAAACAAATATACAGACTACTTTAAAATATAAATGTATAGTACCCTCTGATCAGCTGTATTTAGAAAATTGTTCATACTTTCTCCCTGAAAATAGGCCTGGGCAGGGGTCTGAACGAGCACCAAAACAAGCTCCCTAATAAACATTTTTGTAGGCACTCGTTTAATTTTATTTCTATTTATTTTACATGTTTTCAGCTGCATTGTTACTGTTTAAACAGGAATCCATTTTATTTATTTTTATTTGTTATTCAATATCTAAACTGCACCTCAAACACAAAATGTATGTAGCTATATGTCTTTCAAAAGTCAGTTAACAGATTATGTACTTGAAGAAAATCAAGTGTAACATTTGAAAAAAATTGTAACTCATACTATAAAATCTTGATTGTGAGTTTGACTAATATTTTTGAAATTCATAAATTCAAATAATCTCCAGTACCCCCTGCAGTTCTCATAAAAGCCTCCAGGAGTGCTAATATTCTCGTTTAAGAAACACTGCCCTCACAGTCTGCAAAACCCGTATATGAAAAAATAACAACAACACACACTCACAAAACCAAGATACTGGATGTTCTCATTTCTCCCTAATAAGAAGCCTCCATTTAGGACAGCAGACCCTGCGAGCCTTTGTGTTCCCACTGAATGAACCACAAGACATGGATGGTCTGGAGGTCATGTGACCACATCCCACTGCTGCTTCAGGAGAGAACAACGGCAAAAATTCACTGATGCTTCCTTATTCACCCCCTCCTCCTTTCCCCATCCTCAAATGAAATGATTCTGTTCTTGAATGTATGAAAATGAGATTAGTTATTTCTCATTCTCGTATTTATTAAGATTGGGGAACATAATGTACAAACACACAAAAAAACGCTCTAAAGGATGTGGATTATTTGCAGACGCTCCCTAACCTGAGAACACCTCACTTGTGGCCTTCACGGAAAATTAAGGATGAATGAAAACCTTTCCTCATTCAATGTGCTGTGTTTGCCTGAGGCCTTCTTTCTGACTCCTAACAGATCAATAAGAGCTGAGAGCTCCTGTCAGCTTCATGTGATGCAGACCTGCAGCAGCAGCTCACCTGATGTTGGTTGTAGTTGTTCCTTTGCTGCAGGTAGGCTCCCTGCTGGGGGTGCATCTGCGGACTGACCGGGGACCTGCGGCTCTGCGGCTGCTGAGGGACGTTGATCTGTGGCGAGAAAGGACCGCTGAAGCCCTGCACGTTAATCCCGGCGCACGGATTAGCTGACACCGGCGAGAAACTCTGGAAGAAGGCCGGGTTGATGGAGGAGGGGATACCTGGGTAGAAGCTGTTGTCAGAGTCCGCGTTGGGCATCTGGTTAATGGTGTTGGCGTGGATGGGGTTGATGGGTGCGGGAGGGGGTGAGGAGCTGGTCTGGACGGACCAGGGGGTGCCGAACCCGGGGAGGGAAGGTGAGGACGAGCCGCCTACGCCGCTGGTCTGCAGCTCCTGGGTGGGGAGGTTCGGGAAGGCGGCGCTGAGACCTCCGGACAACATGTTGCCGGTGCTGCTGCCATTGCCGTTGATATGGTGGGCGATGGGGGAGTCCATCTGGAGCCTGTTTGGATTCACGGAAGTGGACGATGGCGACGCAGCATCAGCTTCAGCCTCCTCCGTTGGAGAGCTGCGGGGGTCGGCAGCGCGCTGCTCGGGCAGGTGACTCAAGTGTCCCAGGGGTGGGGGGGACTCCGAGGGGCTAAAGTCGGTGTGCCGACTGAACTGCTGATGTATTTTCCGGTTGTGCTGAAGGTCACAGAGAGGCTGCTGCGTCGGGATAAAACGCTCTGGGTTGAAGTCGGTATAGGCTGCCTCCCGGTTCTGTTTATAATCCGGACTGAATGAGCTCAGCTGGCAGCTCTGCCTGTCGCTCTGGCTCGGTCGGTTTCCGGATTTGCTGACCGTGCTGCTGTTGCTGTCCTTTTCGTCGGTTGACGGGGGTAATTGCGTGGTTGTCACCCCCACAGGCTCATCCTGCATGTTTTGCTGATGCGCAGCAGCTGACAGGAACAGCGCGGACGCGGCGACGCTGCTGAAGGGCGAACCGGGGCGAAGGAAAACCGACAAGACGAGGCGTCGGATCCGTCTGCCGGTCAATCGACACCGAAATGTGCCTTTTAAATAAAGCTACTACATGGATTTAAAAACAAATACAACCACCGTTTCTTTAAAAGCAGAATGTCAGTGAAACGGCTTCAGGTAGCGGCAGAGAGGAGGGGGTCCGGCCTGTGCAGATTAGTCGGCTCGTTCTGCTCCTAAATCTCGCTTTTTCCTCGGTGATATTTTCATCTACCTAAAAGACCGAGCTATTTCGGCCTTGCTGTAGGCTAGCCTAGCCTGTTCGGTCCATTCCTGTCCGACCGTGCTGCTACCCCCTCCTCCGGTTACCGGCTGTGCTGCTGCGGCAGAGGATTAAAGATCCCCGACACAATCTACGTCACCGCCGCATCACGCCTCGTTGCACCCGCCTCCAGCCTGGAGCCCGAGCTGCAAAGAGGACCGCATTGTTTACGTCATTTTCTTCATTATTCATAAAGTGCAGTAGGCCTACACCCTCTATCACAGAAGTAGCCTACACCAAACCGTGCGTAATGACAGAGACATAGTTCATCAACAGTCCTGCAGAGGGTCTGTTACAGTCTGTTTCTCTTTAATGAGTTTGTAATGACACTTGAGGTGCATCAGCACAATTTGTAGATCTACGATTTTGCTAAAAGTCCGTTTTTTTTCAGGTTAATATTATTTTTTATTTCATGTAAAGTAAGTTAATTTTGATTTAAAAGATGTCTTTTCTGCAGACCCAAAAACTACTTTTGGTTTTAAAAATTTGTACAGATAAATCAAATGTTTTTCACTAAGAGCAGACTGAAAAGATATTAGAACTTGCCAAACCCCATTAAGAGGGGAATAACGTCATTTTGGACAAAATGTTTCCATCAAACCTTAACAAAAGCAGACTTCACAGTTTGGTACTGTTTGTCTCTGCTCGCTCTGAATCAGTATTCAGTCCACAACCATTGTTCGTGCGTCTGTGCACCAGCGTCATTTTACGCACGGACGCCAGCAGCTAAATATAGTTTTCTATGTCAGCGCGTGTCAGGGGAGATGAATCTTCATCTCCTGTTCTGAACTCAGAGCTGACAAGCCACCTCGCCATATGATCAGCCTCATAAATGCCCCCCACAAAGCAGCACTAATACATGGCTACTGGCAAAATGATAGTTTAGTGTTTATGGGAAAGAGTGTGTGAGTGTGTGTGTGTTCGGAGGAGTCACCATCTGACTGTTTGAAGACTGAAGAGTGTGAGAACACAAAGTTTGGCTGACTGTTCCCTCAAAACAACTTTTTAGACAGAAAAAGTCTCTGCTGGGATTTGGGAAGATAAAAATAAGTCAAACGTTAGTTTCACTGTGTTGTTTATCCCCCTAAAAAAACCCAATTCAAGTTTCATTGATAGAATATGTAACTATTTAAGATATACATATTCACCCTACTACTACTCTCTTATTAGAAGGCATATATGCAGCATATTGGCTGTTAATCAGTGGTTACAAAGAACCTATTGATACTCTATTCGGAGTGATCAGTGTGAGGTTATGTCTAAAAGTGAATTTATTTAATCGAAGGATTTGACTGAATAAGTCTGATTACATCTACTTGAGTATTTGTAAATGCCTTTGGGTTGACAGTCCAAAGTCGCTTGGGCTCACTAGGTGAATATGCAAACGGAGAGAAAGACATGGTCCAAGGAAAGGTTATTGGTCTTTAACCAGAAAGTGAGAGAGGCTGCAGCAACCATTGTTCTTTAATGTGCCAGAAATGATAAATTGAAGCTCAAGACATACTTTGGAAATTTATGTTTTTTTTCCCCCTCTGTGGCTTTCACGGCCTTGGTGCATGATTTGCCTCTTAATTCAGATTTTGTTTTGATTTGTATGACTTGATTTGAGGACACAATACTTCCAAAACCATTCTCCACTCTGTCTTTTACTGATTGTTAGTGTTATAAGAACATAACGACAGCTTTTTCCCAGCAGCCACCAGTGAGATAAACAAGACATTTTAGTGGTTTTATTATTTATTTATTGATCTGCACATTTCACATTGTCTTTTATGTATCTTGTTTTTACTTATCATGTTTTACCGATTGATGGTATATAGTCTTTATGAGTATTGTATTATGTTTTTACTAAGGGCTCTTCACTTTAGTATTGAGCACTGTTGTCACTTCATCATGTTTTGTTCTGTGCTGTCGTTTGTATGTAAAAGGAGACCGACTCACTCAAGGTCTAATTAAAGTCACCTCACCTCACCTCACCTTAATGACTTATAACTGGAGAGTAAAGGAGCTGTACATGAACCACAATCTAAATATGCCCTGCTCAGTACTGTTATATATCATACTGAGCAAAGACTAGTAAGATCATGTTCAAAAACGTCCTGACTTTCTTTCCATAGAAGATTGTTACAGGGTTATCGAGGGAAAACTCTTGTAATGCAGAAAAGAGGCATGGGTGATAAATATCACCAAAGTATTTCATATAAAATGTAATGCTGTGTTTGTCTGTGTTTGACTTGCATGTGCAGATATATGACATTTAAAACACTGTGACACATTTACACAAGGTGGAACCTTAACCATAAAAAAAGATCATATGAAAAATTAGAGCAGATTCAATAGAGATACATTAGATTAAGTAACTAGCTGAATGTAAATCTGTGTTTCTTTAGAAAAACTGTTAGGTTAGATTCTACTGCGTTGGTCCAAAGCATTGAGTGTGAATAAACTTGTTGTACATAGACAGGACTGCTCACTTTACTAGATTGAAGCTAAATAATTCTCCACAGACTCCATTAAAGTAATGGGATGAATATGTTTTTTTCCCTTATGGATATATTCCTGCATCTTGTTGGGATAGTACTGAGTCAGTGATGTTAAAAACAGAAAATCTGTCAAAGATTCTGAAAGTAATCGTGCATAAAAGGATCATACCGTCTTAAGTGTGTGACTTTGGTTCAATTACTTATTTGTTATAAATAGACACAGATCACATCTAAGGACGGGAGGTGAATAAGTCACCACATGCAGTATGTGTGAGTGAATGTGCTTTCTAATGAGGATACCGGAGTATAGCTCTGCAATGTGCATGATCAACCTACCATCTGCTCTGTGTTAATGATGAGGGCTTATCACAGCGCTAACTGCTCACAGCTTTCCGCCCTTCATTGTCACCTAAACAATGCTCTAATTTTAAATCATCTCACCCTATATACACAAGCTAAAGCATCTATATAACCCCACCTTAAACTCAGACTATTTTTAAACTGAATGTCATAAAGTTTGTTCTTGTGACTCTGGGAGTCTGCCAAGTGTGTTCAAAGGAAGGTTGTGGATCACACACACAATCGTTGTTACATTTATAATATTTCCTGCAAAAAGTTTCTCTAGGTTTTAACGGGACACAAACCTCATGGATGATGTTAATTTGTCTTCAATCTCTGACATTTTGATTTGTTTATCACTTGAGCTGTCGTGGAAAGTAAGAAGACACCCACTACCCTCAGAAATTCCCCATCACAAGGTCCCAGATGGGGCCGTCCCACCACCAGTGAGGGGGGGCAGGTGTGGTGGCCAGGGGACAGTGCTGCAGAGCACCAGTGATTAGCCCGGGCCTGGTGAGTGCTGGAGGGAGTTAAATGGGGCAGGCTGCCAGCTGCTGGTGTCTGATGATGATGATGAGGGGGCTGGGGGAGGGGGTCAGTGGGTGGAAGTGGGGGGTGGTGTTAAGAGGAGATGGGAGGGGGTCTATTCTGTGACTCCCAGCTGCCCTGTCACATACAGAAGGTGACACATCAATCCAAAAGTCCAATCTGAGGAAAGTTCTGCACATTACCCTTAAAATGCAAACAGGAGCATATCGCACATAAATATCAACTTGTGTTAGTGATGTGGGTGCCGGCTCTTTTCCACAAAAGCTGGGAGTCGTCACCTCTTAAAGAGCCATTTCCCCTTGCCCCCTGTTTTTTGATATCTAACAAACGACAGAAGAAAGGGATTGACCTTTTCTCCACACTTCTTGGCCATAGGTATCCCCCACTGCTCAGAGGTATAACATTGTTTTATACCAAACATCATGTAAAATAGTGTTCTTCTGGGAATCATACAGTGTAATATATTTACAATAATTAAGTTAAATCCATAGACACAGGTACAAATAAAATCATCAAAAAGGGCGAAAGGGTAAAGGTCAGCCATATAAGGGGTAAAGACTGAAGCAAGGAAATCCACCATATTAAGAGGTAAGGGCAATAATTTACAATATAATAGATCAAAACCAATAAAACAGTAAGAAACAATTCAAATATTTACAGAAAAAAACAACTGAAATCAACCAGGTCAGTAATTAAGACTTGGAATTGTCTCAGTGGTATTCATGTGGACAGTTTCACATTTTTGAAAGACAATCAAAGTGTTAGGGGAAGAGTAAGAGAAAGTGGATCATCCTAACTAATATCCATCACAGGTCAGAAACATTGCTAAATTTATCTTATTTAAAAAAGGAACCATTATTTAGCTTCAAACGAAGAGCTGTTTGGGAGCCTCGTTACTGAGCTGAGCCAAATAATCCGGACTAAGGAGCTGAATTCCCATCACTAACATGTGTATGAACATTATGTGATCATCATGCACATGGATGTATATCCCACTAACTGACTGCTTCCTTTAGCCAGGTTGTCGGTTTCGTTGCTACTGTCGGTCATTAGGAAGCACCTGGCCCACTAACAAATATCAAATTTCCCTGTGCTCGTAAAGCTTGCTCTATTTAGATCGCCATCAGAGCTGATGGCTGTCACACTGCAGCTGCAGTCGTCATAGCAACAGGTAATCTGCATTTCCCCTTTGTGTGCCTGATTACTCTGACTGGAGTCTCACTCTGTGTGTTTGAAGGGCCGGGCAGGGAGCATTGATCAGCTCATCCCATTTGACAGACCTATCCATCAGCGCTGATGACTCTATTCTGGGATGTATTGGGGTGGGTTCATCTCTTATAATCCAATCAGAGCACACAGGAAGTAAGCCTCCTATGTGCCACTCAGCGCTGGTTTCTTGTTTCAGAGATGACGTCAGAGGGAGGTGCTGCTGAAGCTGAGCTTTCAAATAGTGTTAATAAAATCCCATTCATGCCATAATGTCATGCCAACTTACAACTAAAAAAAAAAAAAACGCCATAAAAATAAAAGACAAACACTTTTTCCAGTTTAACTTATAGAGCTGCTACTTTTTGTAGACTGATTTGGTGGAATTTGAGATTTGTTTAAGGGAAATTTGGTTTGTGATGCTCACAACATTAAATTAAAAACATGACATTTTGAGAATAAGTTCCCCCATCACCTCAGATGATCAAAAGACTTCCTGCATATATAAGCACTTCTCTCT